GCCCCGGCTCCTCCCACACCTCAGGCCACCTCTGCCGGCCTCCCAAAGCAGCTCTGCCCCCCGCCCCACGCCCACCCTGGGCCCAGCCCCCCTAGTTCCCCCCCTGCCCCCCCCCACCCCGACATCTCAGTGGGGTCCCGGGAGGGGACATGTCCTCCCCCACTCCCCATTTCTTTTCCTCTGACCGGGGCGGGGCGGGGTGCCGGGTTCAGGGCCGTCCTCACGCTCTCCGGAGCCCTCTCGAGGGCTGCGGCCACCCACCCGTCGTCAGCCCTGCCCCGGCCCCAGCTGGAGCCGAGGCGCCTCCCGCACAGGAAGCCAGCCCTCGGGGTTAGCTCAGAGACGGAAGGGATGTTTGTCTCCCAGATTTGCTTCATTATCATGGAGACTAAGCCCCAGGCTGCTCCCCACCCGGCCCTCCCCAAGCAGGAGCCGGGTTTTCACTTGGGTTACAAAGGACCAATAAGGGCTATTGTCAAAGAAAAGAGTAGAATGGGGCTCTCTAGCTGGGAGACTGTGGGGGGCCACCGGAGGTGAGGAGGGGTCTGGTGAAGGGTTTGGGGCCAAGGACCCCACAGCCTGGGCCCTGCCCCGCCCATGGCCCAGCAGGGCCCCGCAGCTGGGACCCAGAGGCCCTGCCCCTCACCCTCCCGAGATGCCCCGGGCAGGCCAGAGCTCCAGGTCCAGGGGCTCCTCGATGTTTGGGGAAGAAGCAGCCACACCCCTTCCCGGAGTGGGTGCCGAGCCTGGAGAGCAGGACACCCCGAAAGCTAGGGCAGGTCTGGCCAGCCCCATCCCAGGGCTGGCTCTTGTCCACCCTCAAGGGCAGGGCAGGCTGTGTCTCACCTTGTAATGGCACTGACCGCCTCAGGTGTCCTCCAGCCCGCCCTTCTCACAGACTCTAGCGGGCCGCAGCCCTCACCCGCTGGCTCCCTCCTCACCTGCAGGCCCCAGCTTTAGGTTCCCCAACCTGAGACCTGAGAGGCCCCGCCTCCGCCCTGTCTCCTCCACCCAGAGGCTTCCTGTTATCACCACATGTGTTTTTCCCTGGCCCGGGGCGGGGAGGCCGGGTCTGTCCACTCTCCTCGTAGGAGGGAGCCAAGCCAACAGGAGGGCTGAGGGCTGTGACCCAACAAGGTCGGGTCCGTGCCTGGGCTGCCAGAGCCAACCGGGCAGAGACAGGACTTGAGTCTGTAAGGCCAGACGGCCGGAGATGTGAGGCTGTCACCCCAGAGCCCGCCCGTCCGCTCCTGCTCTGGGGCTGGCCTTTTTCTGGTGAGTTGAACAAAGGTGGGTGATGTAGCGGCCAGGCGGTCACAACAGCCCTCGCGCTGGTCTCCGGGCCTTCCTTGTTTGGCCTGGAGTCCAGTCACCTCCTTGGTCATCTTGACCCAGGTACAGCCTTTTTTCCCGACGACGTCATGCCCAATAGGGTCACTGGGGCAGGTCAGGACTCTCAGCTCCAACACGGGACTTAGGGCCTCCCTGGGGATGCAGGGGTTAAGCCTCAGTGCTGTGGCGCTATCCCTATCCGCTGCCTCAACAGCAGCGCAAGGCCAATCCCCGGCCAGGGAGGTGACCCACATGGCGCAGCAGACCTCTCCTGTCTCCCCACTGCTCCCCCCAGCAGTGTATTTCAGTAGATCTGCCTGTTCTGCTCCCCACTCTGTCTCTGGTGAGTCCTCTTGCCCTGCACACCTGTGGCCTGAACCCCAATTCTTGTATACATAAATAAGTAAAAAAATAAATCTTTAAAAACTTTAAGAAGACAACCCATTTCCCCCGTGGGCAGGGGTGCCGGGGAACACCAGCTCTCACTGCACATCCTGACACCCGCGGGCACCAGCGTTGGTGGGCAGGAACGACCTCCTTTCTCTGAAGATGCGCACGCGCAGGACTGCAGCCTGGCAGCCTGGCCGGGCCGCACAGCTGAGTCCCTTGCCAAGGCCTCGCCAGTCCTTACCCCAGACAAGGCCCTTGAAGTGACTAAATAAACAAAGATTAATTCTGATTTCAAAGTCAGGGATACGAATGCAAGAAGCCAACTTTTATTCCCTACAAGCCCGGATGATGGAAGGAAGAGCATTAAACTGTGTGTGATCCGAGGAAGGTGGATGCAGGGGCCTGTAGTCACCACACACACCGGGCCCCGCGGGGAGGCTGGGATCCTGGCATCTCACCTACCTGCGCCTTCGACGTCCTTTCATCTCTGATGGCGAAGTGTGGCGGCAAGGACACGTGGGGCAAGGCGAGGTGCAGGTGAGAGCAGCCGCCTGTCTGTGGCCGCCGGCGGGTATGCCCCATCTGAGAGGTAAGCCCCTGCTCTGCAGCAGGTGGTAGGGAAGTGTCCTCTCGGGTCTGACGGCCAAAGTCCCCTATACCCTAAGGACAGCCTCTGACATCACAGCCCTATACCGCTAAGAACTGCGGGTCATGGTGACAGCACGTCCACTGCGCCCCTGGGGTCCCAGTGTGCCCGTTGCTGTTCGGAGTAGGGTGAGAACAGCGAGTGGAGGGCTGACTGCTCAGAGCAGAGGCACCAGAAGCCTCCTGCCCGTCACCCAAGTGGGCGAGTAGGCCCGAAGAGAGGGTCCCAAGTTTCGCTGGACTCCAGCCCACAGTTGCCAGCAGCACCTGGACAACCTCGTCTCTGCCCGATGTCCAGCCCTGGCCTCAGGGCTGACCGGCGGGTGGGGGTGGGTTTGAGCCATTTCGCCTCCTTAGTCTTCTCCTGCTTCTGCTCCCCACCCTTCACTCTCTTGCTTGAAGAGTTGGCTGTGGGGGCAGTCAGAAAAGTAGTGGATGCCATTAATTTTTTTTAGGGAGAATAAGTGGAATCAGGCCGGCTGGAATTTAGCAAAGTAGGTTTACTGTGTTGGGGGCACCAGTGCCCCGGGAGGGCTGGACGCGTGAGCTGGTCCTGCGGGCCTCTGCAGGCTTATCTTGTGCCCTCTCTGCCCTCACGCTCCAGGCTGGCGGCCTCGCGTGTTACCCATGGCTCCGAGGCCTCTGTGGGCCCCGTGGTCACACGGCAGGCAGCAGGCAGCCCTGGCTCTGGTGTCCCCAGCAGCCTGTGTCAACTCTGCAGGAGCATCCGTGTGGCTGAACCAGTGGAAACTGCCAGCCCGAGGGTCCAGCAAGGCCCACGCAGTGACCCGCAGGGGTGGGATGGGCCTCCTTGCTGTCCTCATCAGCCAGACGGGCGAGGACCAGCCGGCACCTCACTCTCCTTTGGCTTCACTTTGTTTCTGAAAAGTTCCTGGAAGGTTCCGTGGACATGAGTCTTGTTTTGCCACGTTTACCCGATGGCGCCCTGGCGGTGGGCGGGTGGCCAGGACGAGCGAGAACTTCCGGACACATTCAGGACACGCCAAGGGGCACGGCCGTGGGGCTGGCCTTTCAGGCCCGCGCCAGCAGCGCGCTGTTTGCTGGACGGGAGTTGCCATTTACAATCAGGTCTTTTTTTCTTTTTGAGCTGAGTGTCAATATGCCCTTCCTTCTCGGGGGCGGGTGTTATAGGGCAACCCCAATATTAAACGGGTTCCTGGCTGTGGGTCCTCACCCGCGTGCTTACAAGGGACTTACGAACACTCCACTACAGACACACACAAAATGTTCATACAAGGTTTATTGACAAGGGAAAAGGAAAGAAGGAAAACGGACAACTCAGGGAGAAAATAGGGAAATAAAGTCTTTCATGCGTCCTACCCGATCCGCCGACCTGGAAACCCAAAGGCCCTCTCCGAGCTGGCCGGACGCTGCGAGCTGGCGGGGAGCCAAAATGGGGGACCCCTCCAAAGCCCACGTGTCTGGCTTATACCAACCTGGCTGCTGAACCCCACCCTCAGACCCCAGCTGGGATGGGATGTGGAGTTCCAGGTGTCTTTGGCTTTGGCCTGGGGTGGGGTGGCGTCCACAGAGCCTGTGTGGGATCAGCTTTGGGACAGCCTTTCCCCCTGACACCGGGAGAGACGTAAGTTCGCCTCCACGTGAAAAAGCAAGTTCGGACCCTGGGAAAGCAGTGACGGCTCCTCTGCAGCCCCAGCCGCCCGGGAACCCCCATGTCCAGTCGGGCCTTCTCGGGCGGCCGCCTCACCTGTCCCGCGGGGAGCGTTACGGGGCAACCCCGATATAAAACGGGGCCCTAAGGGGCGGCGAGGCGGCGTCGGGAGGGCCGTCGTCTGAATCAAAACTCATTTACGCGCGTCGCCCGCGCAGTCACTTGGGCAGAGCCGGCCCGGCGGGTGCGGGGCTTGAACGGTGACCCTGCCCCGCGGCTCCCCGCGGCCGCTCCCGCCGCACAGAGCGCCTGTTTATCGGCGGTGACCCCAACATCAGCCTTCCCGCCGGGCGCGCCGCCGCTTCATCCCCAGCGTTCTGGAGCGACCTGGAGGGCCGGGGCCGGCGGGGCGGGCGGGGGCGCGGGGGCGCGGGGGCGCCGGCCCGGGCTGCGGGCGTGCGAGGCGCCCGGGCGCAGAGGGGGCGCCGCTCCCCCGGGCCGCCAAGGGTTAAGCGGGCGGCCCCCCCGCGCCGCGTCCCCGCGTCCCCCGCCCCGTCCCCACCCTCGGCTCGGCCGGGAGGACAGGGCTCCCCCCGTGGCCGCCGCGACCCAGAAATGAGCGCGCGGCGCGCCGGGCCGCCTCCGTAGCCGCCAGGCCGGCGCAGGCCTCCCGCGCGGGGCGGCCGAGCCGCCGAGCAGGGCCCCGCGCCCGCCCCGCCCGCCGCCGGCCCGGGCCCATGCGGCGCGGAGCCGGGCCTGGGCCGCAGCCGCCGCAGGTAGGCGCGGGCGGGCGGGCGGGCGGGCGGGCGCGCGGGCCGCGGCCATGTTGGCGGCGCGGGCGGGCGGGCGGCGCGGACGTCACTAACATGGCGCCGGGCGCCGGCGCCCCGGAGCCGCGGGAGGCGGCGGCCGGCCCGGGGGCGCTGGCGGGGCGGCGCGGGAGGGGCCCGGGCGCCTGCGCCCCGACCTCGCGGGCCCCGTAAGTTGGCGCGCGCTCGGGGGCGGCGCCGGGCGCGCTCAGGTGAGCCCGTCCCGCGCGGCGAGTTGCCCGAGTTGCCCGGCGGGGGCCGCGGCGGGGGCGGGGGGGCGCGGGGGGGCCGGGCGCGGGGGGGCGCGGCCGCTCTGGTCCCCCGGCGCCGCGCGCCCCCCGTGCTCGCCGCTTCCATTCAAGGGCAGCGGGGGGCGGGCGCGGCTCCCGCGGGGGTCCCCGAGGCCGGACCCGCCGCTCCCCACCCCCGGCGGCGCGGGGCGGGCGGGGGGCCGCGGGGCCGGGCGCCCGGAGCTGGCGGGGCCGGGGGGCGCGCCCCGACCGCAAGTTGCGGACCCGGCGCACGTGTCGGGCCGGCGCGAGGGCGCGGGGGGCGCGGGGGCGGCGCGCGGGGCCGGGCGGGCGGGCGGCGCGCACCCCGCGGGAGAAGCCCGACCCCGCGCCCCGCCCCGGCGGCGCCGGCCGCGCGAGGGGCGCGCGGGCGAGGCAGGTGCACGGCCCCGCCGGGGCGCCCCAACTCGGCGGCGGCGCGGCCCGGCGCCCGCAGGTGACCGCGGCGCTCACGTGGGCAGGTGCCGCCGGGGCCGGGGGCGCGGCCGGGCCGGGGCGCCCCGGGCCGGGCGCGCGGGGCGGGGCGGGGGCGCCGCTTTCCCGCCGGCAGGGCCGGTCCCCGCGGGCGAGAGCGCGCGGCCCGGCGCCGGGTCCGGCCGGGGCGCCCGCGGGCGGGCGGGCGGGGAGGCGGCCGTTTGCCGCGCCGGGGCCGCGGGGCGCGCGAGGCCGGCCGAGCGGATTGGCGGGGCGGGGGCGCGGCGGCCACTTTCAAACGAGCGGGCGGCGCGCGCCGGCTCCCCCTCTCCTCCGGGGCCTGCTCCTGGGGTCCCCGCGCGCCACCCCCACCCCGGACGCCCACCCCCGATCCTGCCTCCCCCCAAACCCCACTCCCCCCAGCCCCCCGCCCTGGCCCCTCCGCCACCCCGCGGGCCTCCCGCCCGGCTCTGCTTCCCCTCCGCGGGGTCTCGCCCGGGGTCCCGGCCACCCCGCCCTTCCCCAGGGGCTCCCTTCCCTGGGCCCTCCACCCCGGCTCTGCCCTCCAGGATCCCCTCCCCCAAGCCTCTCCTGGGGTCCCCAGCTTTCTGCCTCCCCCTCCCGCAGGAACCCCACTCTGTGGCCTCCAGCCCACTCTGCTCACCCCGGTCCCTGGTCTGGGGTCCCCACGTGGCTCCCTCTCTGGGCGCATGGGGGCAGCCGCAGGCCGGCCGGGGGGACGCCGGCCTGTGGCCAGCAGACAAAAAAGCGGGCGATTTAAACGTCCCGGGAAACCCGTTAGGAATGCGTGGCCGGCCGGGCCTTCGCGGGCAGCGGGCGGGCGGGAGATGCTCCTTCCGCAGCCGCAGCGCCTCAGGCGAGGCCGCCTTCCCCGCAGCGGCCGAGGTCCCCCGGTGGCCGGCCTGGGGCTGTGTTCCTGGAGGGGTCCGGGAGGTGAGCTCCCTCCTTTGCGCACAGGCCCCGGGAGGCCAGCGCCGGCTGCCTGCGGCTGGAGGCTGACCCTTCCCGGCTCGTGAGCTGGCCTTGGGATGGAGAGGCGCCGCCCGGGAAGGCCCTTTGGCTTGTGGCCCCCAGAGTCGCAGTGGGTGTGGGTGAGCTGGGTTTGCACCTGTCCTAGGAGGGAGGCAGCCTCCCCAGACCCGCCCCCGGGCTCCACGTGGACACTGGCCAGCGGCGGCCCAAGCCCCACGCCCTCCTGGTGGAGGGAAATGAGCACCCGTTGGCCACTTTCAGGTCGGGGGTCCTGGTCAGCAGGGTGTTGCTTCCTCCGAGAAGCAGGGCTGTGTCAGCATCCACACCCTTGTCTGCTGTCCACTGTCTCGCTCCCCTCTGTCCCCCTCCACCCTCAGAACTCGCACTGCTCCTGAACGAGAGCTGGGGGGCTTGTCCCGCAAGTCTGGCTTGGACAGCGCTGGACACTCCCTCCAGGGGCAGCGAGACCCATCCACCTTGCCAATGCCCCGCCTGGGGCGCAGGAGCCCTCTTGTCCCCAGCCCGGTAGTAGGACAGACGGAAAGCCTGGCCGTCGCGTGCAGGGGGACCAGCAGGAGCGCCTCAGAGTCCAGGGGACCCGTGCTCTGGCATGAACTGTGCTGCCTCTGGTGACCTGGGGAGAAGGTCAATTCACACAAGAGTCTGGCGGGCCCGCCACCACCTCCAGGGCTCTGGCCTGTGGGGACACGAGGGCTTTGTGACTTGGGCAGCCGGTGGCCTCGTCATCACAGCAGCCGTGCTCGTCGTGCCCCCAGAGACGGAGACACGGGCAGGCAGGTGGACACCAGAGAGACGCCTGCCGCCCAGTCCAGGCACCGCCTGCCCGGGTTCCAGCAGCCCGGGGTCGGCGCGCGTGGACAGCTCTCGAAGCAGGTTTTTCTGTCGGCCAGCTCCATCATTTCCTCAGCTGTGGGGGTGCCTGAGCTCCTCGGGGTCCTGTGGTGACACTTGCGCGTGTAGATGGCGCTGCAGGCGCGTCGTCTGTGCTCAGGAGCCGCGTGTCTGTCTGTGACCGAGGTCCTGTGCCCGCAGCCCTGCCCTCCGCCCGCGAGCCTGGGTCGTCCCGCCTGCGGGTTCCCGAGTCAGACCTGAGGGAGGCGAGCCTGGGTACTGGCGCTGGGTCCCGCAGAGCTGGGAGCCGGCCAGGGTTGGTTGTCCCGAGTCTGGGGTTCGGAGACCTCCTGTCTGAAGTCCTTGGGTGCGGCACTTGCCCGGTGTGTTCATCCACAGCTGCGCCGGAGGGGGTGTGCTGGGGGGCGGGTGGCCCATGCTGGGCCTCTCGGGGGGTTCCATGAGGCTGCCTGTGGGGCCCACCCGGCGCTGCCGTGTCCCCGAAAGTTCTCACTGTGGTTACGATCGGAAGCTCTGCTCACCCCGCCGGGGCCCTGGGAGCGGTGAAGTGCTCTCTGTGGGGTCCCTCAGCGCTGGCTCCCTGGCTGGGGAGGGGCGCCCTGGAGGCGGTGCCACGCCCCTCTCTCCGGAACTCGGCCCTCATTGGCGGACTCAGCGATAGAGGGGCCCCACCTGCAGAAGCTGGTCTCCCCACAATGTCAGTCTGCACGAACCCCAATGGGGTCCTCTAACTCCTGAGAATCGCGGCTTCAAAGTTGGCTCCTGGTTCTGCCCGCTGGTCTGGGTCCTGGCACGCTTGCGCCTAGGGGTTCACGTTTGCACACTTACCTGCTGCTGTCACGTGACAGCTCACAGACAGCTCACAAGGCTGAGACTGGGCGGTGCCAAGCCTGGCATCCTCACAGGGGAGGTGCTCTTGGGCTGGGGGCGGGGGCACATGTTCACCCACTCGCAGTGGAGACGCAGGTGGCCGACAGCACCGGCAGGGCCTGCGGCAGGGGAGGGGCTGTGAGGCCCCCGGGGATCTTTCTCCAGAGCAGGGTGCGGCCTGTGCCTGGACGTGGAGACCCCCTGGAGCCCCCCGGGCCTGCGCTTGCCATGTCTGGTTCTGGGGAGTCCAGATGGGACGCGAGTTGACTGTTTATTTATTTTTATTTATTTATTTAAAACATTTTTTTTTAAAGAGGCATGTTTTATTTATTTGCTTGTTTGTTTGTTTGTTTGCTTTTGTTTATACAAGCACTGGGCACAGTCAGAAGCGCGGGAGGGTGAGAGGATTCACCAGAGCCAGAGCGGGGAGCAGAACAGGACGAAGGACCGAAGCACACTGCTGAGGGGAGCAGCGGGCGGCAGGAGGGGTCTGCGCGCCATGTGGGACCCTCCTCCGGTGGCCGGGGAGCAGCCGGGGATCGAACCGGCGCCGCAGAGGCTGCGGGCAGCCCCGCAACCCAGCGCTCAACCGCTGCGCCACCGGGGAGGCCCGAGTTGACTGTTTAAACCTCAGGCTCTCGGGGCTAATTTGGGGAGGGCGCTGAGCGGTGAGCCCTGTTTGGAGGTGCCCCAGGCGACCTGTTTTGCCATCAGTTGTTGGAGATTTTTATTACGAGATTCACGACCACCTCTCAGGCCGTCTCTGACTGCTGGTTAAGTGAGGGTGTCCGTGGAGAGCGAGGTGGGTGCTGAGACGGGGCCTCTGGTCCCCTCCCCCCTGCGGGCGGTGGCCGGCGCCCCGTGACAGGCTGTGTCCAGCACAGAGGACCAGCGGGGTGGGCAGAGTCTGGGCTGCTCTGGGGTCTTGGCGAGCACCCACCAGTTCCGGGGGAGCCTTAGGGCACGTCTGTGTGGGCTGAGCTCTGCGGACACCTGAAGCCATGCCCCGGCCCCGAAAATCAACTTGGGCTGACCCTGCAGGCATTTGGGGGCGCCCTTCCACTTAACATCCAAGTCCTGGTCACTTCTTCCTGCGGCTCCTCTCCCTCGCGCGCCGTCATCCCCAGTGTGGCCGTCAGGACCGGCCGCTAGGCCGGCGGGAGGCTGGAGCCCTCGGAGGCGCGGAGTTCCTGTGTTAGCTTCGGGCATGTGGGGCTGGAGGCTCAGGGGTCTCCCCAGGAAAGGCCACACGCTTCTCACCGTGGCCTTGTTTAAGCTCTGGGGCCGGCCCGCCTGCAGAGTCCCTGGACCCTCGCCGGTCCGGCGCAGGGTCTGGGCTTGCCGGGTCTGGTCAGACGTGCACGGTGCTGTTGCTGGACCGCAGCTGGTCTGCGGGCTCCGGGGCCTGCCTTCCCGGTTCCGCGGATGCAGCGGGGGAGACAGGGCCTTTTTGAAAGGGTGCTGAGGCGGGTGCTGGTGACTTAGTGCTGCTGGGGTGATGCGCTGCGGCGCTCCACTCCTGGGAACCCGCACGTTTGCCCGTGGTGCCCGTGCCCCTGGCTGGCTGGTCTGGTGTCCTCAGGAGCCGCTCCGGGGTCCCGCACGAGCCCATCTGGTTGGCGCGCTCACAAGGCCCCCGGCTGCCTGCTGACACTTCGCAGTTGCCCCCGAGGGTGCTGCCTCCTCTCCTCGCCCCTCCCGCCCCACTGAGGGGTGTCGCGTTGGACGTTTTCTTTTCCCGGGTGCGACGGGGCCGACGGGCCCTGCGTGTGCACACGTGCGCGTGTGCAGGCGCCAGTGTGTGTGAACCCTGCCCGCTTCACTGAGGTGCTTTAGAAACGGCTGTTTCCTGCCGTGCGACGAGTGTGGTTTGCCTTCTTTTCCTCTGGACCCGCGTGGAGCCCCCACCCGGGGTCCGTGTTGGGGGACTCTGGAGTCACTGACCTCGAGCCCCGGACCCCAGGAGCACGGCGTCTGCCTGGCTGTTATGCCCTGGCACCCGGACCCTTGGCACCTGTGCACAGAATGGAGGGCATCGGGGGTGCAGCGTGGCGGGCGGGACCCCGAGTTCTGGGGAGCCCCATGCTCTGAACCCGGAACCAGGCAGCTGCAGAGATGCGTGTGTGCGTGGTGCGGGCGGGGGTGGCTGCTGTTGAGAGCAAGGCAGGCTCTGAAGGAGGCAGCAGGAGCACGTGCAAGTGTGGGACGGGGTGTGGGGCCTTCCAGCTGCACCCCGGGCCGTGGCTTGGCATAGTAGGTGGGTTGGAAGGGAGCGGGGTGTTTCAGGGGGGAGGCCTGGCCAGCGAGGCCCGCTGGGCTGGGGCTGGTCGGAGGGGCCGGCGGGAGCCGGGCCGGCAGCTGGATGGGCTCTCCGCAGAGGGCCGGGCTCCGCGGTGGGTGGCTGGGTGGGGTCGCCATGGGAGGGTGGACTTGCTGTCGTAGCCTGCCGGGGCGTGGGGTGGAGCTGGGGTTCGGGCTCCGTCTGCTGGGAGCCACGACCGTCCCATGCCGGGGTCCGGGGCTGGAGGGGCTGGAGGGACCCTGCAGTCCTGGCGCCTGTGGTTTTCTTCCTGGAACTCGCACTGTTGAGCTTTTAGGGTTATTTTACCAAAATGTGCCCGGGGAGCAGATGGCGCCCCCTGCAGTGGAGACCCTCAGCCCCACTCGGGGCGCGGGAGCCAAGGGCTGTGGGGCCGGGGCAGGACGCTGGCGGGTCCAGTCCCTGCACCCCGCCCCGCTCAGCGTCGTCTCCCGCAGGCCCTGCCGCTCCCCGGGGAACATGAAACGAGGCCGCCTGCCCAGCAGCAGCGAGGACTCGGACGACAATGGCAGTAAGTGCGGCTCAGGGCGGCCTCGGAGACCCCCGCACACTGCTGGGGCCCTGGCTGCCCAGACCCCGGGGGCTGCTCCCGGGGAGGGGCCGGGTCATCCTGGAGGCCGCCTGGTGCAGCCGGGTCTGAGCGCCCTGGGGCGGCGTGGGGCCTGGGCTGTCGTGCCCGGGGGAGGCGCGGCCCCAGGCCCGTGACGCTGGCCCCGCCGCCGTCCTCACGGCTCCTGTCTGCCCCCCCTCCGCAGGCCTGTCCACCACCTGGTCCCAGAGCTCGCGGTCCCAGCACAGGAGAAACTCCTGCTCCAGACACGAAGACCGGAAGCCCTCAGAGGTGCCGCGGGAGGGGCGTCCGCCGGCGCGGGGCGGCTCTGGGTCACGCTGCTTGTGGGCGCCAGGCCATGCCCTGCGGAGGGAGCCTCCGGGTGAGGCTGGCCCGAGGGTGGACGTGCCACCTTGCACACTGGGGGGGGTGGGGAGGGGTGGGGAGGGGCCGTTCCCGGCCCCGGCCTCGACCCTGCTGCCCTCCAGCCTGTCCTGCGCCGTCCCAGGGGCGCAGTGGCTGTGGTGGCGGCAAGTTCTCGGCCTCCCCAGGCAGGACGGAGCTCTTCCTTGCTCTGTAGACGGGCGGGCCGGGCAGGGCTCCGCGGCCACATGTGGCTGCCCACCAGCGAGCGCCTGACCCGCTGTGCCCGCAGGTGTTCCGGACAGACCTGATCACCGCCATGAAGCTGCACTCCCCACCAGCTGAGCCCCGATGAGTACTGCGTGCTGGCCGACCCCTGGAGGCAGGAGTGGGAGAAGGGCGTGCAGGTGCCCGTGAGCCCCGGGACCATCCCGCGGCCCGTGGCCAGGTGGGCGCCCTGGGCGGCGGCTCCGGGGGCGTCCTGGCGGGCGGGGCGCGGTGTGGGCGAGGCAGATGCACCCCTGCTGCGCCCCGGGGTCACCGCTGCCCGGCTCTCTGCAGGCTCGTGTCTGAGGAGAAGTCCCTCGTGTTCATCAGGCCCAAGAAGTACATTGTGTCCTCGGGCTCGGAGCCCCCGGAGCTGGGCTACGTGGACATCCGGACGCTGGCCGATAGCGTGTGCCGGTACGACCTCAACGACATGGACGCCGCGTGGCTGGAGCTGACCAACGAGGAGTTCAAGGAGATGGGTAAGGCCGGGGTGTGGGGCGCAGGGCGCCCTCCGGGGAGCAGGGCACAGGGCACGGTGGCCCCCGACGGACTGCTGACGGGTGCGGCCGCAGGGATGCCGGCGCTGGACGAGCACACCATGGAGCGGGTGCTGGAGGCGTTCGAGCAGCACTGCTATGACAACATGAGCCACGCCATCGAGACAGAGGAGGGGCTGGGCATCGAGTACGACGAGGACGTGGTCTGTGACGTCTGCCAGTCCCCGGATGGCGAGGACGGCAACGAGATGGTCTTCTGCGACAAGTGCAACATCTGTGTGCACCAGGTGCGGGGGCGCGGGGTGGGGGCAGCCGGGGGTGTGGACATCTGCAGCACGTGTACAGGCGCGCCCCCAGGAGTGCGCCCTGCTGTGGGGCGCCCCGGCAGAGTGGCCGTGAGCCCGGCCCTCCGGGGCGGGGCCTCCCACAGACGGCTCCTTTGCTGTGTCCTGCGCAACTAAGGAAGCGCCACGGCGGCAGCCTCGCTCCTCCAAGGCTCCGGTGCTCTTTGGCCGGCCCAGCTGCTCTGGCCGCTCTCCACATGGGGTCCCCCCCCCCCCCCCCCCCCCGGCTCTTCCCTGCTCGGCTCAGCGCAGCTGTTAGGTACACGGAGCCCAAAGCAGCCCTGGTGGGTAGCGTTTGCGCATCCAGGGGCTGGAGCTTGGCGAATGCAGCCCGGTGCTGGCCGGTGCTGGCCGGTCCTGGCTGCTGGAAGCACCCCCCAGCATCCTCTCCGTGGGCCCCGGGTACAGTGGACGGGGCCCACCTGATCCAGCGAGGCCGCATGGTCCTGCCGCAGGGGCTGGCACTGCCCTTTGGGGACACCTCTCTGCCCGCACCTTTGCCAGGGTGTTGGTGCAGGAACTGAGCTGGCGGGGTGGGGGTGGGGGCCCTGCCGTGAATCGGGGCCGTGCAGTCCCTGGGGCAGACACGTGGGGTGGGACGCGGGGGGTGGTCTCTGCGCCTCCTCTCATGGCTGCCCCGTGGGCCCCTCCTTGCCCGCCCAGGTGCAGTGCACTGGGTCCTCCTCGGCTGTGTGGGGCCCTCCAGGCAGCCTGCGCTGGCGGCTCCCTTGCCGGCCTCAGCTGAGCTTTGGTCTGCACTGCCCGCGGCCGGCAGCACACCGCCCAGAGCCTCCGAGGCCTCTCTGTCCTCGCTGTCTCCAGGGCTACCCTGTGGTGTCACTGGCCGTCAGCTCCCTCTGGCCATGGTGTCCTGCAGCCTGGCAGGGGGACGGAGGCTGGGCTGCCTGGGAGGCTCTTGGGTGCCTGCGAGGGGACGTGCGGGGCTCAGCATGTTCTCCCGCCATGCAGGCCTGCTATGGGATCCTCAAGGTGCCGGAGGGCAGCTGGCTGTGCCGGACGTGTGCCCTGGGCGTCCAGCCCCGCTGCCTGCTCTGCCCCAAGAAGGGCGGCGCCATGAAACCCACGCGCAGCGGCACCAAGTGGGTCCACGTCAGCTGTGCCCTGTGGATCCCCGAGGTGGGTACAGACTGAGGTGGGGACCCCGAGGTGAGGGCCTGGGTTCTGGCGGCCGGGGCAGCCTGGGGCTGGGTGGGGAGGTGAGAGGACGCCAGGACCAGGTGGCTGCAGAGTGGTCACTCCCCTGGGAAGTGGGGTTTTCTGGCCACAGAGAAGAGCTCCAGCACCAGGGCCTCGCAGCTGCCCTACCCTGCTCTGTGCTGACCCCTGTGGCGGGTCCCGTGGGCTGTGACCCCAGGAGGAGGGGACGGCCGTGTCTGGCCCGCGTGGGTCCTGGCTATCTGTCGTGCAGGCAGGATGAGGCTCCCTGCTCCAGTGTTGCCACAAATGGGGCATCGTCATCCGGGGGGGCTGAGGGGCGTCCCTCAGCTGGGGGGCTCTGACGCGCCCCCCGCCTGCAGGTCAGCATCGGCAGCCCCGAGAAGATGGAGCCTATCACCAAGGTGTCCCACATCCCCAGCAGCCGGTGGGCGCTGGTGTGCAGCCTCTGCAGCGAGAAGTTCGGCGCGTCCATACAGGTGACTGTCCGGGTGCGGGGGTTGGGGTGGGCGTGGCCCGACTTCCAGGCCTGAGTCCCCGTCCGCTGGCTCTGCTTCTGCCCGCCCTGGGTGTCACTGCCCTCCCTGTCCTCGGCGACGCCTCCAGGAGAGCCAGGGCCCTGGGATGGCCTCCCCGGCCCTGCCTGCGGCTGACGCGGCCCCAGGCCCAGTGCAGGTTGCTGGGGAGCCGGCCCCGTCCTGGAGCGGGGGTGGGGGGGCCACCACAGGCAGGGCCCAGGTGCACAGAGCGCTGTCTGGACAGCTGGGGGCTCTGGCCGGCGAGGCGAGTGTGTGGAGGGGGGATGGTCCATACGGGGCTCCCGTGCTCTCCCACGACCGCCTGGTTGCAGTGTCTTCAGGCCGGTAGGATTAGGACAGGGTGTGGGGCAGGCGAGTTCCAGGCCTACACAGCAGCCCTGAGAGGCTGTTCCCCTGGGGCCCCGTCCCCAGCTGCCCAGACCGCGCTGGGCCTCTGGCTCCGCCAGCCTCGGCCCCCGCCGGTTGGCCGGCTGCAGGTGGGTCCCGGCCCCACACAGCAGGTCCCGCCTCCTCCGAGCCCCCGCCGGGCCAGTTCTGGCCCTGGGGCCTGGGGTTCTGGAGTCCACCTGGGCTCTTGATTCTCCACGGCCGCCGCCGCCCTTGAGGCCGCCCACGCCCGCCTGCTGGTGGGGACTGTCGGTGAGACGGGGCCGCGGACTTCCGGGCCAGGCGGACCCTCCCAGCATCTTGTAGAAACCTTGAAGGCGCTCAGGTGTGTGCCCAGGCCCGGAGCCGCTGCCCTGTCCCCAGGGACGCACCCCTTCCCGTGCCCCCGTGTGCCCGGGCGACTGCAGCGGGCCCCCGGCCTCCCTCCGTCCCCGCGCTCCGCGGCTCGGGGCCCCTGACCCCGGCTCTTGTCCCCAGTGCTCCGTGAAGAACTGCCGCACGGCTTTCCACGTGACCTGCGCCTTCGACCAGGGCCTGGACATGAGGACCATCTTGGCGGAGAATGACGAGGTCAAGTTCAAGTCCTACTGCCCCAAGCACAGCTCCCGCCGCAAGCACGAGGAGGGCCTGGGCCCGGGGCCGGCGGCGGAGAACGGGGCGGCGCCGCCGGAGCCCTTGGCGGGCCGGGCGCAGGCCCAGGATGAGGGGCCGCGGGGCAGCGCGCGCAAGCAGAAGCTGCAGCAGCTGGAGGATGAGTTCTACACCTTCGTGAACCTGCTGGACGTGGCGCGGGCCCTGCGGCTGCCCGAGGCGGTGGTGGACTTCCTCTACCAGTACTGGAAGCTCAAGCGCAAGGTCAACTTCAACAAGCCGCTCATCACGCCCCGGAAGGACGAGGAGGACAACCTGGCCGAGCGGGAGCAGGACGCCCTGTTCCGGCGGCTGCGGCTGTTCACGCACCTGCGGCAGGACCTGGAGAGGGTAATGACCGACCCCGACACCCTGTAGGGGCCTAGAGAACAGGGGCCGCTGGGACCCACGCGCGCCCGGTGCCTGGCCGCCCCGTGCTCCCCCGCCCTTGCTCCGCGGGAGCTGGGCCCCGGCACCGCCCGAGGGCCGGCCTGGGATGGGGGGCGGGGACAGCGCGCGCGTCAGCCTGGGCGGCTCTGCTGTGGGCCTCGGGGTGCAGCCCTGGGCTCTGGGCTGGCCGGTGCCCTCCGGAGCTCGGGGGCGTGGGCCCGGGCGCTCCCTGCACACAGCGTGTGGTGTCTGGCATGATGGGGTTCCGGGCCGGGGTCTCACTACACGTCGCGGTCAGCAGCTGCAGCCCCTGCGGGGGCCCCTGGGGCGTGGCTGCGGGGCCCTGGACTCCCTGCGGGACTGCCCTCCGCGCAGCTACTGGCCAAGGCTCCTGACCCGGGCGCGTCCACTCCCTGACCCTGTCAGCGCCACGGGCAGCCGAGGGCCCCGGCCCACGCTGCTGCGGGGAGGGCACCCGGAGGACGGAGCTGCCCCTGCACATCCCTAGCTCCCGCCTGCAGTGGGGTGGCCGCCGCGGGACAGTGGGGAGCTATGTGGGCAGTGGCCGCCCAGGGCCTGCTTCACTTGGGGGACTTGAGTGCGAGGTCTTAGTGGCCCAGCGTGGGCGGCCGTGGTGGCCCTTCTGTGACCAGGGGAGGGTCCTGGTGAGGCTGGGTCAGCGCTCTGGGCTGGGCTTGGGCGCGGTTCTGAGTGAGGCCAGCGGGGGGGTGGGGGGGGCACGTGGGTGCGGTTCCGGGTGGACGGTGGCCCCTGGTCGCAGGGGAGGCCCATCACCCTGTGTGGCGTGGCTTGGGTTCGAGGACGAGCAGAGCCCACGGCCTTCCGCTGGGGCCCGGCGGCGGGGGGCGGGGGGGCGGGTGTGCTGTCTGTTCGTCTGGATCACACAGAATAAAAGTGTGGAAAACGCTGTGTTACTAACTCTCTTCTGTGCTGGCTGACTCGCTTAACATGCTCTCAGGACGCGGCAGCGCTCGGCGTCCTGGCTGCTGCTTTCCAGCAGAACGCCGCTGCCGCTGCGTAAGACGTGGGATGAATCAGGGTGCGTGTGCGTGTGTGTGTGCACGCGTGTGTGTGTGCGTGTGCACGTGCTTGGGGGGCTCCTTGCTCATAGCTACTTGATTAAAGATCCTTAGAGTTTTTAGGGGATTCAGTGTCAGATTAAAACGGTTCATTTTAAAAGGGAAGCACGTTCTCCAGGCTTTGGCCCAGGCCTGGGGGGTCTGAGGGGCTGTGGGGTCTGGCGCCCCCCACTTCCCCTGTGAGCCCCCCTGTGGTGCCGTGGGCTCAGCTGCTGCAGGGACATGGTCGCTGGCTCCTGGAGGCCTGCACTGCCCCAGCGTGGTTCTGGGGTGGGTTTGGGGTAGGGGCCGCCGCTTGCTGCCCCCCTCGAGATGTGCCCCTCAGGGGAGCTGCCTCTGGGTCCCCAGGTCTGCAGGTCCCCCTCCCCGGCCCCCTACCCGCCATGGGTGAGACAGCTTGGGCTGTCCCTACTGGGGATTGAGGAGCCGTCTCTGGGCCCTGAGGACAAGGCTCCGAGTGGGCCTGGCCGGCCGCCGCACCACCTGGGCCTCAGTGGACGCCCTCGGACTCCAGAAGCCCGTAGGGCGGCCTCCTGCGATGGCCCAGCGCGCTTCCGCCTGGCCTGGCCTGCCGTGGACCGGGGTGGGGCCTCCCGGCGTGGGCTGTCCAGGTGGGAGTCAGCCAAGGAGGCCGCACCGTGGCCGGGAGATGGACCCCAGAGCGACCCCTTGGGTGGCGCGGCTGCCCCGAGCGCTTGGCTTTTCAGACCTTCTCCAAATGGAGACGGGCGTTTGGGAACGGATGGACGAGCAGAGGCCGCGGGCCGGTCGCCCTGGGAAGTGGCTCGGCCGCCCCGTGGGAGCCCGAGACTTGCCCTGGCCGGGTGACTGGCTCGCCGGCCACTTGAGGGCCACCCCACGGCCCCTGACTCGGGGCTCCCCCGGCTCCCAGGCGCTTCCCTACTGGTGCGGGCGAAGGACTGCAGGGGCTCCGGGACCGGCTTGAATCTGCTTCTCGGGGTGTGGGGCTCTCGGGGCGCTGGGCGTGGCCAGGAAGGGCGGAGTGGGGGTGTCGGGACGGCTGCTGGCCGGTGGCACCGCAGGGTCAGTGCCGCGGGTCGGGGTCCTGCGTGGGGGTGGGGGTGGGGGGGCCGGGCGGGGCGGGGCCCCGTGTCCGCCGGCGGGGCTCAGGCCGTCTGTCTCGCGCAGGTGCGGAACCTCACGTACATGGTGACGCGCAGGGAGAAGATTAAGCGCTCCGTGTGCCGCGTGCAGGAGCAGATCCTCGGCCTCTACACGAAGCTCGTGGAGCAGGAGAGAGTCTCAGGTAGGCGCGCCGCGGGCGAGCGCGTGTCCACCGGGCCGGGCCGAGCCGGACGCCCGGGCCGCGCCCCGCCGTGCGGGGGACCCGGACCGGCGCGAGGCGAGCCCTGGCGGGGCTGGCGGCCGGCGGCGCCCGGGGAGTTGCCCGCTCTGGGGACGCGGGTGGCCCGGCCTGCGCCCCGGGAAGCCGGAGCCGGCGGGGCCGGGGGCGTGGCTGGCCCGGGCGTGGGCGTGGCCGGGCGAGGGGCGTGCCGGGGGCGGGGCCAGGCGTGGGTGTATCTGGAGCCGGGTTGGGTGTGGCGGGGGCGGGGCCGGGGCGTATCAGGGGCGGGCCGGGGCGCATCGGGGGCGGGGCCGTGGTAAGGGGCGTGTCGGGGCGGGGCCAGGGGCGGGCCTAGCCGGGGTGGGGGTGTGTTGGGGCGGGGCCGGGGCGTGTCGGGGCGGGCCAGGCGCCTAGCGGGGGGCGGGGGTGTGCGGGGGCGTGTCGGGGGCGGGGCCCGGCCGGCTCTCCCCAACTGGCCCTGCACGCCCGAGCTGGCGCCGCCCCCCGCCCCGTGGCCCCCTGGCCATGCTGGGAAACCACACAGGGCTGCGACCCGGGCCCCTGGGGCGACCCTGCGGCCGTCCAGGGCGGCTGCAGGAGGGGGCGCCGCGGGGCAGCCTCGGCCCCCGTCGCTCCTGGACGGCGGGGCTCCTGCCGGGCTCCGGGGCCTCCCCGGGCCGGGGCGCCGGCGGCCCGCGAGGACGGCTGGGGGCCTGTCGGGGTCGCCCACGCGGGCACGAGCGGGCAGCAGCGGGCACGAGCGGGCAGCAGCGGGCGCGAGTGGGCAGCAGTGGGCAGGAGTGGGCAGCAGCGGGCAGCAGCGGGCACGAGTGGGCAGGAGCGGGCACGAGTGGGCAGGAGCGGGCAGGAGCGGGCAGCAGCGGGCAGGAGCGGGCACGAGTGGGCAGCAGTGGGCAGCAGCGGGCAGGAGTGGGCAGCAGCGGGCAGCAGCGGGCACGAGCGGACAGCAGCGGGCACGAGTGGGCAGGAGCGGGCAGGAGCAGGCAGCAGCGGGCAGCAGCGGGCACGAGTGGGCAGGAGTGGGCAGGAGTGGGCAGCAGCGGGCAGGAGTGGGCAGCAGCGGGCAGCAGCGGGCACGAGTGGGCAGGAGCGGGCAGGAGCGGGCAGCAGCGGGCAGGAGCGGGCAGCAGCGGGCACGAGTGGGCAGCAGCGGGCAGGAGTGGGCAGCGCAGAGGGCACGAGTGGGCAGCAGCGGGCAGGAGCGGGCACGAGTGGGCAGGAGCGGCAGCAGCGGGCACGAGTGGGCAGCAGCAGGCAGGAGCGGGCATGAGTGGCCAGCAGCGGGCACGAGTGGGCAGGAGAGGGCAGCAGCGGGCACGAGTGGGCAGCAGCGGGCACGAGTGGGCAGCAGTGGGCAGCCGCCGCCCCGCCTGGCGCCGTGTGCCCAGCTGGGGCGCCCGGCAGAGGGCGGCAGGGGAGGCGCGCGGGCCCTGTGGGGTGCGGCTGCCCCGGCGGCTGCTCGGCGCTCCGGCCCCGGGGGGGCAGCTCAGCCGGCGTGTGGGCGGCCGCGTGGGGCCGGCTCCTGCGTGGGGGCGCCCGCCTGCTCCCTTGGGGTCGTCGCGCCTGCGGGGAGGGGGTGCAGAGGCTCAGGCCCGCCTGCCCCCCGCCCCACCCACCCGGCGCTCGCCCCCACCCACCCGGCGCCCGCCCCCAACCCACCTTGCCGTCGGGCGGGGAGGGCCTTTCCGGCGGGGAGGGTCTGTCCGGCGGGGAGGGTCTGTCCGGCGGGGAGGGCCTGTCCGGCGGGGAGGGTCTGTCCGGCGGGGAGGGCCTGTCCGGGGGGGAGGGCCTGTCCGGGGGGGAGGGTCTGTCCGGCGGGGAGGGCCTGTCGGGGGGAGGGCCTGTCGGGGGGAGGGTTTGTCGGGGGGGGAGGGCCTGTCCGGCGGGGAGGGCCTGTTCGGGGGAGGGCTGTCCGGGGGGGAGGGTCTGTCCGGCGGGGAGGGCCTGTCGGGGGGGAGGGCCTGTCCGGGGGAGGGTCTGTCCGGCGGGGAAGGGTCTGTCCGGGCGGGGGGGAGGGCCTGTCGGGGGGGAGGGTTTGTCGGGGGGGAGGGCCTGTCCGGCGGGGGAGGGTCTGTCCGGGGGGGAGGGTCTGTCCGGCGGGGAGGGTCTGTCCGGGGGGGAGGGTCTGTCCGGGGGGGAGGGCCTGTCCGGCGGGGAGGGCCTGTCCGGGGGGAGGGTCTGTCGGGGGGGAGGGCCTGGTCGGGGGGGAGGGTCTGTCGGGGGGAGGGCCTGTCCGCGGGGGGAGGGTCTGTCCGGGGGGGAGGGTCTGTCCGGCGGGGAGGGCCTGTCTGGGGGAGGGCCTGTCCGGGGGGGAGGGTCTATGGGGGGGGAGAGGCCTGTCCGGGGGGAGGGCCTGTCGGGGGGGGGAGGGCCTGTCCGGCGGGAGGGTCTGTCCGGCGGGGAGGGTCTGTCCGCAAGGTCTGTCGGGGGAAGGGTCTGTCGGGCGGGGAGGGCCTGTCCGTCAGGGGAGGGTCTGTCGGCGGGGAGGGCTGTCCGGGGGAGGGTCTGTCCGGGGGGGAGGGTCTGTCCGAAGGTCTGTCGGGCGGGAAGGGTCTGTCCGGCGGGGAGGGCCTGTCCGGGGGGGAGGGCCTCCTGTCCGTCAGGGAGGGTCTGTCCGGGGGGGAGGGTCTGTCCGGGGGGAGGGCCTGTCCGTCAGGGAGGGTCTGTCCGGGGGGAGGGTCTGTCCGGCGGGGGGTTCTGTCCGCCCCGTCTCACCGCCCCGCCCCCCCCAGGTGTGCCTTCCCCGCCCGCGCCGCCCTGGAGGGCCGGCTCCTGTTCAACAGCCCCTCGGCGGGCCCCGGCGCCCCGAAGATCGAGGACCTCACGTGGCACTCCGCCTTCTTCAGGAAGCAGATGGGCGCGCCCGGGCGCCCCCGCGAGCCCCGCTCCTCGGCGCCCCCGGGGGCCCGGCCCCGCCCTGCTGCGGGCCCCGGACCTCTGCGGCCGCCGGGGGGGCCCCGAGAGCCTCCCGGGCTTCGAGAAGACGCCGGCGGAGGCCCGGCTGCCGCCCGCGCCCCCGAGGAACGGCCTGGTGGCGCCCCGGCCCGCGGCGCGCGGGGAGCCCGGGCTGCCCGGAGACCCCGGCCGGGCCGACGCGCGGGGCCGGCCCTGCAGACAGAGCCTCCGGCCGGCGCGGCCCCCGGACCCCGGCCGCGCGGGCCCCGGGCGCCCCGGCCCCCGGAGGGAGGCGCCGCCGCGGTGCAACGGCGCCCTGGCGCGGGCACCCCCCGCGCACGCCGCCGCCAAAGTGCCTACGACGCCGGCCAGCCCGGCCAAGAACTGGGGGGGCTTCCGGATTCCAAAGAAGGGGGAGCGCCCGCCGCCCGCCGAGGCGCAGGAGGGCGCCGGGCCCCACGCGGGACCTGCCCTACCTGGGCCTGGGGCGCGGGGCCCCCCAAGGAGCGCGCCCCGAGCCAGCCGCGGCCGGACCCCGAGAGCGACGGCTACGCGCCCGACGTGGAGATGAGCGACTCGGAGAGCGAGGCCCCCGACGGCCAGTGTGCCGCGCGGGGGGGCCTGGGCCGCGGGCCCGCGCTCATCCGCCGCAGCGTGCTGGCCTCCTGACCCGGCGCGGCGCGGGGCGGGGGTGCCGGCCGCGGCCTCGACGTCCAGGCGGGGCCTCCCGGGCGCGGCCGCGCTTCCGACAGGAAGGAAAACAAAGCAGAATAGGTTATTTTGAAAAACCACGGAAAGGCAATAAGTTGCGAGGACCCCTCCCCGGTGGGCAGGAAGGGCCGAGGGGGGCCTCGCCGCGGGGGCCGGTCAGCCCCGGCTCCCCCTGCGCGCGGCAATAAGCAGCCAGTGACCAGCAATAATAAACCTGCGTTCAACCCCGTCCTCTGTCCTGTCCTTGCGCCGGCGGCGCGGGGCTCTGTCTTCTCCGGAGTCGGTGTCGTCGAGAGGCCCGCGGGGGCGGCCTGCGGGCGGGGCGCCCGGGGGGAGCCCGGCGGGGCGCCCGGCTCTGGTTCACGACGCGTCTTCCGAGGCCCGCCCGCCCCCGCGCTATGCAAGCCGCCCGCCGGCCGGGGAGGTCCTGGGGGCCACCTACCCGCTGATGGGGGGCGAGGGCCGGGCGGCGGCGTGTTGGGGCCGCGGGGCGCCCGTCGGGAGACGGCCGTCCGGAGAGGCTGTTGCTCGGAGTCCCAGCCGTGCTGCGTCTCGCAGGGCGTCCTTTAAACGTCAGATTTGATTTTATTTTTTTTGCATTCGAGCAAAAGCCTTTTCTGGGTTCAGAGTAGGTGGACATCTCTGCCCTTCTCTGGCGACCGCGGCGACCGCGCGGGGTGAGCAGGATGAGCAGGATGAGCAGGAGACTCTCAAGCCATAGAAAGAAAGTCTAAATTCCCTCTAGTAAGTGTGCGGCCTCGTCCCATTCCCAGAGGCCCAGATTCATTTGCACTATGAGGAATGCTAGTTTTGTGCAGAAAATAATGCCTTACCTGTTTCCCCCACATTTAGGTTGAAAAGCTTTCGAACGTTCCAAGTTACGCTGAACCAAAAAAAAAAAAAAAAAAACCCCAAACAAAACAAAAAATAAAAAATCCCACACGAATGAAAAAGTCCACACTTGTTACTCCTGCTTCGAGATGCAAACGGTGCAGCCCGCTGGCCGCCGGGGCTCGGGGTCCGAGACTCGGGGCGCCCGGCGGCGGCCGCACCCACTGCACCGTCAGTGGGAACCATTGGCTCGGTCCTTCTTTCTTTTTTTTGGTTAAGCTTCACCTTCCTTGTGCATCCTGACCGGGAAATAGCTCTGATTGTGCTCAGTGTCTTCTGTCGAAGTGTCGGCTAGTGCCACTTGCGTGGACTGCCTGGAGAGTCCCTCGTGAGGTGATGGACACAACCGGAATGGAGGAGTCTCGGTGTTGTGGGCGAATCTTCGTTATTCTGCGCGGGGCGGCCGTGTGGCCACCTGCCCGCACGCGGAGGACTTTCACTACGTGCCTAGCTTGGAGTCCGCGCGGCTGGAACGGGGGCGTGAAGGTGCATGAAGAGTGAAGACCCAGAATCCCGCAAAGTCTATGTAGAGATGACTATTTTATATGACACGGCCCGATCCTGTATTTATTTCTACCCCTTTTGGAAAGTATTTATAAAACTAGGTGAGGACAGCTGTATTTTTTTGTTGAACTATTTAGTAGAATTTGTGCCTTTTTGTCTGTATGTGAATAAATGCTGTACATTTTGCAATACACGTCAAGTGTCTCTGGAAATACGCTTTTCCTCAATGTTGGAAGGTGCGTGCGGCACCGCGGCCCGGTGGGTGTCCGCTGTGGGCTCCCGGCTCGGCCGAGGGCCGAGGAGGCCGGCGGGCGGTGGCGGGGGGTCAGGCCCTCCTTGGCTCTGGCGCGCTGGCCCCGGTGCCGCTCAGGCCCGGAAAGCGCTTCTGTTGAAACAACGGACGGGCTGAAGCCGCGGTGACCCGCCCCGGCCGGGGACCGGGGTCTGCGGTGCCGCCCAGCGCCCAGCTCTCGCGGGCAGGAGGCCCTGAACTTTGTGACCGTGGACGAAACAGTGTATTTCCCCCCCCCACCCCGATATAATGTTGACTGATGAGGCGTCTACGGTGAAAAGTCGTCCGGGTGACCGAAGATGGTATTTCTAAGCTTTGAGAAAATGCTTCCTTGAGGAGCCGTTTGAGTCAGTGCTGGTTTCAACCACAGAATTCGGGGGCGCTGGGGCGGGGGCGGCCGCCTGTCTGCTCCAGGCTGTCCTGGGGCGCCTGTCCGAGGTCTCGGGCTCTGCAGGGCACGGGGAGCGCGGGAGCCCGGGGGCGGGGGGGGGGCGGACACTCCCGCATTCCCGGGTTGTGCTAGAATGTGGCCAGCACCGTTTTTAGACCGTGAGTTGTTTACAGTCTGAGGAAAAGCCCGTTCCTGGTGACTTGGCTCCGTGTTGCCCGCGGCGAGGCAGACCCTCCCGGTGCCCGCGGGGCGAGCGCAGTAGCTCGCTGGGAAGTCAGGTGGGGAAGCCAGAGGCCCGGCGACCCTTGGAAAAGCAGCTCGGCCTCGGAGACGGCGGCCGTCGGGAACGAGAGTGGCTGCAGCTTCACGGTCAGCTGCCGGCCGGGGTCTTCCCGCCCGGCTGCCAGCTCGAGGGGACGCGCACCCGGGAGCAAGCGCGGGGCTTAGGGTCAGAGCCCGCCGGGCGTCTGCGCCAGAGCAGGGCCGCCGTCCCCCAGGGGGCAGTCGTCGGCCCAGGCGGGGGGCCGGGGCCTTCTCCAGGCCCATGGGGGGCAGGTCTGCGGCCAGCCGGCCTCGCGGGCTCGCGCGCAAGCATCAGCCCTGGGCCGGGCCGGGAGACACACCTCACGGACACGCCACGGCAGTTAGATGCGGAAATGCAGGACAGCAGCACTCGGGAAAGCGCAGAATTTATTACATTCGTGTTCAGAATAGACGGGGACTTGGGGAGTGAAAAATGGGTCAGGACCAACAACTAGATGTGAAATGATCAACTCTTGGAACTAAAATGTTAAAATCCTAGCATTTTCTTGAAAGATTTCTTTCTTTCTCATGATTCGCACGGTCTGCGGTGTATTTTGTGCCGGGGGGCGGGGGTTCGAGAAGAGCCGGGCGGTGTAGACAGGCAGCTCCTCTGCAGCCCTCGGCCGAGAGGCCCGCGCTGCTCACCTGCGGCGGCGGCTCCTCCTCCAGGCGGGCGCCCGCCTCGGGCCCTCCGCGCCGGGCGGGGTCAGGTGCCCTCCAGATCCACCCTGGACGCGGCTCTCCTCCGCTGCACCGCGGCCGCGCTGAGCTGCAGAGGAACAAACAGTTGGCCAGCAGTTACCTCGCTGCGGAAAGTCCGAGGCCAACGACGCGCCACAACGTGGGGTGACCGGAGAGCTCTTACCGGAGGGGACTGTGGGGTCCGTGCTTGGCTGTCGCTGTCCGGGGACACCAGAGGCTGCGCGCCACGCCCCGCGCTCCCGCCAGCCCGGGCTCAGCACCGCCCGGCACAGCCGTGGGAAATCCCCGAGGAAGTGGGGCGCGGCTGCTGGGCGTGCGCCCCGCAGCGCGGGAGGCAGGTGACACAGACCACCCGGGGGAGCTGAGTGACCCCCACGCGGCAGGCGCGCCACCACGCCACACGCCACACCCCGCACTCGGCCCCAGGCCTGGCGCGCACAGGCCTCCCCGCCGCCCTCCTTCCCGCGTGCAGGCGGGTGCGTGACCGGGATTTCCCGCCCTCCAGCCCAGCCCGCCGCGGCTCCCGCGGTCCTGCAGCATCCGCAGCCTGGCGGCGGCCCCGGGGGGCGTGGGCGGGCACGGGTGGGCGCGCCTGGGCCGAGGGGCCGGCTTCTAAGGGCGGCGGCGGGGGGACGCCCGCAGAGGCCAGAGAGACGCGGCCCGGGACGAGGGAAGCCTCGGGGGGCTGGACGCCTGCCCGCCCCGGCCCGCCCCGCCGTGGCCCCGGGAGCCGCGCGGCTCGTGGCGTGAAAGCGCAATAAACCCTGCAGAGCCGCCCAGGGCTCCAGGCCGCGCCTTCGCCCGCCGCTGGGGAGAGCCCGCCGCCCTGCCCGCGCCGCGACACAGCCTCTTCAGCCTCCCGTCCCGGCTCCTGGAAACGTGCAAGTGGGGTGCCGGCTTGTGTGTCCCCCTTGTTGGTCTGAACAAGGGCAAGGGCTGCGCGCTCCCTCCTTTTCCCAGCCGGAACTATGCCTGGACCCCCGAGGCCGTGGCAGCGCGGGCAGGAGCGGAGCTGAGCCCTCGGGTGGGGCGGGGGCTGCGTCTCCAGGCGAGGGCGGCTCGTGATGGGGGTCTCCAGGCCCGAGGGTGTCTCCAGGCCGCCATCCGTCCCTCCTGGCCCGGGGCCGCTGGGCACTGGGTCCCGGCCGGGGAGCTAGCGCGGGAGTCGGTTTCCACGGGCTCGGCCCGGCCCGCCCGTCGTTGCTCCGGTTTCGGGTGTCAGCGCTGGCGCGGGGAGACCCCCACGCTGGCCACGGAGCGCGCCGGGGGGCGGCGTCCCGGTGGGGCCCGCTGAGGCCGCAGCCCCCACGCAGCGCTGGGCCGGGCAGCCAGGCCCGGGAGCCCTCGGGCCGGGCGGCTGTCGGGGGGGCGGCCCCCACGGGCGCTGTTTCTCGCTTGTAGAGGGAGATGGAGGCCCGGAGAGGCTTCCGCCAAGGCAAAGATAAAGCTCGTGACTTAGACTCACTCGTCCGGGGCCGCTTTTCTCCCGTGTGAAGACGAGACGGAGGCTGGAGCCGCTGCCCGACGCCAGGACCCTCTCAGGACATGGGGCGCGGGCTCCTGCCCCCGGCCTAGACGAGTGATTCGCGAGCGGGAATTAATGTCTCACGTCACAGTTTCAGAACCAAGTCTTGGATGAAGCTAAAGGACTCCCAAGAGGGAGCGAACAGAAGCGCAAATGAGTCCTGACTTCTTTCCGTGGACGCCAAGGTCTTAGCAGACGGAGCTTCTGCCCACAGCCGTGACGCCGGGACGGCCCGAGCGGGGAGCCCCGGGGCTGCTCCGGCCCCCGGAGAGGCGCAGCGGCGAGGGGGCTTCGTCCTGACCCCACGGCCCGCGGAGAGCCAGAGCAGCGAGCGGCGCGGGAACCGCGTCGACCTTGGTCCCTGTCGCGGCGCCGCGTCCACCCTGCCTCTCGCGGGGCTGCTCCACCCCCCCGGCAGGAGGGAGACTGCGCCGCCTCTGAACAAACGCCCGTCGAGCCACCGCCTCTCGGGGCTCACCACGTGCTGCCCCTCCTGCTTCCCGCCGCGGGGCTTTGTCGCGCAGTCCAGAGCCACGGGCAGGCACACGCGGCCCTGGGCTCGCAGATGAGCCGAGTGATCTTCCCCCTGAAAAGCGCAGTCGGCGCACGGCGCAACCCGGAGCAGGGTGTCGGGGGCCAGGCCGCCCACGGGGCAGACGGGCACGGCCGTCCCCGGGGCTCCCTGCGCTGACGAGGCCCTGCGTCGGGCACCACGTGGCAGCCCCGCCCCGCCCGGCCTTGCTGCCAGGGCCCCACGCCAGCCTCACGGCCGCCCGAGCACATGGCTGCTTCTGCCTCTACAGTTCCCAGCCTCAGACATTAGAAAGACGAAGCAGGTAAATCGAGTCAAGCGGAACTGCCGGTTTCCCGGGAACCCCTGAGGAGCCCCCACCCGTCTCCCCCCGAAGCCCACCTGCAGACCTACCTGCTGGACGGCCGAGGCGGCTCTCTGCTCTGCCTGGCTTAGCCGCCGCTGCAGCCTGCTGGCTTTCTCCTGATGCTCTAGAATCAGCTTCTCGCTCTGTCGCGGGGAAACACGTGGAGACGTGGCGTCGACAGTCACGAGGCACCGGACACAGCCTGCCACTTGGCGAGACGCCGAGGCTGCCTCCGGGCCCGCGTTGCTCGAGGAGGGACCTCAGTGCTCAAGGTGGGTTTTACATCTGACTCCAGGGCCCCCCTCTTGCCACCAGTGAACTGGGGCACCCGGCACAGTGAGCGAGGACTCGCCGGGGCGCGTCCCTGTGTGGAGCTGAGGCGCAAGGCCCCTGCCCCAAGGCCTGGAGACTGGGAAGACGCGCCTGGGCCCCTGGGCCGGCCGCCTCCCGGCGGGAGCAGGGGCAGCGTCCAGGGAGTCGTGGCGCCTGTCCTACAGGTCTGAAGGGCCGCCCCACAAAGGTCTTGGTGGAAGGGGAGGCCCCGCGTCCCCACCCTCTGTCTGCCGTGGGCCCCAGAGCTGCGGGGCCACAGTCACTAAAGCACCGTGAGGGGCTCGGCTGTGACCCAGAAAGGGAAGCTGAAGCCCCCCGGAGGTGAGCAGCACCGGGCTTGGGCCCAGCTCCCGGAGGGCCGCTCTCTGGTGTCCGCGCCCGGGAGCTGCTGGGCTTCTTACACGTGTGAGTGTGCCCTCATTTGGAAGTTGGTTAGGCTTAGGGGCGTCACGGGGGGCAGCAGGCCAGTCTTCATGAAAAGGGGCCGTCTGCAGCGAGGGTGGCTGTGGACAGAGGGCCCTGGGCCAGCTCTCGGAGGCCAGGCAGGAGGTGGGCGCACCCCGGGGCCCCACTGGGCACCCCCAGGGGCGATGCCGCAATGGCAGCCTCTGGGGCTGGCTGTCACTGATGCCCAGTGGGGGCAGAGAAGCTGCAGGTGAAGGTGCTCCTGGCCCGCGACAGCCCGAGTCTGTGCACAGCAGCCATGTCCGCCCTGCGCCGGCCTGTCGGGCCAGGACACGCTCCCGCTGGAGCACGGCAGCCTCGCGTGGGTGCTGCGCCTCCTGCTCGGCGTCACAGGCCCGGCTAGCCCGAGCTGACTGGGGGTTACGCCCAAAAGCAAAATTATTTTATTCTTTAAATTATTCTAAATACGTTCCTGAAAGTGGGGCTCACAGCACGGGCACCTCAAGGGCTCCCGTTTTCTCACTGGCTCGTCCCCGTTTTCATCCCCCGGGTGGCCTCCCGAGGCGAGAGGCTTGGGCCCGGGGTTGGGGGGGGAAGCCCAGCAGCTCCGGGGCGCTGACACCAGAGGGCGGCCCTCTGGGAGCCGGGCCCAAGCCCCGTCCTGCTCACCTCCAGGAGCCGAGACGGGAAGCCCCGACTCCTGCAGCTCTGAAGCGCGACCCGCAGGCCTTGAACGCCCCGGCAGGCAGAGCACCTCCCCGGGCTGCTGGGGCTAAAAGCCGCAGGCGCAGGGCCGAGGGGACGTGCGCTGGCCTGGAGCAGCCCGGGCCTGCGCCTCCCTCCGCGCTGCGTCCCCTCGGGGCTGGGGGTCCTGCGGGAGGCACATCTGGGGGGCCGAGTGTGGCGCTGCCGCCCGGGCTCTGCCGCTCTCTCACCTCGGCCGCCTTCTCGCTCGCCATTTCCAGCTGAGAAAGCAGCTCCTGGGTGCGGAGTTTCTGTCGACTCAGCTCACTCCTAGGCACAGAGCAAACCCCGGCCGTTAGTGGCACCGATGGGAACGGGAACAAGACGGGGTCTTCATGACCGACACACGTTCACGTTTGCATCAAAAACACCATCTTGCGTTGAAACAAGCTGCTGACTCGCGGGCCGCGGGCCCTGGGATCGGCCAGCCAGGCCTGCGAGGGTCCTGGGGCGACTGAGCATCGTGAGCACCGGCGGTTGGCGCTGGCAGGGGAGCGGCTGCCGGGCACTGACCGCTGCTCCCCGCAGGCTCTGGACAGGCGGGGGTGCGGGCCGGGCGGCGCTGCGGGGGAGGGACGCGGGGGACGCGCCTTCGCTCCGGCCTCCACCCCAGCTTGCTGCCTGTGGGAGCCGTGCTGGGCAGACACCCCCGGCCTGACCTTGGCTGTAACGGGCTGGGAGCGCAGCTCACGTGGCCTAGGAGCACACGCGGCCGGCGCTCGCCGGGCTCCTGACGCCTCAGGGAAGTTACCGGGAGCCGTCAAACCCTGGTCGGAGGGTGGACACGCGGAGCGGACAGTGGCCGGGAGCAAGGAGGGAACCGGCAGGAAGGAGAGTGACAGGCAGCTGCGGGCCTCGGGGCCGGGCCCAGCGCGAGGCTGTCCAGGGGCACCTGGCTGACACCCAACGTGGCCCGGGGCGGGAAGCAAGGCCAGGACCAGCCATCAAAGCTGAGGTGTCTTGTGACCCCGACCTGAGGGGCTGCAGAGGTGAGACCAAGATGCCAGTCCCCCGGCGAGCCGGGAGCCCCGGGTTGGAGCAAACGGGGAAGGGCCAGGCAGGTCCACCAGAGCAACACAGCGAGTGTGCGGGGCCGATGAGCTGCTGTTCTTGCAGAGCTAATGAATGTCGTCTCAATACCCTACTTGCTCCTTCCAGTACACAAGTCGCAAAGGGGTGGCCCTGCCTTCCTCTTAAACTTGACCCAACGTGGCCGCCAGGGACAGAGGCTTTCTCTGAGCAGACGCACAGTCAGTCCCCAAAGCCGCTGACCATGCGAAGGTGATTATGTCAGCAAACGGGACGGTGGATCTCCCCGGAAGGCCTCAGCACTGCGGCCTCACGCAGCAGGAGGCGTGGCTACGGGGCCTGCTGCGCCTCCACCAGGTTGTCAGCTCTCAGGCCCTCGTGCATCTCCCACCTCAGCGCTCTCATCACAGCGGACAGTCCAGGCGGTCAGAAGAGCACGTCCTGACCCAGGTTCGGGACTGAAGTTGTCTTCAGTGCTGTCTTGACTGAGGCCTCTCTAGAGGCGGGTCAGTTCCCTTCTTGGTGCTCATGAAATCCACCCTCCCAGCCACTTCCCTGCAGGCTCTACTCCCCCTTGGGGCCCTGCCCGAATCCCCAGGCCCAGACACCAGACCCCGGGGGCGGTCCCTGCTCAAACGATGGCCATTTGCCCCAGCTCCTTCCTTCCAGCTGTGCCCGCACCCTGTGGCCTGTGTCAGAGCAGGGCTCCCCATGGGCCCGGGCGTGTGCTGCGAGTGCCCGGGGAACTGAACCCCTGAAAGGGTGACTGTCTGATATCTCCCGTTCTCATCCAGCCTCATCACAGCCTCGGGGCTCAATGCGAGGAGACCCACGCCTTCCTCCTAGTCAACAAGCGTAGGGCCAGTGGGTTCCCCGGGCGTTTTACACCACTGGCCTCTGGGCCTTCACCTGTAGCTTGATCGTGCTAATGCAGAAGGCGCTTGGGAGTGTGGGTGCGGGGCACGCGTGCCTGAGTGTGGACGCTGGGAGTGTGGGTGTGCACGCATGCGTAAGTGTGCACACCTGTGCTCAGAGGCGGGGATAAAGCAGAGGCGTCGGGGGCAGGACGAGGACGAAGGATGTGATTGCAGAAGAGGTGAGGCCACAGGTGAGCGCCAGGGAGAGCCGGAGAAAGAACACAGCTTCACGCGGGCTGGAGGGTCGGCTGCCTGCCTGCCCCCCGGCCCCCCTACCTGGGTCTGGGCCGGCCTCCCTGCCTGGCGCCCGCGCACCTGGGTCCCTGAGAGAGCATTAGAACCTGGAAAGCCCACTGAGGGCTCCGGGACTCTATCCGTCTGCCCGAATCAGTGAAGCTGCCCCGTGCCTGCTGGCGCTAGAGCAGCAACGCGAGCCTCTACACCCGTGCTTGTGGAACATGCGGAGTCCACTAGATGCCCCGGGTAGGGTGAGGGAGACGGTCAGGCTTTACGCCACCGGCCTCTGTGGCCATCACGGCGGCCTTGAAAGCAGGAGGTGCTTGGGCCTGACGGTGGACACCTGGGGTGCGGTGTGGGCCTGTGTGAGCGGGCGCCCCTGGGCCTGCAGGCGGAGGCTGTATGGCGGCGTCACTCGGGACGGCTGCAGTGGATGGAGAAGGGCTGCGGCGGGACAGCTATGGGACGAGGGACTGCAGCGAGGCAGGACCAGGAGGCGCCACCAGAGAGCCCAAGGAGAGGCATGCATGAAGATCCGCAGGGGCCGGAAGGCCCGCCAGCCTCTGGGCCCCGGGCCCCCTCCTTGCCAGCCTGCGGCTCGCCCCGTCACAACGGGCGTAGAAAGAGCCTGAAAAAGCCACTGAGGGTGCCGGGCTCTCCTTTCCCGTCTGCCCGAAGAGCCTGAGAGCCAGCCCGGGGCCCGCCGGCCCCACACCTGCCGCCGGCCCCGACTCACTCCACAGCTGCGCCCGCTTGCACTCCAGGCTGGCGACCGGCCCGACAGGCGAGCCTGGAGACGAGCGCCCCGGCAGCGAGGCCGCCGTGCTGGCCGAGGCGGGCAGCTGCAGTGTGTTCGGTCCAGGAAAGGCACGCCGGGTCAGCCGGGCTGGCCACGCGGTAAGGACGCCAAGACGGTGAAAGCGTTAGGGAGACTCCCAGCACGCCACCCAACTCCTCCGGAACAAACGCGCGTGACGAGAACGACAAGCCTAACGCCTGCCGGAGCAACGCCGCCTGCCGAGCCCTGGACGGTGTCTGCCCCGTGCTTCGGACCCGGTTCTGCTGCCAGTCGGGACGGGTGGAACCGGGCCCCTCCTCACGGTAAAGGTAGGTGCGTCTGGCCGACCGGCCCCGGGCCAGCGGCGGTCGCCGAGCAGAGGCGGGTCTCCGGCCGGGGCGGTCGGGCTCCAGCCCACTCCCCGGGGGCCCACCTGGGGCCGCCTCCCTGGCTCCGGGACGGACAGCGCTGGCCAGGCTTCAGGATGAACGGCGTCTCAGCACCGGAGTCGCTCTTGTTCCTTCCTGTCACCCTGAGCTCGCGGCACTGGCTGGTGGATGTGAATGCGTTTGACACGTTCATTTACTGCACGGTTCTCGGTGTCCAAGGGCCCCCGCGAGGCCAGGGGGAGCCTTCTTCAGTGGGCCCGAGACCGGCAGGGTCTCCCCGCGCCGTCCCGCAGCTCCAGCTCCGTAGCCGCCCTCTCGAAGGAGCCTGGGTTCTGCTGGGAGACGGCGCGCGGGTGAGCGCCGACCCCGGTCTGCCGGGCCCTGGCGCGGACGGAGCTAGGAGGACGTGGTAAGTGCGAAACAGCGCCGAACCCACCCCCTCGCTTCTCCAGCTCAGAACTGAGTTTCATTTCATTTCTTTGAATTTCTCTTTTCATGAAAATCTTGGCTCTTAAAGGCATTTATATAATTACTCCATTGTTTTATCCTATAATTATAAGTTTCAGCATAAAACCAATATTATTCCTAACGCCATTGCCATTAAAAACAGCCTGCGTGGAGGCATTCCTTTTCAGCCCTGGGATTAATCCCACTAGGAAAAACAATCTAATTACTGTGTTAATGTCACTTGAAATGTTTCAAGCCATCAACTTCCTGAACAACTAATCTGTTTGATCTTGCTTTTTTGTACTTTTAAAAACATCAAAAATTTTTTAAAAATATTTTAAGGATCCATTCATTTATGCATACAAGAACTGGGCTGCGGGCCACAGGCGCGGGGGCAAGAGGACTCCCCAGAGGCAGAGCGGGGAGCAGAACAGGCAGATCCACTGAAATCCACGGCTGAGGGGAGCAGCGGGGAGACAGGAGAGGTCTGCTGCGCCCTGTGGGTAGCTCCCTGGCCAGGGATCGAACTCAGGCTGCAGTGGCTGAGGATAGTGCTGAGACTTTAACCCTTGTGCCACCAGGGAGGTCCCTAAATTTTTACTTTTTAATTAAATTTATTTTGTTACATCACTCATTTTTGTATGGCATTTGATTTCTCCCCTCAGGTGTAGTCCCTGTAGCTCCCCACTCTCCACCCCCACAGCACCAGTGAGCCATCTCCACCACCCGGGGGGCTCTTCCCTCCCATGTGACCCCTCCCTCGCCTCCCCTGCTGGATGCCTCAGATCTATGGTCAGTTGGCAAGTTTTGTCTCTTCCCTGACCCTTTATTTGGTTTCTCTGTATTCTAATATTTATCTTTTTCCTTCCGACTTGTTTCTTTCAGCACCATCCCTTCCAGCTCCATCCAGCTGCAGCAAATAGCATGAGTTCATCTTTTTTGATTGCTGCACAGCATTCCAGTGCATATACAGACCACGCCTTCTCCATCCAGCGATCTGGTTTGGGCATCTGGGCTGTTTCCGTATCTCAGCTATGGTAAGTGGTGCTGCAATTAACATAGACGTGCAGGTTCCCTTTGAATTGGTGGTATTTTTAAAAACATTTAATTCTAAAACTAATTACATAAACACTCATATAGTTTCAATTGTCCCTTTTTATACGTGTATAAAGAAGATTTATTCCGAAAGGTCTGAGGTCTTTGTCCTCATCCCCTCTCCCTGCACAGATGGCCGCTTCGCTGTGCGTTGGCCCCTCCACCTCCTGAGCAGAACGGCAGGTCTGCATGGGGAGTGTGGGGCAGACCCGGCCCGTCTGTGCCGACGGACGCACAACACCCCCCTGGGAGGGACAACCCTGGACACATCTTTACACTTGCTTTTCCACTTGATGTATCTCGGGTACTGTCCACGTGCAGGCTTTTGCTGGGGATCTCGCTGCGTCTGGAGTTAAGGGGGTGATGTTCGTGACGCTGTAACACTGAGCATTCTGGTCACTGGCGTGCTCGCCCTGGCCCTCATTCCCACTACTGCAGTTTGCACGCGGAAGCCACACCCCGTTGGATTCATTCCTGGGTATTGGGTGCTTTTGATGCAGTTGTAAATTTTACTATTCTTAAGGTTTTACTTTGAAATGCCTGCTGCTGGCTCGTAGAAATACAACTGATTTTTGGATATCCACCTCATAACCTATCCATTATTTCGGGCTTTCTGCACATACACCCGTGTTGTCTGCCAAGAGGACTGCGCCTCTGCCCCTGCCTGTGGTCTTTTCTCTCTCCTGCCCCAGCACACGGAGGTCCTGCGCCAGGGATGGCTGCGGTGGGAGTGCCCGCCTTCAGAGGAAAGTGGGCTTTTTTGCCTGTCCAACAAAAATCACTACCTTGAGGAATATGCACAAAGTGTATAAAAATATGCAGTATTAGTTTTGTCTTGCAGTGTTAAATAGTTTTCACGCTAGGTCTACAAATACCTGCAGAATAAAAAAAGTAAGAGTTCCAGAATCACACATTTCTACAAAGAGACTAAGGCAAAGACATTGGAGGTTAAATAATGTCCTTGGTCAAGTGGACCCGGCAGCGAGCGTGGACTTACTTCAGGCTGCTGATCCTGACTTCCGCACTCTCTGCGACCTTCCTCGCTTCTTCTCGCCACCGGCTGGCGGTCTTCTGCTGCGTGGCCAGGAGGTGCCTCAGCTCCACCGTGGAATTCCGGCTGCTGTCCTCCATCTCTCGCAGCTGAACTTCAAACCCACGTTCCTTGATGGAGAACTCGTGTTCCATCGTGCTGATCTAAGGGATGAAACGGACACAAGCCTTCTTTCTCGCTGTCACGCTACGAAACGCACCCATCCCTGGCGTGCACACGTGGAATCACACCCAGGCATCTGCAGCGCAGGGCTGGGGCCCGCACACCTCCACCAGCTCAGCCCCCGGCCTGTCTCCATCGCGAGGGAGGCCTGCCCCGCCCTGCCCTGCCCTGCCCCGCGGGGGCCCCACATGGCCGGCGGAACCCGGCCCGGCCCAGCGTGCGGCTGCTTTCGTCGTCTTTTGCTTCTGCGCCAGAATCCATGGACCATGTCCACGCTCTTGGCTAAGAGCTGGGTGGTTACTGAGTCACTGAGACAAAGGGTTCAAGAACAGCCGAATGGGAGAGATGCAAAGGGCAGGGGGCAGCGAGTAGGGGGTTCTCAGGCCTCTGCTAGGGTTTGGCAGGCCCAGCCCCAGAAGCGCCTCCATCCACTTTTGAGCTTAGGTGCTTAAATTTCAGACAGTCTTTCTTTCAAGGCCTTTGTAAAGTCAAAGAAAATTATATCTAGGAATTCCTTCATCACGTCAGTTACCGCACTGATGAGAGGTGTATGTGTTTTTCAGGAAAAACGCTAGAATGATTTCCTGCGTCTCTTATGGAAACAGCTTCAGTCATTTCTAGTAATTGGTCGGCACTGTCGGCAGCTCCCACTGCGGCAGACGTTAGCTTGGGGCTCTCTGGGTGCCCTCGCTGCACCCTCCGCTGGGCTCCGCAGGAGGCCAAGGTCTAAGGCGCCAAAGTATGTCGCGAGTCACCTTCACATCTTCGCCTACACGTGCAGTTTCTGGCCCTCACGGGCCGGTCTCACAGGCGTGAGGTGGTGTCCCCCTGGTGCTGGTTTGTATCTCCCTGACGACCATCTGTCTGTCTGCTCAGGAGAAGTGTCTCTTTGGCAATTCTGCCTGGCTTGGGTTGGGTTATTTCCCTTGGCTGTGTTGGAAGTGTTTCTTTGTGGGCCTTGGATATCAGTCCCTTGTCAGATGCATGCAAACATTTCCTCCCACCGAGCAGGATGTCTGGTTGTTCACGGACAGGCTCTTCCACCATGCAGAGGCCTCGCAGGCCGATGTCGTCCCATTGGCTCGATTCTGCTTGTTTCCCTTGCGGTGGCAGTCAAGGCCCCAAGGATGTCCCCAAAGCCAAGGTCACAGTCTCCTGTCCGTGTTTCCTTCTATGTATTTTATGGTGTCAGATCTTATAGCCAAGTGTTTAATCCAGTTTGAGTTTATACCTAAAAGATTGTTTATTTCCAACTTTTAAAAATAGGAATATTTTAGGATGGGAATGCTCAGGCAAGCCCCAAATACAGTATTAGGGTGAATCCCACAGGCCCACGACGCAGCTTCCCGAGTACCCAAAGTCACAGCTGCGCTCCGTTATCTGAATTCCCCCCACCTTCCCTCTCAAGATTCACCATCTCTTACAATGACGTCCACAGCTGCAGGCTACACTGAACTTTGGGACAGACTGGAGGGCAGCCACACCCAGACCTCGAGCCCCATCCATTAGGCATGGAACAGGGCACCTGGGGTGGCCGGAAGCAGGTGCGACCGGGAAAGCAGCTCCTGAAGTTGTCAGACCAAGTCACGCCCCAGCGCTATCCCACGAATGTCCAGGGGCTCCATCTTTGCCATCACTCGGCATCAGTGGTTTCAACAATGAGGTTGAACGTCTCCTCCTGCGTTCCCATGAAATGCTTATTCAAGTCCCTCCCCTATAATCAGAATGCGGAGTCTGCTTTCCGTGCGAGTAACTGCCTTATTACCTGGTAACAGTTTTTATATTCTGGATGCGAATTCTTTTGGGGGTTTATGGGTGAAAAGTACTTTCTTCCAATTTCACTCCCTTAATGGTGTCTGTTGGTGACCATTCAGTGCCTCCAAATTCATCTTCCTGCTTCGATTCCTGGTTTTCCTGTTTCATTCAAGGCATCCCTTCTCACCCGCGTCACGGACATCCCTGGAGCCGCGCCGTGCGCCATCCAAGTCTACAGGCGGTTCTAGGGAATCGGCACGTGTGGTGTGATGGGTTTTTAAAATCCGGACCTGCGTGTTTGATCCCAGAGGACCACTCACTGTAAAGAGAACCATTTCTCTGCGAGCTACAGGGGTGCTTTTATTATTACTGAAGTGATCATGAAAAACGGATTTGTTCCTGGTCTCCCTTTTGTTCCACGAATCAAGTTTATTATCTTGTCCATGCCCCACCGTCCTGATCACCACAGCTTCGCAGCAAGTCTGTCTAGCAGCGTGATTCTTCCCCTCGATCGTCAAAGACGTCCCACAGACCAAGGCCTGGAGAACAGAAGGCCTCGTGTGCTAGAACAACTTTCTTTTCCAGGGTTCAGACTTCGACAGTACAGGCTGATACCCTCTCCACGAAGAATTCAAGACACACGTGTTCGTAGGAAGCAGCGGGGAGGGGCGTCTTAGGTGAGTCCTCCAGCACCACAGTCCACGGCAAAACACCCCCCACCCGGCCACACCCTCCAGGGCCGAGGCAGAGGGGCCGCTGGCCAGTCGGCACAAGTCAGAGCTGCTGCCCACAGAAGCCCCGGGAGCCGGGGGCCTGCGCTCTCGAGCCCCAAGGGCCATCCTGCTTGGCCCCACAGCGGTGAGCAAGACAGATCGAAGCCGAAGGAGGGAGAGGCCGGGGGGCTCCTGTGGAGCTGGGCGCTGTCAGGCCCTGGCAGGTGCCTCTGCACACCGTCCCCAGGGGCTTCCGGAGGAGCGCAGGGCAGTGTGGGCATGGGCTCCCCGCCAGGTTAGTGCCCGTGCGCCTTGAGGCTGGTGCGTGTGGACAGACATAGTCCCTTCCAGCACGCGGCGAGCGCTAGGCTCAGAAAGGACGGTGGCCACTCGAGGGCGGCCAGTGCCACCGGATGAGAAAGGAAGAGAGAACATTTGGAAAGGACGTGAGAGGGTCTTGGGGCGTCTCCACCCACTCTCTGTGCCTGGAGCTCCCAGGCCCGCACGACACTCTACACTAGTCTTGAAAAATACCTTTAATTTCGCTTTTTTTTGAGCCTCGAGAGCAACCTTCCTTAACTCCTCAGTCTCTCGCTGCAACTGCTCATTTTCCTGCTGAAGTTTCAGTCTTTGCTCACTGACCGATCCACAGCTCTCTCTCTCGGCCTCCAGTGCATCCTGAAGCTTCTGAATCATTTCTTGGCAGCGCGACAGCTCTTCCGAGGACCTGATTAACAAACAACAAGCAAAAAGGAACTTTTAACTGTAATGATATGGAGCAGGAATGTTTCATAGTACGGGTTTTTGCTTTCTCTATCTGCGCCATTTCTCCTCATTGCAGACTAACACGCAGGGGTCTCACGTGTTGCGCTGCACCCGGCGAACAGTCCCAGCAGCACCTTAACCACACCGAGCGGCCTGGCCCTGCTTACCGAGAGTCCACGTGCAGCTCCTCGCCAGTGCTCACGGACACAGCTGCTGTGAGGGGGCCTCAACGGGGACCCGGGGCTCACTGAAAGGAGGTGCGGGGGGCTGCAAGCACATCTCCCTCCGTCAGCTCCACAGGCAACACATTAGCCGACGGCAGCATCAAGTTATATCAAGACCAACTTCATATTCTCCTGTTGTGCACCTTAGAAACGGTTCACAGGCTTCTTGTTCTATGCGTGTCCTGTTGTCACAGCTTGAGACAGCCTGTCGTGACTCCTCCACGGTGGGGGACACAACTCCCAGCATGCGCGGGCATCACTGCGCCGCTCTCTCTGACCCTGTTTCCTGCTTTCCTGTCCTCGCCAGCCCAGACGATGCCATCCTGTGAACACTCCCTTGTCAACGGGGATTCAGGGCCTGCACCAGGCCCTTCACTCCCAGAGTACGCACAGCCCTTTGCTCCTCGCCCCACCGTGGCTGATCGGGTTCCTAATGAATCAAGGATTTGGTCCATGATCCTCAAAAGATGCTAGTCAGATGCTGGGATCAGAACAACCACGTTATGAGCCTCCAAAGAGCAGCCCACGATATCACCACCTATGGAGAAGTCCCTCCAAAACACCAGGCAGGACCAAATCCAGCTCCTTGATTTACACAGCAGATGTTAGGAACGAGAGACAAAGGAGAAAGGAACATGACGCCCAGCATGCATTAGGGAGGCATAAACACAGCCCAGTTTTCAACAAATTATAAGAAAACAAAACGGGGGGAACAACCTGGAGATTAAAGGAGATTTTGGGGAAAAAACCAAACCCACCACTCCAGCGTTCCTGAAACCCCGAAAGGCCAGGCTCACCCTGAGAGGCAGCCTCATCACATGACTTTACAGCACACACGGGAGCGGACAGGGGCGGAAACCCACAGGCAGGAGATGTGCAAAGGCCTCTGTGAGCAGGTCGGACTTACAGCGGAAGGAAATGCTCTGTTCGTGAAGAATTATGGGGGGTCTCCAGCGATTCCCTCTCCACTGACAATGGAAACTTGCACTGCACAGAGACCTCACAGCAGAAAATGGGGCTCACCCTCCGTGTTCACTGACAGTCACAACTTACCCTGCTGATGTGGGTTTCCGATGCGCAGCGGGAGAGACTCCCGCGCCTCGGCCCCAGCGTCTCTCTGCACGGGCGGGGGAAGAACTTTCCAAGGTAAGCGATCAGGGAATTTTTTCCCCCTAGGTTCCCTGTATTGGTTCAGGTGATTCAAATATAGAGCGAAGCTTTCTCGGCATCACGGAGTCCGACGTCTTGAAATCTATTCTCCGGGCAACTCCACTAGTCACCATCTTCACGGCCCTGAGGGGTCTTTCATGGGAGCTGCTCCTGCTCCGGCCGGGTACTGGCTGGCGCTGGGCCGGGCGTGCGGAGCTGAAGCAGCTGCCTGATGCAGCCCGATGCAGCCCTCTCACCGTGGAGCAGCAGGGCCGCTCTCCGCATTCAGGCCGCTCTCTGCATTCATACTCGCCTGCAGGGAGCAGCCGTCTCTCGGTGCTCCGCCAGCATGTCCCTGGACGCTGGTCCGCGCTGCGGCACACACTCCACGTCCTCCTGTGGCTCCCAGCCTCGACCAGAGGCTTCTTGCTTCAGGGACGAAGCAGCGGCTGCTCTTGGAGCCGATGCTGACAGCTTTGCGTTTTCTAGGGATCATCACATAAAGTGCAAATCAGAGCCTCACGGTCTCTCTCGGAGTGGCCAGAAATAGACAACTTTGGGGTCCACTAGAAAACTGGCCTTTCTGCGTGGGGAGGCTCCTCGGTTACACAGGGTGCTCTAGTTTGTCTTCAGGAATTCTCGGCGGCAGCAAAGACTGGCTCGCTCCTTCTGTGCGGCAGTCGCAGCCCCAAGGGCTGCCAGGGGGGCGGCGAGGGCGAGGCTGCTCTCAGGCGGCTTTAGGTAACTACATCTGGGTACAAATTCTGTCCTGTGCAAGCTAAGCGGACAGTCAGCACAGTGCGGGGCTTCTCCTGGTCCTGCCTTGGGGCAAGTGGACGGCAAACTCCTTCCCAAGTCTGTCCTCCCATCCTGGAGCAGGCAGTCAAGAGCCCAGCGCCGCTCCCCTGGCCGCTGCTACCTGCTGCCACGCCTGTGGGGAGGCAGACGATGCTCAGGAGGCAGCGGCGAGGGAGAAGCAGCCCCTCCTTAAATGGAAGCAACGGTGCACGTACTGGCCTGCGTCAGGACTGTGGTGGGCCTGATCAGGGTCAGCAAACTGACCCTGCAGACACCTGCAGGCCTCCCACCGGCCCCACGGCGGGTGAGCAGGCGAGAGCGAGTCCACAGGAAGATGGCCCTGCTCTGGTGCACGACGGGACGCAGTGGGCAGGCCTGGCCCTGGCATGGAGACGTGCCTTCTCATGTGGGTGCACTGTGGTGGCGTAACCTCTGACTTACGTGCTTGTTTCTGTGAAGGGATGTGGGCGTCCCGGGCCTCTGTTCTACCACTGCTGACATCACCCCTTTTATTTTTAAAACAACTATAAGGCAGAGATTCCGTAAGTTACACTGTATTAATTAACACTTGGGACAGGGTGTGGAAAAATACTCAGAATGGATCAGCCAGATAATAAATTTATCATTTTAATAGACAATGGACAATAAGTAATAAGTAATAAACATGATGAATTATTAGAAATATTCAAACGTCAAGAGGTACAAACTGAGAATAAAAGCAGGAATTATTAGCAAGTTACTAAAATAGCTGCGTCGTACGAAAAGACAGGCAACGAACACCCTCTACCTTCAAAGTGGCATAGTGCTATTACATTTTTTCTTCCTAAAGAAATTCGTTTTCGGGCCTCCCCTGGTGGCGCAGCGGTTGAGCGCTGGGTTGCGAGGCTGCCCGCAGCCTCTGCAGCGCCAACTCGATCCCCGGCCACCCGCGAGGGTCCCACACACACAAACACAAAAAAAGAAATCCGTTTTCAGAAATCCTGAGGGAGAAAAATTTTGCATGGACTTAAAAACAGTTCCTTCAACGTAAAATATAATTACAAGCCCCATAGAAAAAGTAAACGTAGAGCAGATGTCAAAGCGGGATGATCCTGACACCCGCCGCCCCGCAGCCCACCTGAGCTCGCGCTGCCGCAGCCTGCTCTCCGCCGTCCTGAGGCCCAGCTGCAGCTCGTCCCGCGCGCGCTCCGCGGCCAGGCACCGCCGCTGCGCCTCCTCCAGCGTCCTGTGCTCGCCCTCGCCTCCTCGGCCCTCCCGGTGCACCTGTGGGGAGCGCAGGCGTCAGGCCCGGAGGCCGTCTTAGGAAACCACAGCGCTGAGGGCTGAAGCCCGGGAGACACAGCTGCGACCCGCATCACCCGCCCCGGCGGCACCCGGGGCACCCGGCACCCGGCTCCGTACATGACACGCTGGTAACTGGCATAACAAGGAGTTTCAAAAAAATATTTTGTAAATGAAAGAGTATAAACGCCTTAAAAAGAAAGGTCACGTGAGCAACCCTTGCCCATGGAGAGGCTCTGAAGCTGCAGGCAGCGCCTGAGACCGGCCCGGCGCCAGCGTCCAGCTGCAGCCTCGGCTGAGGCACCGCCGCTCCCGGAACGGCCCGCAGCGCAGGCGACGCTCAGGCTCCCGCGCCGCGGCCTCTGTGGCCACCACGGCGGCCTTGAATGCAGAGGCGCGGGGGCCCGGGCGGGGCGGCGGGCCTGACGGTGGGCACCTGGGGTGTGGTGTGGGCCCGCGGGAGTGGGCGCACCTGGGCCTGGAGGCGGAGGCTGTCCGGGCGGCCTCGCTGCGATACAAGGCGGCGAAGGGCTGTGGACGAGCGACGGCTGCGAGGAAGCGGCCACGAGAGACGCCGGAGCAGGCCCGGGGAAAGGCGTGTGGAGCTCGCAGGGCCCGCGTGGCAGTCCCTGCCGGCCTGTGTCCCCTGCGTGGGGCCACCGGGGGCTCCGAGCTTCTCTTTTAAGCTGCCTCAACCTGCGGTGACCCCGCCGGCCTGGGACGGCTGCAGACCGGGCCCCGGGACGTCACTGGCGAGGGACGATGTCGCTGGAACGAGGGGCCCTTCCCCACGAGGACGCCAGGCCCAGCTCAGCCTCCCATGAGGCCAGGCTGTCCCCCGGACACCGAGGCAGCAACGTCCACGCGGTCGAGGCCTCGGTTCTCGGCAGCTCGTGTCTCCACCCCACGCTCGGCGGCCCCCAGATCCACACTGCCGGCCAGGGCGCCGGCGTCTCGGGCCCTGCTCCCCGGAAGGCAGCGCCAGCACCCCGGGTCTCACTGCCGGGAGGGGCGCCTGCCCGCGTCCTCGCGGACGCCACCTCTGTCCGCTGTGAGGCCGCGGGGGACGGGGACGGCCCGCGCCTGCTGCCCGCCGTGAACCACTCCTTACTGACGGCGCCTGCACACCCCTCGGCAGGCGCCCCCCGCCCTGGTGCCGAGACGGCGACGCGGAGAGCGGCCCAGGCCTCGCCCGCAGGTAAGGCGCCCCGTTCCCACACGGCCGCACGCCGCTCTGCTGGGGAGGCTCCGGAGGGCCGCGCTGCAGCCGCCCCTCGAGCGTGTCCCCGCCGGGGCCTCCGACTGCTCACTATTGTTTTTAAAACATCGGGCGGGTTACCTCGCGGCCCAGCGCGGCGTGTAAAACAGCACAGGCCCAACCGAGCGCAGCCTCCCTCCCCCAAGAGCTAACACGGGTGCTTACTGCTAATTTAAAAAAAGTTCTCTAAGAAATAAGTTTCTCACATTTTTTCTCAAATATCACTGGGATAAATATTTTTCCTGACTATGAAATAAAAATCCGTATTTTAGGAGGTAAAAATCATAGCCGTATCTGTGCTTTTAGCAATATATCCTTGTTAGACCAGAACTAGTTGGTATAAAATTAAAAAAGACAAAACCAAGTGTCCAAACGGGATTAGGTTTAAATAAGGAATTCAGCTACTTCATAAAATTTGTACTTTTAAGCAATTAATGTGAAACCCCCTTGTAAAGGAATTATTTAAACACCAGTATTTAAATGCAGATTCCGGGTTGACAGGAGAGTGTGATGGGGGCCGACAGCCGGGTTTTGGGGTTCATTCCCTTTTTCTCTTTACCTTGTCTAGTTCTTCTTCCACTGCTTTCTTCTCCCTCACGATTCGTTCAATTTGGCTCTGCTTTTCGGCACACTCCTACAAAGTTAAGTCATATTGTGAATATATTTAGTAAAACTTTGCGGAAAATGGGAGGGGGGATGGAGAAGTAAAACGAATTGCTCGTACTGAGGACACCATGCTTTCGCTGGCGGCACAGAACTGGGTGAAAGGACACTTGCTTTTAGAAGCTCGGCTGCCCAGAGTGCTCTCTCTCCATCCCAAGTGTCAAGGGGAAGCACTAGGTGGCAGCGGAGGCTGGAGGCCGCAGGTGAAACCCCAGCAGGCCTTGCTCAGGCTCAGTTTCCCACGCGCTCACCACTATCTGAAAAGGGAACGCAGGCACGAGAGCCTGAGGATCAGCTGGCTGCAGGGTGCCTGGAGGTATACGCTCTCAGACAGCTCATTTCCCTTTGCAAAGTTATGAACAACCAGTGAAATAGTGAAAGCATGAACATAAAATAGTTTTGCTTAAGATGTTTTAATTATAAAATTGAACAAGCATATCAATTAGTCAATGAAATTTAATATTTTACAAATGAGACTAAAAGGAAAATCATTAATGGTCTCCACCATTACTTGTTTTTATCTATTTTTGAGAAAGGGTGTGGTCCTCTTCTGCCGCAAATTGTGCTTTGGCTGAGCTTGCTTGGCTGACAGTCCTGCAGGCACTGTTCAGCTACCCACACTGTAACTTTATTTTACAGAAAACAGTGTTTTCAAATTTTAAAATAAGCTCTTAAATTGTGACCAAAGTTGACTCTGACACACACAAGCATCTGCAGGCCCCTCCAGGTCCCGTCCTGGTAGTGAGCAGTGACAACAGAGACACTGCTCATTAAGGCCAGAGTTGCCACAGAACCTGTGCAGTGGCCAGCTCAGGGACATGGTCACAGCCACTGGCTGGCGGGGCGGGAGCCGCGGGGCTCTGGGCCCTGCACTCAGGTGCAAAGTGGAGCAGCCATTTCTGAGGGCATCTTCAAAAGTGGTTTCCTACAAACCAAGTAGACTCTTACCACACAACTGGCACCTCTGTATTTGCCAAAGGAGTTGAAAACTTACATGCACATACAACCTACGATTTTGTGAAAAGCTGTTATAAACAGCTTCTCAGCTTTTCACAAAATCGCCAAAGCCTGCAAACAAGCAAAGATGCCGTTAGCGGGCGAGTGGCTGAACAGACCATGGGACACCCAGACGGCGGAGTAGTGCTCAACACTGAGGAGTGAGCTCTCGAGCCTTGAAAATATGCAGGAGAAACTTAAACGCACATTCCTAAGTGGAAGAAGCTCCTGGAAAGAAGATTCCAGAGATGGTTCGAAGACCATGCTCAGGAGCTGAGGGTGAGCAAGCGTGAAGCAGAGCATGGGGACTGCGGGCAGTGCACCTGCCCCGCCTGACGTGGTACTGTGGGGGGCTGCTCCCCCCACCCCTGGCATTTAACAGAGTCCCTGGTCAGGTCAGCACCCTTTGAATGAACACCCAGTGACACGCAGCTGGTCTTCACAGTAAGCAGTGTCTGGGAGCAGATCTGCGTGGGGGTCCCGACATACCAGCTGAAGGGCTGAGAGTTCTTCTGTTAGCCGAGAGATCTGTACAACGTACTGTTTTCTTGTGTTTGTAACCTAGAAGTCAAGATATTTATGAGTTACTTAGAGTTATAATAAAAATTGCTATCCAACAAAAAAGTTAGAACAAAAATTGATAAAAATGAAGCTGTCACTCGTAGGACACGGAAGACACCAGGACGGGCCAGTGCCAGGGCAGCAGATGGTGCGGCGGCTTAGCCGAGGACAGTGCTATCGGGCTTCAGCCTCGGGCCCTGCACACTATCCACACGGAGACCTTCTCTTTATAATGGGCTCTTTTCTATGAATATTTACTATATTAGAAATGAAAACTGAGAAAATCTCAAACTATTTACTTAACAATACCTTTATAATCAGCAAAAACCAAAGTCACTACTAGCCAGCAAACATCTTAATGAAAGCAGGTGTCACCTTTTACAGAAGTACTTTAAGAACAGCATTATTTTACATTTCTGCAAATGTCCCTTTGCCTGGCTCCACAGGAGACAGCGGTCCGCCTCTGTGGGACGCCGCACGAGGCCGTCTCGGGCGGTGCTGCTCACCGTGTGGTGACCCGCAGGGTGGCCCACGGTCAGGGCGCCAGGATGCCACGTGGCCACGCAGCCTCCAGACAGCGCCGAGAGCCGCTGCCCAGACCAAGCCAACACAGACGGCGCCACAGACAGGACAGAGCACTGGTGGCCACTGAGGTGGCTTTGGAAGAACATCTTTCTATCACACATCATGTCTCAGTGCTCGGCAAGCTACTCTGCCAGGAAAATCTGTCTGAATAAACGTTGAAATAGCTGCAGAAACAGTACAATTTTTGTGCAGTCTTTTGAAGAACAAGACATCTCATCAGAAAGCTCCGGGACACTATTTTTTCTAGCATCACCTGTTTTGCAAAAGAGCATGAGGAGTAAGGGAAGCAGTGCTCCAGCATCAGTGACCATCCATGATCCACGGACCTTCCGGGGTTTCAAGTTCTCTTATAAAATGGATTATTTATAAAACACGATGTACCTTCCTTAAAACATTTACAAGACTGCCATATACTTTACTTGGCTAATTAACATGAATTATTTTCTCAAAGCTTGGCTGAACACAAGTGGGTCCATTTTCATAATAATTTGTTGTAGACTCTTCCCATGAATAGTTATTTTGGGGTCAAACTATCCTATTTATGGGTCAATGAGAACCGCAGCGAGCTTTTATTGAGGTTAATGAGTTAGAATTGCTCAGGGGGCGCTGTGTGTTATTATCTCATTAGTTTTCAAACAGTCTCAGGAAGCAGCTGTAATGCCCATTAAGATGATGAAGGTCAAGGCATAGAGAACTTAAGTCCTACAGCCTCCTACAAGATACAGATTTTGGCACTCTAAGCCTAGTCCTTAGACTAAGTATTTAAAACCTAAGTTGTAAAAAATGTTCTTTTTAGTATCAGAAATGATGCAGCTACCATGGGGCTTGGGACCGCAGCAGGCCACATACTATTTTTAGTCATGCTGACAAATCAGTGAATTAAACTGTTCAGATATTTTTAAAAGCCTGTAGGGTACTGGCACTGAGATTACCTGAAGATTTGTGGAAAAGACAATGCCATCAACCTTGAAATCAATGGAATTTATTTTAGGATGAGAAAATACAGTGAAAGTATATCATCCCACGAGTGCTCTGATAAACATGTTACGGTTAAAAGCCATGATGTTTATTAAATGTTTAAAAAATGTCATCAGATTATTTTAAACCAAGGGCAAAGTCAGCCTTCTCGGCCCCACACGGTCACTGCCTGTGGATTGCACTCAAGTATTTTTTCAGGTGTGGCGACAGTGGCGTGGCTGTGTAGCAGATGTCCTTTCTCTGGGAAGACAGAGGCCAAACTGCTTAGGGGAGAAATGAGCTGAGGCCTGTAGGCGACTGTGGAGGTGCGCGAAGGGAGGCGAGTGTGTCGCGAGAGACGGAACGGGGTGTTGAGATGTGAGGGGCGAGCGAGTGTTCACTGCACAGCTCTCCCAAGCCGCGTGGGCCTGAGAATTCCTAGTGGTAAAAGAACACGCTTCAGGGGATGTCCTGGGGTGCTCCGGGCCACAGGCAGGCGCGCGTGTGTGGAGGTGCAGGTGGGCAGCGACCCAACCAGTCCCCAGCCCAGCCTTTTCATCTTTAAAATGGGCCTTTGTGGCTTCTTCTTCCGAAACTCACTTTACACTTTCAAATCTGCACACGCCACTCCCCACCACGCCCAGGAGGCAGACGCTGGCCCTGGCTGTCCACACGGAGCACCCTGCCCTCTTCAGGCGCCGCCATCACAGCCCTCACAGCACACGCCGAGGCCCAGCTCAGACCCCCGGCCCAGTAACCAGAGCCCGTCTGAGAACGGGAGGGTCAGCACGGTGGGGCTGGCAGGTCCGGGCGCCGCGCGACAAGAACCAGCGGCTCCCGCTAGCTAGAGCCTCCGTGCGGTCCAGAGACCTCCGCTTCTCTGGCTGTGAGATGCTCTAAGATCCCGTAAAAACAGCAAAGGTCTTTCCTCGTGCTTCCCAGGCCTCCCACGAGCTCCCTCCCCCTCTGCACTTCCGGGGTGTGGGTCTCCACGTGTTCTGAGCGTGAACGCCCACCCCTCGGTGCACACCTCTGCCGACCCCAGCCCCACGCGGTCCCTCTACATCCATACGGTTTTCATTTGAAATTTCGCTCAGTGGATGCAGTGACCCGACAGTTAACCGCTGGGCCCACTGTGAAAATCAGGGAGTATCTGGCCTTAAGGTGTGAGATTTTGTAAATCTTTGCATTTAAATATTATTAAAAAGCTCTTACTTCCTTCCTGGTTCTTAAGGCAGCATCTTGCAGGAGCCGAGAAACCGATTTTCTCATGTTCTCTATGTCTTCTTCTTTCTGCTTCTCTTCAAAAAGAGCCTTCGGGAAATAATCATTGATGTTACTGCAGGCCGCGCCACGGTGAATAAGGACCACACAGCGACTGGGTAAAACCTCCCCGGAGCGTGTTCTTAAGAGCGGCGTCTTATTCTAGCCCCCGGGCCGTCTCCCCTGGGAGAGCGCATCTAAGCTCCTCATCTGACCTTGTCCTAGCTGAAAATTTGTTCTTTTTCTTTGATATTTATTTCATGTTCAGAAAACAGTCACCTTAGTGCTCCTGTGACCAGGCTTCAGAGAGGTGAGAGCCTCTGTCTTGCCTCCATTCTACCTGCTTAGATGCTTAGCGCGACTCCAGCACACGTGCCTGTGTGTGCCTTCGGCCACCCCAGTTTCATACCACCGCCCAGAGGGTGAGCTGAGAGGCACGCTAAGCCCCTCAGCACTCCCCTAATTAGGATTTGCATAATTACTTAACAAGCAGCTGACAGCCTGCTTTATTTTTAATGGCTCTCTTGAATTCCCTGTGCTCCCCAGCAGAGTATTATGCATACACTAGGCAGTAAATAAATGCTGGTTAAGTGAATGAAAGATTTAGTGGTCGCACATAAAGGAGACAGCAACATGAAAAGCCGATCTGTCCACTCTCACTGACATGCTCCACGCCACTCACACGGGCGTGACAGAGACAGATGGCACGTGTGGTCACGCAGGAATCACGGCGGCGCGAGGGCCGGGACACAAGGGCTGAGTTAATCTTTACGGCCGAACGGAACGTCTGTGGGTGACGCGTGTGTCCGCTGGAGTAACCGGGTGACTGGTGAGGGGGATGCAGGCGAGGAAGGACGGCAGCGCAAACCCAGGGCCTGCCGTCCAGGCTGCTGCGGTGTCCTGAGTGGAGGCGACAGGAGGCGAAGGCGGCCACGCCGCGCGGGTGCTCACCTGGCTCTTCAGGAGGTTGGCGTCTTCTAAGAGCTGCAGGCTATTTCTGGCTCTCACAACAGCTTCGTATTTCTCATTTTCTAATTCCGTGCACTTTGCTTGTAACTCTTTGGTCTGTTTTTCCAAACGTGCTTTTTCTGTCCTCAGCTGGCTGGCCTCTTGGGTTGCCACGCACAGTCTAGAGTCAGGAGCACAGGGACCGTGAGGAGGGGGCAGGGCCACTGCGCCCGTCAAGACCAGCGCCGCCCAGCGCCTTCTGCCTGTGCTGCCTCGCCTGGTCTTGCTGCCGCTGTGAAGCAGCACGGCAGGCCCAGAGAGGCCGAGCACTGCGGGTGGCGCGACTGGGCCTTCCCTGGGAGGGCTGTGGCTCGGGCTACGCGGCCTTCTTTAGCTCGGACCCTCATCTCCCTCCACCCACGGAACCTACTGACTCGGAATGGCTGTCCCTCCAGTTTCGCAGCCAGAGGACACACATGTGCACAGCACACCGTCATCGTCTCCTGCCTCCGAGGGGACGCCCAGCCACAGCCCGTCCTGTGCCTGCTCCCGGCCGCACGTGCTGCGGAGGCCGAGCGCTTTTCTCTCCACCCGGCGCCGCAGCCTCACATACGACTGTCTCTCCCTCTCACTGGGCGCAGCACACCCAAGGGTTCCTCCCCGGCCCCGCCGACTACCTCTGAGGTGTTACTGACCCCGCTCGCTCTGAACACGGAGCCCCAGCCCGCCGTCTGCCGGCCGCACTGCGCCAGTCCGTGGCTGGAACTACAACCACGGGCCCTACTCCAGGGAGCTTGGCCACTGAAAACCCTCTTTCATTCAGCCGACCCCGACAGTTGCTTTGAACTTTGAGGCTTCAGTGTTTATAAAGATGACCCCCACCCAGACTCCCTCAGAGGACTGCAGTGAATTCTTTACCCTCAATCTTTAATCGACGTGAAGCTTTCTGGCGAGCTGAGAGCCCCGTCGAGCTCTCCCCAGATGCGGGGGCAGGAGCAGCAGCACCAGCAGGGCCACCCCACGCCACCCCACCGCACGGGTCACTTCATGCAGCTTCACGCTCTGTGCTGTACTTTAAGCCCAAATCCTGCACATCTGATCATGTGGCCTTACAGTGTGCTGACACGTTCTGGAAAGACCATTACCCCCTTGGTTATTTTCAGGCGTGTCCTCTCCTAAGTGATGGAAGGAGGCGCCTTCTCCAGGCTCCCTGCTCCCCTTGCTCCACCCCGCCCCGACACCTCCCTCCCCAGCACTGGGAAGCGAGAGCACCTTTTATGGAATTTCTCTCTTAAAGGGTTTAGTGACTGTTGGCAGATCTGCTTCATTCTGAACGAGGCGAGTTAGGTCAGTCACCACGTTAGCCAGGATTCTTGGCTGCTGGCGGTGGGAGCCAACTGTAATTGAAGCAGAGAAAGTCCAGTAACAAGGACACTGGTCATCCCAGGGCCTCCTGGGATTGCTGGGGGCATCCTGGTGTTTACAGGGCTGGGAGGAGCAGCCAGAATTCAGTGTGCCAAGGATGCTGCCCACGTAGATACTCAGCGTGTTCTCACGAGGAAGGCCGAGTGTCTATTCAAACTGTGCTGCCAAGTGGTGGGGGCCGCGTGGGCAGAGGTCAGGATGGGGAGGGGTGTGCAGGGGCCCTGGACACTAGGGTTCCCAAGAAAACAGGGAAGAACAGTCCTGCCAGGTGGAAGGTGGTCTAGCTTGCCTTCTGCGGAGTTGGCAGGGCTGAAGACCAAGCTTCCACTCACAGGGCTTTCCCGAAACACCAGGGCAAAGACACAAGAAAAACATAAAGGATCTGTTCTTAGCTTGTTCTTGAAGGGCTTATGATCATGATTCTTGGGGAAAAAAAAAAAAAAGGTTCCCACACACATACGCCTTTCTTTACCTTCTGTTCTAATGGTTTATTTCTACCACGGCCGCATTACCTGTAGGAATGGGGTAACAGAAAGTTTCCCCTGGCGTCACACTTTAAAAATTTTACCTGCCTTCAGACCAAAAGGGTTTTGTTCCTGCAGAGCCGTCAGACTTGACCCCATGGGGGCGGGAATGAGAATGGGCGTGTGCTGACGCGAAGCTGTGGCCACCATGGGCTCTGCTCCCTTTAAAACTAGAGCAGACCCTGCACTCCCAAGTCATGACACGAATTCGTGTTCTTTGTGAACGTCTAGACTCCTACTGAACAAATGATCTTTGAATGTATGTTCAAATGCAATAATCTCTTGAATATAAATTGTAAAGAAGCTGTGCCCAATAAGTCAGATTTCAAACCTACGCCTGCAGCTTGGTCAGCACTTACAGCAGACGTCGCTAGAAAACATCACAAACTGACACTAATGGGGCATGGCTCCGGGCACCCCGACAGAGCAGCGGTCAGCACTCACCTGGACTCCAGCTGCTTGATGCTGGTCTGCAGCTGCTGGGCACGCCGGTCTGAGGCCTCCTCTCTCCCCTGGGCAGACGCCACGACCTCCTCCTGGAAAACAAGGAGCCTGAAGCTCATGCAGTGTGTGCGGGTGCAGCACCTCACTGATGCGGGAGGACCGTGCTGGGAAGCGATGGCTCTGCGGGGTGTGTGGGGCCCAGGCCAGCCCACGGGGGACAGCTCTCCCCACACCCGCTCAGACCAGCCCCTGCTGCACACAGAAGCGTCCCTGGATAGGAAATACCTTCCTCTGCATCTGTCCCTGGAGCTCCCCAGTCAGTCTGGTTAATTCTTCCACTTTGGCTGCTGCAACTCTCAGGTCTAACTTGGCTTGCCTAAAATGGAAAGTAAATTAATAAATAGCTTTTCAAAGACCATAAAGAATTAGAAAAAACAAACATGAACGTGGCGGCATTAGCTGAACCCTTGTGCACCTGCAGTGGATCCAAGCCACACGCCCTGGAGGACCCCATGGTGAGAGTGGGGAACAAATTTCAGTATCTCCCTGATATTTTAGGACACAGAAATATTTTAGGACAATGTAAACATTTTCTGAAACAAGATTTTCAAGATGAAATTAAGGACTGTGAATACAGAGTAGTCTGGATATATTTATAAAATACATTTTTAGGGAAACAAGCTACTTTAGGAACTTGTTTCTTTTACTACATTTTATGTATTATATGGGCTGAAATTATGCTGCAAAATTCACAATAAGTTTAATTCATGTACTTTTGACTCCAATAGCATTTATGGTTGCAGAACTGATGCACAAGAGTCACCAGGAAAGAAAACCCTAATTGCAGCTACAACTTGCCAGGAACTGCCCTAAATGCGGAGTGGAGTCTCCCCACTGCCGCGACTGAGAATCCAGCACCATTACTGTGTCCCACGGAAGTCAGAAGGTTTGCCATTGTCCTCAAGAATTCATAAATAAGTAATGAAGTTGGTATTTAAAGAGTCCTCTATGATATATTTATCAGATACAGATTTTTGTACTTGAAGAATGATTTACAACTGAGAAAACAAAAATCACCTCACACCAATGCATCTAAAATGTACTTGAGGCTTAGAGATATTATCGGAGTTTCTGCTGTATGGAGCACGAAGTGCTTCTGCCAGTTAGGAAGTTCTGTTTGTTTACCCAGAAAGAGCTCAGGAAGGGGCGCATCTAAGCAGCAATGAGAAAACCCCGAGTCAGCATACGGGAGGACACCGAAGATGCGTCCACGACTGGGCTCAGGGCTGCTGAGCGACTTAAAACAGGCCAGGCCCCCTGCTGTGCTCCCAGAGGAGTGGGGTGCGCCGTGGAGAGCCCTTGGGTCAGGAGCCCGCTCCACCTTTTGCCCTGATGCAAGTGGTCTTGGGGAGCTCACGTCCCACGGCTGGGAGGAGGGCTGGAAAGTGTCCAAGACCCGGCTTTGCAACCGGTGCCTCTGCACTGCCGCCCCCCACCCCCTCCCCGCACTGCTTCTGAGGTGGTGTCATCTCCACCCCACGGCCGACCTCTGGCCCTTTCACTACTTCCCAGGATGAGCCCAGGATTCCACAATCATCTTTGCTGCTCGCCTCTTCTCCAGCCCATCCTCTTTAATGGGAAACTACCCCCGACCAGAACTCCCGACTAGACCGAAGGCAGGCTCTTGTGGGCAGTTTCGAGGGGAGAGGAGGGAAGGCAGTAATCTGAGGACTCACGGGGGTCTGTGCATCGGAGACCTCGGGAAGAGCCCTAAGCGGAGACCGAGATCTAAAAAGAGAATGGAGGCAGCTAACGGGGCAGGGTGGAAGGAGAGACGGAAGGAGAGATGGAAGGATCTGGGATCATGAAGTTGGCAAGAAATGGGGAGACAACGTAATAGAACAAATGGAAAACGAGGTGCTTCCTCTGGTGTCAGAACCCACAGGCACCACACAGGGGCTGACTCCCAGTGCTGGGGAGGGAAGCAACCCCGTCCCTTACCCGCCTGCACCCCCCCACCCCCCGGCCACCAGCACCTGCTCGGTGGCGGCTGGACGCGGGGTGGGGTGGAGACCAGGGCGCTGAGGCCACCCAGGCACATGGCCTGCCCAGCCCGTCACCAGAACACAGACGGAAGGAAAAGGACCCAGAGCTGCGCCGTCCAGCCCCACAGCCACGCCCTCCACCTGCACACGTGAAGGCTGTCTGAGCAGGATGAAGGATTTGCAAAACTACTATTAGCAATAAAATATGAATTTTGAAATATAACAGTAATCAAGTATTTAGAGGCAAAGGTTCCAAACCATGAACTTAAGGGCTTGTTTCTGTTCTTGATCAGCTGGTTCTGTAAGTAAAACGTCGTCTTCTTTCTGCCCCTTAGAGAGGGAAGGACACACGTTCTGAAAAGCGGGTAAACTACATCTAAGCCTTGGAGATAAAATTAAAGGAAGACGGTGTGAAGAGACGGAAAAATGACAGCAAAGTCCTACTATTTTTGATCTTAAAACATGTTTCTGGGCCTCCCTGGTGGCGCAAGGGGTTAAGCACAGCACTACGAAGCAGTCCGCAGCCTCTGCAGCGTGAGTTTGATCCCCGGCCGGCCAGGGAGCAACCCACATGGCACAGCAGACCTCTCCTGTCTCCCCGCTGCTCCCCTCAGCAGTGGATTTCAGTCATTTTGCCTGTTCTGTTCCCCTCTGTCTCTGGTGAATCCTCCCACCTCCCGCATCTCTGGCCTGTACCCCAGCTCCTGTGTGCATAAATAAATAAATCTTTTAAAAAACAACACGTTTCCATCCTGAGAAAGCCAGCTGCCACCACATGGGGCTGCCTGGCGGTCTCACGGCAATGCACATCTGCTTGTGGCCTTCTCACCCGGCCAGATGCCAAGGGACACCGCACAGCAAGAGCGAGCCATGGAGCTGGACTCCACAGAAGGTTTTATCAGCGAAGACACTATTATTCAGAATGGAACATAAAATACCTGAGAAAAATCTGTGATCTCAGAAAAAAATTATTACCTGGCAAAGGGACATAGATTTTTTTTTTTAAAAATAAACTGCATAAAAATTACCAGGACATATAAGTTTTGAAGACAAGTGTATATATCTGTAAAAAATACTAAAAAAGATCAGTGAATAGACACAGACTGATTCACATGATTTAGCTTTGTCACCTTACGCCTCACAGGCGTGCAAGGAATGCCTGCCGGTCAGTCTGCGTGCTGTCCAGTAAACGTTACTCAGTGATCTTTTCCTTATCACATTTAAAAGACTTCCTGGGCTTTGCTTCATATTTAAATAGAGTGAACATTAGATATAAAAGAGGACGATCGGTAAGTGCATATGTCACACATTCAAGCTTTGAGACGATCGGTATTAAAGGCAGATTTAAGAGTCAATGTACCTCCAAATCTGGATCCATAATGGGAAAGATTATGGAAAATCTTTAGATTTGTGTCTCTCCCTTTTCAAAGGGCAGAAAGAACAAGATACTTTACATACAGAACCAGCTAGTCAAGAATAAAAACAAGCCCTTAAGTTCATTGTTTGCCTCTGGAGTTGATTCCATAAAGCTGCTGTGCCCTGTATTACAAATGGGCTTGTTGTTTTCCAGGAGTGTTGGCACCACAATATCAGACAACAAATGAAACGAATACGTTTTCAGTTAAGCACAAATCTAAGCATCTCTAGTGTTGAGAGTTTCTGGTGTAGCTGTTCTTGGCATGTGTCTAGCGACAGGGCACCTCAAGACCTCAGTTCCAGCGATGCCAACATGCCCGCCACTCAGAATCTGTCAGACGCGAAGCGGCGGCCCCGTCTCTGCAGGAGCAGCTGCTTGCCCTTATGTTCCCGCAAAGCCGAAACAATCCTAGCCTCACGTACACAGCGCTGCTCCGAGCTAAGCTATGGAGGACTGTCAGTAAATATTATGGCAAATTTGCTCCTGGACCCTAAAACACCTCAGACCTGGAGGCTTTAGAAAACCACCACCAGCTTTATCCACCTTGCATCTCCGCTCACAACCCCGAGGCCAGAGCATCAGGAGGAACATCCCTGGAGACGTCACAGACGATGCAGCCACTCTTCGTCTGTCCCGAACAATCAGCCTCACTCCCGCCCTCCTCCCGTGCAGATGCCGCCAGGGGGTCGGGCTGAGGTGCACCGACGGGTCGTGCGCTTCCAGCCCTTCCAGGGGCTCTGCTTGTGCGGATCCCAGGAGGGACACAGAAGATGTCCTCCAAAGGGGCCAGCTTCTCCCGGCAGCGCGGCGTGAACGACACACATGCCCCTGCACGCACGCAGCAGCTGTCTTCCGGAAAGTCTTCATTTAGCGACTTTCCATCCCAACCGGACGCACATACAAAGAGCAGTTACAGAAGCGTAAGAGGAAACCCCCCCAGGGAAGGTGACGGGGTTATCGAGTCTCCCAAAAACGATGATTAAGAAGGTAACAAAATTAGTTTTTGAAAATACCTAAGTTGCTTTCGGAGCTGCTCGAGTTCCACGTTTTGTTCGGTGATGGCTTTCAGAAAGTGCTGGTTAGTCTGCCGCAACAAAAAAGACACCCGTCGTTAGAAGATTTAAAGCCACTCAAGACTAACGAGAGGGACATGCGGAGGAAAATGCAGTGACATCGTGATGATCAGGTTTTCTGTGGTTAGAACAGAGCTCGGGCCACCCCGGGCCACCCCGGGCCCAGCGACCCGACTTCACCCCCAGCTCCAGGGCATCTCCGCGTCCCCTGCCCGCTGTGGGGCCGCTCGGATGCGCTTCCCCCAGCCCGGATCAGAATGACTTGGGGCTGTTTAAATGAAAACAGCAGCACTGGGGTATTAAAAAAAAAACCCCAAAGTTGATGTCATGCCCCCGTCTGGGAGATGACGCAGAGAGTGGGTAGTTGGGACGGCGGCCTCCAGCCCCCAACTGCCGCGGAAAGCCCGATGCCGTCATCATGGACATCAGCCATCCTTTCCTCTGGAGCACGTTAACACTGTTTTAAAACTTTTAAGAAGGGTTTTCTCGAAAACTATAAGCGATTGGAAATTCCAAATGTTAATGTAAGTGAAATAGGGAGAAATTTATTTAATAATTTTTACATGGTTAAAGGAGAAAATTTTAAAAAGTAGAATAATTGGAACACTTACTTTTGATGGCACAACTCTGCTCTTAAACAAAGCCATTTTCATTAGATGCTAACAAGAATTAGCAGAGAGAGTAATCAAAATGTAAAAGGGAAAGAGAAGAGTTTGCTGGGATGTCATAATCCTATGACTCAACCAATAGCAAGCCTATTATGCAACAATAAAGTAAAAAAAAAAAAAAAACAACAAAACTAAGAAGGAAAGGAAAAAGAGAAAAGAGAAAGAAAAGGCAAGGAAAGCGGGAGGGCAAGAGGCTCAGAGCAGTTGGGAGGACTGGCTACACCTGTCTCAGAGCAGTTGTGGGTGCCGGCTACACCTGTCCAGAGAGGTCGGGGGTGCTGGCTACACCTGTCTCAGCACACAGTCTCTGGGAAGTCGAGGTGCACGTGCTGGTGCTGGTGGCCAGGTGACTGCTCATGGTTCTTAGGGCCCCCCTGTGTTTAAGGAACTGGCCGATCCATGCCACAACTGGGCAGTGAGCTGGGCAGTGAGCTGGGGACCCACCAAGAACAAAGCGGGAGCCCCACTCTCGAGGTGCTCAACCTCTGGGTGCTCTTAGGGGATCCTACCCAGGACCCCAATGGCATTTTCAGGTTGGGATACAGTCGGGAGAGCTGTTAGCGTGAGGTGCCCAAAAAGTACCGTGAACCAGCCACACCGCTCAAGGTGGGAAGCAGGCGACAGACAAGACCACTGCTACTTCCATTCACGCCAGCCATTTCTGGGTGGCTGTTGATCTGCATTAGTGCAAGTCACACTGTTACTGTTACAGCCACAATTTCCAGTCATTACAAGCTAGTAAGCCAAGCGCACATGTCCACTTACCATTTCCACGTTCTCGTGAGCAACGTGAAGGTGCCTGGTGAGATGCTGGAAGCTGGTCAGCTGATCCTGCAGCAGGAGGGGCACAGACAGAGGCTCTTGTTTGAACCCATATTTAAAGTTAAAGGAACACCCAGCTTAAAATCATGACACCGAGCCTAGATGAAATCAGCTGTATTTCTTGTAACTATTGTATGGATTAATAGTTGAGATTATCTTGAAATGATTACAAAACATAACAAGGTGGTGGCGTAGAAACTACTATATAGCTCTTTATGTTTTGTGTAAAACTATTATTTTTAGAAATCAATCCATTAACAAATAGAAAAGCTGGTCCCCCACACACTTGGGCGGGCCCTATTTGCCTGCTGGCTTTTTTGATCTTTTTTATTTTCTGCCTGAGTCTGAATAAAAACGAGGTTGCCCCGGGGCTGGGCTGCACCTCTCGGAGGGTCCTCCAGGTTTCTCAGTGCTTTGCACGTGGACCCTGAGCCCACCATCCCCTCCTGCGCCACAGGCCGGAATGAGACCTCTACCTTTGTCTTTTTTAAAGGCAGATAGGAAATCAAGAATAGAAAATTGTTGGGTTAATATATATTAATCTTATAGTTGCTGCTTAGAACTAAATATAGCTTTTGTAGCTAGTCACATTTTAAAACCCATGTATAGTAGGTGCTGTGTTGATCTGTTTAAGAGCGTTCTAAGCAGCAAAGATGAATTTACTAACATACATGACACTCGAGCAAGTCGGGCATTCCTCTCCACCACCGAGACTCTCCAGATGCTAGTTCTTATTGGTCTACCAGAAAATCATGGCCTCCAAGATCACCTTTTGCTTCTGACTTTCAGCCACATGGATGTGGGCCTCGGTCACATGCTCTTGGTAAAGCTTCTGCAGCCTTTCCAGCTGCTGGGAGGCAGCCTGCCACAGCTCCACGGCCTGAGCTTTTTCCTGTGAAACAAGTTCCATTGAGAGTTCGCCGCATGGTTAGCAGCTATTGTGCAGCACAGGTGAACCATACTCTTGAGAGAACAAGGTCTTGTACGAATGGTCAAAAACTAAAAAAACTTGTGTAATGACGGTAGAGTTGTACTATTTTCGATGACATTAAGTTGTATTATAGCAATTTAGAGAATAAATTTAAAGATAAATCCTTTAAAATTTTATTTTTATTCAGATTCCATAGTTAAAATTGAAACCTTTAATTCAAAGATATGGCTGGAACTCTCTGTTCTACAAGAAAGTGCTAGCTTGACATACCTGAAGGAGTAAGCTTCCCTTGGTAACATGACATTTTTTCTGATGGCAAAAGTAATGAATGTTTACTATAGAAAATTAAGGAAAAACACAGTAAGATAGAGAAGAAAGTAAGAATCACCTGTAGTTTTACCGCCTGGTAGTAAGTGCTGCACATCTGGCTACAACTGTCTGCACAGATGTGGCAGGCGCCGGGAAGACACCTACAGCGGCTGTGCCCACTCACCAGAGAGCCCTGTCACCTCGCTCCGTGCAGTTCTCAGGGCCTGGGGTGCTCACGCCCAGGACAGACCCTCACTTCCCTCCTCCTCTCGGGAGGGTGCGGTGGGGTCTCCATGCGTGTCACTGGGTGTGACACTGCCCTGGCCCCGGGGCCTGGTCTTGCGCCCCTGTGTTTAACGTGAGCTGGCACCGGCCACATGCCAAGCACTGAGGCGCACAGGCAGTCGCCTCCAGGAGACCCGTCACGAAACGTTCGGCCCTCAGAAGGCTGCATCTTCACACTGTGCCAGAGGGGAGCACGTGGCCGCCTTTCCAAGCACGGAGTCCCCAGGTCTCCCCAGACTTTGGAAGCAGAAACTCGGGGAGGGGCACAGCTACCCACCTCCAGACTTGGACTGGGGGGGGTGACGATGGCCCCGGGAGCTGAGGAACTGAGGGGACTTCTTCAAAGCTTATGCTGTTGCTTGGAAAAACCACAACTTAATGATGCCACATTTTTAGATTTTTAAACTACTTCCAATTTTCCATGACCATGAACTATCCTGTCATGAACACTTTTATTCATAATCCTTACTTAGAGCGTCTTAGGACAGAATCCTAGAATTTAAGTCATGTCACAATCTAATTAGTAAAAGATAGGCATATCTGTAGGAATCACGTTGCCAAACTGCCCTCCAGAAAGATCTGCACGAATCACACCATTGCAGGAGAACAAATATGCCAAACTGCATGTGCTAACCTGGGCTCGCTGACCTGGCACTCGGTGCTCTCAGCTCCCACAGCGCTTACTCTTGGCGACACACATCAAACACACCGCTCTTGGCACTAACTATAACGCGTGGTTGTTTCCCCTTGCCATTTGCTACAAATAATTGGTCGGTTTATTGTTAAACAGGTGCTAGGCATTATGCTAAGTGCCTTGCGGGGATTTAAAAATTCTATATGCCATTAGAATATAAGTTGAGAATTGTGATAATCCCCATAAATGAAAAAGTTAAGGTAAAAAGAAGTTTCTCGAGATCACAGAGCTGGAAAGCAGAATGAGGACCAAAGTCAAGAAAGCCTGACCAGAACTTTCTTCCAAAAGTCCATGCGTCTAAGGCAGGGGCCACGCGCTGACACGGGCTGAGGCTCCTCACAGTGCCCGAGACATACACAGCGGAGGGCTGCGCGGCGAGCGAGATTACGGGCAGTCAGACCCGCGATCGTCACTCTGATAAACCGGGCTGTGACACAGAAGGCGCCTCTTCCCAGCAACTTTCTGCTATTCATTGCTTGCATTTAATTCAGATTCTCTGTGCTCAGCCTGGTCCCGCCAGTCTTCACACACGGTCTCCCCGTCTAGGGACAGATGCCAACACAACTACATGGGCTTCGTCACCCCGAGAGACAGACGCACAAACATTCATGAGAAGTGACGTGTGGAAAGGACACTCACACTGGTCCCTAGATTTAGTGACAGTTTCTATGACTCATGTTCCCATGATTCAAACTAAATTAAACCCACAAGATATGAGACACCTACGCTATAAGATTATAAATCAAACAAGAAATTCTCTTGCATACAATCACAAAAAATATTCTGACTACCACAAGGAGGAAAAAAGAAAAACTATAATTGTAGAAGCAGCATAATTTTAGAAAAATAAATTCTATAATTTTTGAAAATGGAAGAAAACAGTATTAGAAGAAAACAGAAAAATGGAAATGTATGGAAACGTACGGAAGTGGATAATAATTTTTTCTTTAAAATTTTCCTTTGCCATTTAAATATTTTTATAAGAAAACCAAGTCAAAATTTTATGATTCATTTAGGATATATATTTGGAAACTAACTTACAAGCAGTGAGGGTACTTCTTAAAAGTTTGGTAACCTCTTAACTAGTTTATAAATCATAAAAATCAATGAAATGTTAACCACCTTATAATGACCTATACACATTTTTAAAACTGCTTATTCAGGATATCATTCAAGAACATGTATGTCACTCACCTGCTGGGACAGCTGTAACTGTTCTTGAAGGTTCCTGACTGTTTCACCATCTGCGCACATATCACTTTCTATCTCTGTGTCGAAGGGCAGTGCCTCCAACTGCTTTTCAACAGCATCTTTTAGCTCACAGTGCAGCCTTTGGAACAAACATTACACAATAAGCCCAAATTCCTTTAAGTAGCACTAACTACTCTTTAAGGGCCCATTAAATAAACGTTTGGGTCAAAAATCATTTGTAGCACAAAAAACCATTTTTAAGCAGTTCTCAAAAAGAGAAGTGTATAATCATGAGTAAGTACCACACCAGAAGAAGAAAAATATTATCTAACAACTTTATAAGCATTAAAGTGGTCATAATTATCAAGCATAATTCAGTTTACCCTGCAGAGGCTGAAACTTTTCAAAATCATAATATTCAGATATTTCACTTTCCTAAATGATAAAACAAGACATTCAAGGAAAAAGCTCTAAATACAATAGGGTTTTGTCTTGGTGATTAAATAGAAATTGGATATTAAGTCTTGTAGAGTGACTTGTTATTTTCTTCACTTACGTTTCACAAAATTTGTCTGACTTCTTCCTGGTGCCAGCTAATAACAATAGGTGAAAATTGCTGCTGGTTATGCACTCGAGACTACTGCTTATTTTGCAGCTGAGGCCAACTCAGGGGACACTGATGGCTGACACCCGCTCTGCCAGCTAGCTAATACCTATGTCACACAGCTAGTCAGGAGCCAAACAGGAAATTCCGTTCCTGAATACTCTGGGCCAGAATACTGTATGAATAAAATATTAGCAGCAATAAAAATGAGCTACTATGACAAGAAAGAATCCGTAGTCACTTGCTGTACCTTTCATTCTCTTTGATGACATTTTCAAGTTGTAGTTTCATTTCACCCATCTGTCTCTGAAAAAATAAAATATGGCTGTTGCAATACATTTCCCAGACAATTAGATCTCCATTACACAGTCCATTTAAAAGCAAGCAATCAGATTCTGATACTAGATTGTAGCCAAGAAATAATCATTCTTTACTTCTAACGAGCAATATTAAACATGGATATCTGAATATGCCAGAATGTAACAAGGCATTCATTTTAAAGAGAATATAAAAATATTTTCTATAACACACTGAGAAATATCTATAAATGTAATTCCTATGACTTATTGATGTTTAAAGAGAAACAGATGAAAGATACTTCTCAGGATGTCACGATAACAAATACCAGGTGATTCATATACCTTGTAATTTCATCAACTCACCTTAATTTATGTGAAGCCTAAATCAGCATAAAAACAGAGCTCTTCTTTGGCTGTCCCCACTCAGTGTCCAAGGCACTGCTTTCTCAGCGCCTGGATGCGTGCCGTGGCCAGCACGGTCCCTACCGTGGACGTTAGTAGGAAGATGGTGAGAAATTACTAAAACAAGGCGATATCCACTAGGCAGGGCATGAGAAGCAGCCATGGCTAAACCTCTGAAGGGAGGGTGACCAGATTCTCACAGGGAGGAAGGGCACTTCAATTAGGGAGAAACAGGAGACAAAGAAATCAGAGCAGAGGCAGAAAAGAGGCGGCAACGTAGCACAGTCACCTGTGCCCGTGAGGGAGACCCGCGGGGCCGGAGGCGGGAGATGGCCTCAGCTGTAGTCAACGCGGGACGGGCCAGGCTGGACTGCGCCGGCAGCCCCTGGAGGGGAGCGGGCCCGGGTCCAGGACAAACAGAGCAGGGGCCTGTGGTCTGACCCTGCAGGGCCCTGTGGAGCCCGAAGGGCAACTAGAGCAGGAACAGGACCACCCCCCGGAGGCCAAGGTGCCGGGGCCCGTTGTGGGAGCTGGAGGGTGCGGAGGGCCTCTGGAGGTCTCATCACTAAGGATGGATTCGACTTCCGCAATGACCCCCTTTTTAATTTTTTAAAAAGTTGATTTTTAAAAGCTTCGAAAATGTCAGTGTATCTTGAAAAATATTTATTGCTCTTGAAAAACGAGGTGGGCTATACATAATATACACGTACGAGCTGGATTATGGGCCGAACAGTCACAGTGTTCCTCATCGTAAAATATTTCAAAATACTAACTGGTTTTAAGAAGAGAAATCTCAGGAAACCCTCTCATATGATGAAATTTTTCCCCATTATTTACATTTTCTGGAAGACAGTCTTTCATGTAGAAAGTCCTAGTAACACTTGTCTTACTTCACAATAATCTATGCTTTGGGTCACTGAGATAAACCCTAAGAGCTAGTTCTCAGCAGTAGAACCTATGCAGGCAGCTGGTCTGGCAAGAGTGTGACATCTTTCTCTCTACAGGACCAACTACTCTCATCACAGGCCAGTGGTCTTCCTGCTGCAGCTGCTTCTACTTTGTGATTAATGCAGGAATCACAGGAATCATAGGTGGAGAATGTCACATGGAAAAATAAAGGTAAGCATCTTAGTAAAATAGTTGAAGAGACTGAGTCGGATAGCTTACAAAAGACTGAAAATTTTAATCAATTTAATTTCAAGGTAACTAGCAATTCCATTTTAGATCAAACCACATGGCAGTATAGCAATTTTGTGAATTCAGCAGAAACTTTAGATTCACTAGTCTTCAAAAAATAAAACCAAGGCCATTTGTGCAAAAGCGGTCTGTTGCGCTCTGCCCGTTAGAAAGATGAACACACAGCTCCACCGGCTACAAAGCACAAAGGCAAGACTAGTAATAATTTAGGATGAAACAGAAACTACAATTTAAGGAAATCCTTGTTTGAAAGGTGGGTCTACGGGACCACTTTATAAGTTCATGTATTACAAGACTGACCTTGGAAATGAATGTATAAATAATCCCAAGTGCAATGGAAGAACCTCACTAAGTCAGAAGATGTGTTTTCTCAGGAAAGCTACATGTCGATCCATTAACTTATGAAAAGGAAACTAATTTATATGTTAATTCAAGATGACAACCTCATCATGTTGTTGTAATAAATTCTGGCATTTATTCATTCATTACAAACTGAGTGCCTACTATGTGCTAGGCATGAAAGCCAGGGTAGACTCTCTTGCTGTCCATGAAGGGAGAGATGAGAAAGAAAGATGTAAATTAAGTTCTAAAGGCTGCCACATCCACGGCCCCATGCTGAGGGGCTCGGTCTAAAGGAGTTTTTGCTCTCCTAAACTTCCGCTGGCATGAAATTAAGTCAAGCCTGCCGCCCCTATCACAGTGAGCTGACGGAGTTCTGGTGTCTGAGCCCCACACAGTGAAGAGCACATCCAAACTCAGAAAGAGGCCATCGCCTCTGGAGGGCTTAGCTTGAGACACAAAGCATCTAGTGAAGAAAGTCTACTACACGGTCACCCCCAGTCAGGAAGGTCGAAATTCGAGGGGAACTATGGAAAACATTTTTAAGTCAAAGAAACGCACACTGCGCCCTGCACACGCAATGCTGTGACGCTAGCTCTCACGAGTCTCAGAAATTTGGGGACCCTGTACCACCATGTCTCTGTACAGAATCTTCACTCCCAAAGTAAATCCTCACTTCTAAGCAGTCTCTGAATAAAAGCTGCCACAGCTTAAGCCTCCACTGACATCAGATCGATAGGCTCCAAAATCTAAAGAATGAAATATTTGAAATTGGGAGAAAAAAATCCATTCTCCACATGAGAAGTGCAGGCAGAATAAGCAAAGAGCAATGTTACAGGGATGTGAGGTGGTTTCGGGTCTTCCTGGGGCAGGGCAGGGCAGGGCAGGTGACAGTGCTAGCCAGCACTGGTGAGCCCGAGAGCTGTCTCCTGGGAGCCGAGCCACACACTTGCCACCGGGCAGCCGTGGGCACACACGGGTGAAACGCAGGCCAGTCCCGCTGCAGCACACGTGCACGCACGCGCTGACAAGCACAAGCCACTGACCGGCGATTGTATTTTCTTCTTCATCAATGTTTCTGAAAAGGAAGGGGGCATGTTTCACTTTTAATGATGAATTATTAGATAAATCTGAGAACTGCAAGTTCATACCTGAGACAATTTCAGCTGCCCACTTAGCTCTTCCATGTGCTTCTCGTACTCAGCCAGAAGAGGAGATAAAGTGCTGAAGAGAAAATACAATATTGAAAATAAGGTACCTGCTGCTGAGTGTAGCAAATATGGAACAACGAAACTGCACGTGACTGTGTCAGTGAAATACACCCACAGCACGCCCTTCTCCCACACCCGCAAGCTTAGCTCCGCAGAGACTCCGGCTGCACAGCGTCCTGCTGTGGCCGACTGGCACTGTGGGGGCCCCCACCTAGGGGCCTTAGAAGCCCTCACCCTCCCCAGTTGCATCTGGACATGTCAAATGCCTGGAAGGGGGAGAGGCAGAGCCTGCCCCGTTGAGAAGCACTTAGAGACCTCAATGCTGCACGCTCACTTCCTGGTCACTCAGGGACAGGCCTCATAACGTAACTGCAGGAGACCATGCAGCACGCCATCCTATCTGCAGGAACTGTTCAGCATTAACCAGAGATAACAAAGGAGCTCACAATTTCCTGGTAACCTGGCCTTACCTTTGGCCAGCTGCTGTGTCTTCTAGTGGGTCACCTCCATGCCCCCCAAAGGCAGCTCTCTGTAACACAGAACACGGAGCTGGAAATGTCTCCCACAACCAAAATAGACAGTAGTTTAAAATTAATTACAATTAAAACTTTATAACCTTAGAAAAATCAATCAATGCAATTAAAAGAGGAAAAAAATAATCTCAATAGATGCTGAAAATGTTTCTAGTAAATTCCAATATCCGTACTCAACAACTAAGTTGCTTAATTTTAAAAGATATTATTTCTCCAACTTAGGAAATTTTATAAAATAAAAATAAACAACCTACGTTAAAACTAAGTCAGTCATGATATTTTTGCAAAATACTAATTCAAGCTCTCATTAACCTCCCACCCACAGACTACTAGTTCCTAGTTGTCACCCTGATGCATGCTTCTCTGCATGTTCCTCTACATCACAGACAGCACCAGGCCTGTGTATTATGTCCCTAGAGTCTAAACGCTTCGCAATAGATGAACAATATACAAGAGATAAATGAACTATTAACTTCTTCCAGATTACTCAGAAAATCATTCCTCTAAACATAGCAGCAGCAGACCTCAGTGCAGACCTCAGCTCGCTCCCAGCAGGTCGGGAAGCAGCCAGCTAGCCAGCCGGCGGCCCCCTCGGGACTCGGCGGGCCAGGAGAGCCGCGCAGGCAGAACTGCCACAGCAGGCCCCATGGGCCTCAGGGCGTCCCAAGGAGCGTGCGAGAAGGGGCCAAGCCAGTAGGTCCCTCAAGCAGCGGGGCAAGCCCTGCCAAGAGCAGCAGATGCAGCCGGCGCCATCAGAGGCACCTGCAGGCTGGTGCCCTGGGCTGCAGCTCTTGCAGCAGCGATACAGAGGGACACTGCTTGGACAGACAGGCTCTCAGCGACGAGATCAGCCCCTGGTCAGTACAGACCAGTGCACACTTCAGCACAGTGGTCGCTGAGGAGCGGCATGCTACACTAAGCAGGAAGTAGTTGGGGAGCGGGGCCTGGGGGGGTCTGGAGTCGGGGACACTGGTGACAGAGTAGCCAGCTCAGCTTTTCCTCTAAGACGGACACGACAAGGATGTCCACACTCAGAACTACTGTTCAACACAGAATTAGAAATCCCAGCTAGAGCCATTAGGCAAGAGAAAGAAATAAATGGGGTTCAAATTGGGAAAGAAATGAAACTACCACTATTTGCAGATGACATGATTATAAACAGGTCTAAAGATGCCACTAAAAACCCCAAACCATCAGAAATAATAAATCAGTACAGTAATGTGGCAGGCTACGCAATCAACACACAAAAGCCTGTGGTACTTCTCTATGTAAAAAACGAGCATGAGAAAGAAATTAAAAAAACGACGACATTCAACAAAAGAAACGTCTACAGAACTCTCCGCAGTTGGAGGCCTGACTCAGGAACACCGTGTTCTCTGGGGCCCCTGGGAGAGGACGCTGGAGAGACAGGGTGTGGGCTCCTCCTCCCTCGAGCAGGGCCAGCCGCTGAGCTTACCCCGTCACGACTCCGCAGGCCCAGGGTCCCCGGCTACTAGACGGTGAGTAGCTTGGGAGGCAAAGAGCACAGGGGCGGAGTTCAGAGGCTGCAGCAAACTGCCCAAACCTTTCCCTCCTGGCACGAGGTTCTTTTCATCACTTAGCAAGAAAGACCGAACTGCTCACGGCTGGATTCGCTACTCTCGCTCCAGCGCACGAAGCACACAAGCTTGCCACACGCTGAAGACGTCCACTTTCAGTGTAAATCTACAGAACTGACATGTCATTTGTTATTATCCAGGAACCAACTACTTCCCTAAGGAGAATTACTATACAAAAATCTTAAGGCAAATCTCTAACTGTAACCTGACCCCAAACAATCCTACGCGACCACTGCGCAGGAGCAGCCCCAGGAGGTGTGGAGTCACTCATGGTACAGTTCCCGCAGAAAACGACGTCGGAAGTTCCAAGGCAAACGAAAAGAGGTAAAAACCAAACCGCTGCAGAGGTAAAGCTGACAACTGCATGTTTCTTGAGAAGCAATTTGAAGATGTTCCCAAACTTCAGTGAGTTCTCACTTCAGTCTCAGACATTTAAGTCCCTGTGGAAAGCAGCGTGACTGGACCCGTGTTAAAACAGGGCCGGGAAGCGCCACCACAGAACGCACCGCTCTGCTGTCTGCTTGAGACTGAGCCTGGCCTGGGCGAAACCAGCAAGAAGGAGAATGCCCCGCGGGAAAGGACCGCGAAAGAGATCGGGCACCTGCTTGCACCTGCAGCCCCCACACCTGACCACCACCTCCTCCTCCACACCCTAATTTCCCCCATTTTATACCACCACCCCTCCTGCCCCCCCCGCCCCCCCGGGACATGATTTCAGGTTGCAGTTTCCATCTGTGTACCCTGACTTGCGATCCCCTGCTCTTCCTAAATAAACACATGTGGCGCCTGCTAACCTTGCAGGTCTCTTCCTGAAGGTGACCCCAGCACCAGGACATGCACGCGCCAGCTCTGGAGGATGGGGCGGGGGCTGGAGGGGAGGCAATGTCTAAGAATTAATGCTGATTAAGCAAAAACAAATTTTCCTCCTTACAAAATTCAATATTGCGGGCAAAATTTCAAAGCATTATAGCCAACTTCACATGACAATAATCCTAAATGGAATTTGCCTTCATATTGATGCAGATATATTTATAAGCAAATATGAATCTAGTCTGTGAGAACTTATTAATACATACCTGTACTGAGGAATATTTGGTAGAATTTTCCATTGGGTACCATCTAAAAACTTCATTTAATCTTAGATCTGGAATGAAGAGAAAAACCCATTTGTAACTCATTGGATAATGTTTAAGTTTTAAAAATAAGAAAGTAGTTACTATTTCATTTATCCAATACAAAATGGACAGTCCCCACTGCCTTTCAAAGTAAAGGGACACAGGACCCCAAATAACCAGGAGCATCAGCCTCCACACCGTGTATAACTCCACACCATGTATAACTCCACACCGTGTGTAACTCCACACCGTGTATAGATGGTGCTTCTCTGCCTGACACCAGCCAACCACTGCCCACAGGGTGAAGAACAGCTATAAAGAACTGACGGTTCTGATGTCATAACTTTTAATTCTCAGTCTCTCCTGGCTTACTCCTCAGACAATCGGAAGTCAAACATTCCTCCACATTGTTTTCTCCTGCCACTAGAAGTGAAGAATTGGAAAGAAAAGCTGTTGTCATACTTTTTACAACTTGTAAAATCTACAACTCTCAGGACAGACCTCCACAGGAAGGAACACTGCAGGACAGAGTCTACACAGAATGGGAATGGGGAAGAAACAATGGAAAAGATCAATCAAAGCCATGGTGGTAAGTCCCGGTGACACTCTTATTCACATCCAGAAAAGACACTCACCACAGAACACCTGGCAAACGTGCAACACTCATGTTTCCAATGACTGGCTGGCTGGCAATCCAGCAAATCTCAACCGCTTCCAAAAGGCCGACGCCACAGAGCGTGCTGTCTGACAAGAGCACGGGAAACCAGCACGAAGCCCCAGAAGGGGAAATCTCCACATATCTAGTCGTTCTGAAATTACTTTTCCATAACCCATGCGTTGGAGGAGGAACTCCAAAGCAAGCATGGAAGACTTCTGGACTGAATGACAGTTGCCAGGGGAGAAGCACCAAATCTGAAGGCCACCAGCTCCAGAGGCAGCGAAGGGAGAGGCCGCCGGGATGCAAAGATGTCAATGTGGAGAAAGGCACAGGTGGGCGGGAGAGGGCAGGTGTCGCCGTCCACCCGACAGGGACTGGGTGGTTCGCCTAGTGGGGTGACCGACCAGCTGTAATGCCTGCCTGGTGTAAACTCCCGAAGAGACTACAGTGACACTCCAGCATTTCTTAGGGTTGAGTTTACACCACAGGCAGTGTGCAACGTGCTGGACACCATGCTGGGGCCTTCCCTCATCATCACAGGCACGGAGGGTTGCTGTGCTGTTACACCCAGCTTACAAGTGACAAGACTGAGGCACACAGGAGCGAAGTGACTTGCCCAAGGCCAGAGACCTGGAGCCCGGACACTGAATTCAGAGGCGGGGCTCTAAGCCCCTTGTCTATAAGGTTTCCCAAGAGCAAGAATCACTTTTCCCCTTACTTTCTGGGTATCTAAAGATGAAATCTGAGCTGCCCACTGCTCTGTCCCCAAGTCCCCCATCTCACTGCCCCTGCTCCTCCCTCTCGCCCTCTCAGGGCATGGCACTGGCTACTGCACGTTCCTCCCGCAGCCCGCGGGCGTCGCAAGGCCCCGGGGCCTCCTCCGCCGGTCCCTGCGGCCGAGCCTGCAACCTGCGTCCGGCCGGGTCGCGGAGCTCGCAGCGCGCAAGGCCCTGGCCGCCCGGCCCGCCCCGGCCGCTCCGCCCGCGGGCTCCTTCCCAGCCAGTTCCCGCCCGGCCGCCCTCCGCCCGCCTGAGCCAGCCTGGCGGAGGCCAAGAGGGCTCCGCGGGGCCGCCGACCCCGGTCTGGGCCTCGGCTCAGGGGTCCCCGCGGGCGGGTGAGCGACACCCCGAGCGCGGGCCCGGGTCCGGTCCTCCCCGCGCGCCCCACAGCCCCTCAGCCGGGGGCGGCAGGAGAGAGTGCGCCGGCGTCAGCCCGGGCCCGGCGGGGCTCGGGGCTCTGGGGGTTGGGGGATCGGGGGGCCGGGGAGCTCGGCGGGGATCAGGGTACCCAGGGCATCGGTCGGGCTCGGGGGCCCGGCAGACCCGGGCCTCGGCCGGGCTCTGGGGGTTGGGGGCCAGGGGGGCCCGGGGACTCGGCGGGGCTCGGGGGCTCGGGGACCGGGGGGCTGGGCGGGATCGGGAGACCTGGGCATCGGTCGGGCTCGGGGAGCTCAGGGCCGGGGGGCCGGGGGTTCGGCGGGAATCAGGGGACCCGGGGGATCGGTCGGGCTCGGGGATTGGGGGCCGGGGGAGGGCCGGGGGCTCGGTGGGGCTCGGGGAATCGGGGGGCCGGGGATTCGGCGGGGATCGGGAGACCTGGGGCATCGGTCGGGCTCGGGGATTGGGGGCCGGGGAGGGCCGGGGGGCTCGGCGGGGCTCGGGGAATCGGGGGGCCGGGGATTCGGCGGGGATCGGGAGACCTGGGGCATCGGTCGGGCTTGGGGAGCTCAGGGGCCGGGGGGCTGGACGGGATCGGGGGACCCCCCTCGGCCGGGCTCGGAGCTCGGGGCTCGGGGCTTACTCTCGTCTCTCAGCAGGTCCATGTCCGCGCCCGGGGCCCTCGGTGCCCGTCCGATCCGCTCGGGGCGCGGGGCGGCGGGTGTCCGCGCGGCCCGCCCCGCCACTTTGAAACCCGTGCCCGGCCGCTCCTTGGAGACGGCGACGCCTCCGCGTCACGGGCGCGCGACCGCGCGCTTCCGCCCGTCCCGGCGCGCCATTGGCTGGAGCCAGCGGTGGGCGGGGCTGCGGCCGGCGGGCGGTCCCCGCGGGCCCGGGGCGGGCGTGGGGTGGGGGCCGGCTGCAGCGCGCGCCCCGTCTTTCTTTCCCCCAAGCCAGCCCGAGTGCCCGGGGAGCTGGACCCCGAGTCCTCCGCGGGGGAGAGCCCGCGCCAGGCGCTCTCGGCGTAGGGGGCGGGGCCAGGCGCGCCAGGCCGGCCGGCCGGAAGGTTTCCGGGACGGACCGGTGCTCCCCGCTCGGCTCCGGGCGCCGCGGATCCCGCGCGCGGAAGGTTCCGCGAGGCTGTCGCTGCTCCGAGGCCGCGCTGGGGACGCGCCGGCGCTGGCGGGAGGGGCGCGCGGCGCGGCTCCGGCCCGGGGCCGGCCGTGGGGACTCCCGAGGCCGCTGCGCCCGGGTGACCGCGGCCCGGCTTCGAGGCCCGCCCGGGCCGGCGGCCGGGAGCGCCGGCGGAGGTGACCGCAGCGGCCGCCCGCCCCCTCCGCGAGCCCGGCGGCCGCCTCCCGAGCGCCGCTCCCGGGCCCCGTCGCCCGCGGCCCGGACCCCGCGCTGCCCGGCCGGCGCCGAGCGGGGAGCTGCGGGCCAGGCCCTGCGGGTACCCGAGGCGGGCGGGGCGGGCGGGGGCGAGGCCCGAGCGTCCCCCGGAGCGCCCGACGCGCGACCTCCGGGCACACCCTAAACCACGACGCTGGACGCTCTGTCTCTGTTTGAGACGCGGCCGAGGTTTTGGGGCTTGGAGGGTTGGGTTTTTGGTTTGGTTACAGGACTTTGGGGGCAGTTTTAGTGGATTGTTGCCAAGGTAACTGTCATCTTTAAGAAGCAAAACTTAAATCCCGCTTACCCTTTAGATGTTCCCGCTCCTGCCGTCTCCATTTTAAAGTTTCCCTGTGTTTTCTAGCCATATCCCTGGGGGGGGGGGCCCTTATCACCTCCTTATCACTTCTTTCTTGCTCCTTCCTGTTTCCCCAGCATATTGTTTATTCTCCATCACAGCACCTGGAGCACAGTAAGGGCTCAGTAAGTAGCTGATGAAGAGATGACAGGGTGCCGTGACTGTGGTGGACGGTGACGGTTGGTGTACCTGGATACAGAAAAGCAAAATAGCAGAGACCACTTCGTACTTTTATTGTGTGCGTGTTTAATCTGAGCCACTGCCTCTTGTTATTATATTAGATCTCTTCTGTAATAAAGTCCTTGATGATGGATGAATTTCACGAATGTTAAAGTTTTCAATAAATTCCCATCGCGCTCCTGGCACTATATGGAAAGCACCGTGGAGAATACAAAACTGAACATTTAAACTAGGGTCAAAAAGGTTACATGCTGCAAACAGTGATTTTTTTTAAAAAATTTTTTTTTATAGAGGCATGTTTTATTTATTTGTTTGTTTGTTTTGTTTATACATGCACTGGGTACAGTCAGAAGCGCGGGAGGGTGAGAGAATCCACCAGAGCCAGAGCGGGGAGCAGAGCAGGCAGAAGGACCGAAGGACACTGCTGAGGGGAGCAGCGGGCGGCAGGAGAGGTCTGCGCGCCATGTGGGACCCTCCTCTGGTGGCCGGGGAGCAGCTGGGGATTGAACCTGCGCCGCAGAGGCCGCGGGCAGCTTCGCAACCCAGCGCTCAACCGCTGCGCCACCGGGGAGGCCCTGCAAACTGATTTTTAAAGAATTCTTAATTATTGTTAGCTTGACCAGCTAAGAGAAGTGGTCTGGAAATTGGAGCTCTTGTTGAAGCTTGTCCTTCTATACTTACAATCTCGGTACAAAAACTCACGACATACGGTCCACTCTGAGGAGTGCAGCACGGGATGGCCGGCTGGATACACAGTCATACGGCAGGTTTCTAGGACTTTCATCTGCAGGGTGGAAACTCCACCCATGGAGCAGCCACTCCCCTCCCCCTCTCCCACCAAAAGTGATTTTCATAAAACAAAAGCAGCCCGACACAAAAGCTGCTTTCCCCGAGGAAAATTTTCAAGTGTGTTATGAACAGTGTACTTAGGCCGAGCCATGTGACAGTGCAAGCTTTCTGCTGTCCTGTGGCTCAGCCCCGAGCTGTCCTGGAAACACTTGCGTGAAGAGAACACGTCCTTGCAACAGCTGCTCCGGCGGCCTGGGAGGAGGCGGCCGCCCCTTACCGGCCCGCCCCGGGCGTGTGGGCGGGGCTGGGCGGGCCTCCGGTCACCTGAGCAGGGTCTGGGCGGACCTGGGGCCCCTGGCAGGTGAGCCGCGTCTCCTGGGCGTCCGCTGCGCCTTCCTGGCAGCACCTGCACCTGCGCCTTCCCGGCAGCGCCCTCCCCGCCGCACCCTCCGGGGCTGAGGCCTCCGTTGCCAGGTTCTCTCATCCGTGGGCCGGGAGGGCAGGAGCAGCCACGCCAGGAAGCAGCTATTGTAGAAAAGGAGCCCCTGGCGCCAGGAGAGGAATCGGGACATTTGCCTGCAAGCCTTCTGCGGAGAAACCCTCTTCCCAGGCTTCCTTCTCTGACCTTTGGGCTCTCCTGCGCTCGCGGCTCCTCCTGCCGCGGGTTCTGTCTCTCTCAATTTCCTTTGAAAGGAAAGGAATGGAAATGATTTAAATTGTGATTTTTTTCTTTTAATGAAAGAGTAATTTTAAAAACAGGTGAGAATGTGGGACACTACGGAGTAGCCGCGCACATTCCTGCCGGAACTGCTCTGCAGGCAGCTTTGGAATGGCCTCGCGGGTGGTGATCTAGGGGGGTGGGGGGAAATTTACTGCCTCAGTCACTTTCCCAGTATTCCCTCTGAATTTATCAAACTGTTCAGCTTGTATAACACTGAGAGGAGAGGTGGATCGCTTAATCAGCAAGACCAGCCTTACACTGGTCTTAAAATACTTTTACACGAGTCACTGTTTTTTGAACAGTAACGCACGTCCCTCGTGGCGCAAGCCCAAATGGGAAGAAGGAGAACAGTGGTTAGTCGCAAGGGCTGCCTCCCTCCCCCGGTGCACCCCGACGGCTGGCTGGGCTTCGGCCAAGCCGGCGGGCGTTTAACACTGGACATAGCAGAAATTGAAGACCAAGAGAGTCCCTGCCCCGAGCCCAGAAAGTCTGCGTAAGCTCCGCTAGTTTGGATGGTCGGCGAACCCCACACCCCCACACCCACCCCCGAAGAGAAGGTCTTAGCAAAAAGAAAAGAAAAAAGAGGCAGGTGTTGGCAGCACTGCTTCTGCTGACTTCTGCGGGGTTTTCTTCTAGAGCAGACTGGATTGGGCTCCAGGGCACCCGCTCCACGGGGCACCTGCTTAGTTTAGGGGAACAGACGCGGGGTGACATGCAGCTCTGGGGCTGAGAGCCCAGCCCACGAGGGGCTTCTGCGGTGACTTAGCTGCTGTCTGTAAAGATGATTGTGGTGCGCTCTTCGCCATGTAACTTGAGCTTCATTTAAACTCACAGTCTTAAAACTTCCAGCATCCACGTCCTATTGGGACAGAACTAGGGTGCGGCCTCGTCCCCCGACAAAGGGGCTTCACTCAGCGCTGTCTTCCCTGCTGTCTGGCCTTGACATTTTCAGGTCCTTGTACGAATGCACTGGAAATGTTTGCATATTGTTGAAGACCTTGTTTCAATATGTCTCTCCTCAGTCTCGAGATGGATTTTAAAATCGAGCACACTTGGGACGGCGTCCCCGTGACACATGAGCCCGTGTGTGTGCGGCTGAGTCCCCAGGACGAGGGAGTGACCCTGGAGGTCTGCGCTCCGTTTTTCAACGACCCCCCCGGCCCAGCTGGAGAGCCGGGACAGCCTTTCAGCCAACTGTGGGATTATGAAGGTGAGGGCAGGCGCTGCGGCGTGTTGCAAACACGAATCTTTTCACAATCACCTCTCCGAGAACCAGCCTTTCCTCTTGTTGTAAGGCGGGCCGTGCGGCGTCTGAGTCCTCCCACATCTCTCATTCTGGCTTTCCCCGCTCCCCACGTGCCTCCACTCAGTCACCGCAGCAGTGGCAAGTGGCAGTCACAAGCCCCAGCTGCAGGTTGCTCTCATGTCCCTTGATGCCTTTGACCTGTTTTAAGAGGTGTTCGGCGTCTCTGTTTTGTCTCTAATATCTCCAAGTTGCTACTTTAACCTTCTTTATGGAAGTTTTGGGGTGTTTCATCTGGGGAAACACTGTCAGCTTCAATAGAAATGTGGCTTGTGTTTTCTGTGACAAGTGATCGCGTGTCAAACTAGCCAAGGCACTGCCCTCACACTTTCCCTTTTAATGCGTCCTCATGAAGCTACCAGACCTCCCTTTCTGTGTTCTCTTCACGATGCCACCCCCATCTCGGGCCATCGTCATCCCTAAGATGAAGTTGAAACCCTAGCGATCAGCTTCAGGGCGCTTAGGACCTGGGCTATGGTGTTCAACCACAGCTCTTGGCTTCCGAAAGGCCGACACACCTGCTGCTCCTGCCCTTTCTCACCGTGGCTCTCTCCCGCTCTGCTGCCCCTGCCTTGGATGCACCTGGTTCCAAGTGTAGTTCAGGCCCCATCCTCTGTAGACCCACTGACAATTCCTCTAGTCCACATAATTTGTACTTTTGCTATCTTATTTGCATGGTATGCACCTTGTCAGATTAATCTAGCATGTGTGAAGCATACGTGGCCTTGTGTTGATGAAGAGCTTATATGTGCCAGCGTGCTGCCTTACACACCTGTGTGCTCCCTTACACTCCCCGTGTGACTCACCTACTGGGGAGTGGGTCAGGGCCCCAGCTGGCCCTCAGATCCTGCCTAGCACTGCTCTTCTTCAGCTAAGAGTCTGCTTTCTTTTCTCCCACAATATCACTCTGTTTTGATATTTTTACCTTTAGTGTCTGATTAGACTGTGAACTAATGAAGTAATGCCAGAAGCACATCTCACCTTCAGAAATAAACAGTTTCCAAGAGAGGTTCTAGCAGAGGATCACTGAGTGGGAATCATTGTTAAGGTTCCCGTGCGCAGGTGCAGGCACGTGTGCCAAGTGGGACGCAGGCACGTGTGCCAAGTTTTATTTCTGTGTGTTTGGTTATTGCTCTGCTGCCACTTCTCAGGTATCGTGGCTGTCTTTCCATGTCAAAAAATACTTAACCATGGGCCTCCCCAGTGGCACAGCGGTTGAGTGCTGGGTTGCGAAGCTGCCCTCAGCCTCTGCGGCACCAGTTCGATCCCCGGCTGCTCCCCGGCCACCGGAGGAGGGTCCCACATGGCGCGCAGACCTCTCCTGCCGCCCGCTGCTCCCCTCAGCAGTGTACTTCGGTCCTTCTGCCTGCTCTGCTCCCCGCTCTGGCGAATTCTCTCACCCTCCCGCGCTTGACTGTATCCAGTGCTTGTATAAATAAATAAATAAATAAATAAATCTTAAAAAAAAAAAAACAAAAAAAACTTAACCATGTCCTTGACTTGAGTGGCTGCACCATGTTCAGCTGCACAGAAGGCACGGAAGGCATAATCTCCAGCATGCACTAGCAGCTCTCCTATAAAAACGGAGACTACCCCGAGGAGAGGACCTTGTCTGTGTAATAGGAGGAGCAGTTTAGATCGTTCTGGTTTCTGAGCAATTCTCTGATGAAGAGCGTTACATGGACGCATTGATTTAGCTCCCTTGCTTGATCATTTCCTGGGATAAATTCCTTGAAGAAGACAATTGATTCAAAGTCAGGGTGGTAATGTGGATTTCGTTATAGCCTCACCAACACTGAGCTTTATTCATCTTTTCCAATTATGATAAGCTGATATAAACAAAAGCAGTCATGCTTCATTTTCTATTTATTTCTTCTTCCAGTCAATGCCCACTTCCTTTGTCACCTTTCCTCTCGTGCACGGTATAACTAAACATAGAGTTGATTCATTCTGTAATCTAAGGGAATAAAAGTATTTATTGTTGAAGCAAAATTTAATTTCTCAATATGTCCTATCTCTGTTTTCAAAAGTTGTGGAAGCATTTTTCCTGAATGAGAGAACTGAGCAGTATTTAGAAGTTGAGCTTTGTCCGTAAGTATAAAATATTTTTTCTAATTCATTACTACCTCATTTGAAAACATCATTTTTTAAGTTATAAGTCATATGGTATAGTAGAAATTCACTAATTCTAGTTATTTAGCAGGATGTTGTTCTAAATTAATTAGGATTATATATAATTCTTTATTTTCAAATAATTTAGAATATGTTTATATCATAAATGCTTAAAAATGTGATCTTGATATTTTATTTCACTAATGTAGTTGTTTTTTCCTAATAAATTTGGAATTTCCTTATGCAGAATGAAAAAACATTGCAAACCTAACCATTATTTACTCTAAAATCTGTAGTATATGTTAGCTGTTCAGAAATAAAAGGAGACGTGGGTGTAACAAATTGAACTAGATTTTGAAAATGTTTCTTTTAGGGGATTTTAAAAAATAACGAGATTAAATTTCAGTTTTGTATATGACATAATGATACCGTCCTTCCTTTGTTTACCATTTGCTTATTGAGAGTGTTCATGTCGCGTTGTGTTCAGTGCCAGGGGTAAAAGCTGAATCACATGTGGTTCTTAGAAGCTCCCGAGATCCACCTTGGCCTTTATTCAGATTTAGCCATTTCCACGGGAACCCGCTGTCCCTGACTGACAATTTTTTCCCTGGAGATGTGAAAACGTACATCTGCACCTGCCTCTCATCTAAATCTTAACACATCTCAAGTCAGTAAAATACTTAATAATGCAGAGCTTCTTTATTTTGCCATCACGCATTTGCGGTGGCGCTCGGGCCCCAGGGCTGATAGTCGCTGGTCTTTGTTCCCTGTTGGAGCCAAGAGGCTGTAGATGTCATTTTCTTTCCCTTGCTATGATTCCTTCCTTCCTTCCTTCCTTCCTTCCTTCCTTCCTTCCTTCCTTCCTTCCTTCCTTCCTTCCTTCTTCCTTCCTTCCTTCCTTCCTTCCTTCCTTCTTCCTTCCTTCCTTCCTTCCTTCCTTCCTTCCTTCCTTCCTTCCTTCTTTCTTTCTTTCTTTCTTTCTTTCTTTCTTTCTTTCTTTCTTTCTTGTTTTAAAGATATATCTATGCATACAAGAACTGGGGTGCAGGCCAGAGGTGTGAGGGGGGTGAGAGGACTCACCAGAGACAGAATGGGGGGCAGAACAGGCGGATCTACTGAAATCCACTGCTGAGGGGAGCAGCGGGGAGACAGGACAGGTCTGCTGGGCCATGTGGGTCAGCTCCCTGGCCGGGGATAGCTTGATAGTGCTGTGTCTTTAGCCCCCGCGCCTCCAGCGAGGCCCCATTATGATCTCCTGCTAGAAGATCATGTGGGAAGTTCAGCTGTTCACAGTTACAGTATTCAGAAAAGTTACCCGTGGCTCTGAGTACATTTCCACTAATGTGCTGGAAGCTTTCACTGAAAAGTGTGATTCTCATGAGCCGGCATGTGAGGTAACTATTGCGTGACTGTCCCACAGCACAGGGGGGAAGGCCAGTGGGTGGGGGCCTCATCCAGGAGACAGTAAACTCTGGAGTCCACCAGAGCTTGAAATCTCATCATTTGTTTTCATTTTATTCGGTGAAAATAGCACTTTATCTTCATGAAATGATGACTTAATCCTGGACGAGTAGGATAAGTAGATTCTCGTTTGTGTATGAAATTCATGAATTTTAAATATTAAAAAAAAACCCAGAGCCACATGGTTTGATATACCCCAGGGAAGTCCACAGTCAGGAATCGTGGTTTGGCTGCAGGTGGTTGACTCCAGGGGCGGCTCAGGAAGTTCTGAGGGGGTGGGGGGCTGGAAGGGGTGGTTTAGCTCGCAGGGCCCGCACCCTGCAGGAGCTTCTGCGGCTGCATGAGGACAAGAAGCTCGAACAGAGGGTGTTGTAAGGGGAGGAATACCCCCCTGTTAGGAAAGTCTTGCAGGAAGGCTTCCCTGACACCCAGAAGGACGCTCTGTGTGGCAGCGCTTAGACCGCGAGTCCACGTGTGCACGCACAGCCCCCTGCATCCTGCTGACCGGGAAGCCGCCGCCCTGCCTGCAGAGCATCCTTGTGGGGCCGGGCGTGGCCTCTCACTCATGGGCCACGGGGTCTGGGCACACGGGGCAGCAGGGGGAGGACGGCTCACAGGATGCCACCTGCGAGGCCTGCGCCCGCTGACCAGTTCCAGACAGTCTCTGGTTTGCATTTTCTACCTTTCCAACGAGCCTCCGGACGCTCCTTGTGGAAATAACCTCTGGTGACGGAATCAGACTTGACCCTGGTGCCGCCTCCCCGGGCGCCTTAGCTTTCCACTCTGACTTGATTATAAGCTGCGAACGCCATGTTTCAACCCCTTTTGGCACTTTGCACCATCCACTGGCTGCATGAGTCATGATTCCTTGTGGAAAGACCAGAAAAGCGTGGGCGCGGCTCTGCGGCCTTGGCTGCGATGGCCTGGACAGCGGTGCACCCCAAGATGGGCTCGCGGCTCGTCAGCCACCCTAGGCGCCCCTGCAGCTTGACCTCCGGCTGTGGGGATGCAGTCCAGGCACTCACTGTGGTGAGGGGCACGGGGAGGGCAGCGCTGGCTTTGCAGATGCTGACCAGGCCTTTCTGTTTTGACAGCCACGGCCAGCACTTGGTGCTTTTACTCTCGGGAAGAAGACAAGTGTGGAAAGTAAGTGAATTCAGGTGGGAGACACAATCCTTGCGAGTCGGTCCCTCACCCCGCGCGCGGCGTCAAGGCGGGATGCTGAGGCCCGGTGTCTCGCTGCAGCAGGGCCTTGCGCTGGCCTTCAGCGCGGCCCGGGGCGAGCGGCGGTGGGAAGGCCGAGCTCATGTCCCGTGGAGTTACTTCCCGGCGGGGGTGAGCAGCTTCAACGCCTACGCCATCCACGGGTGCGGAGGCGAGAGACGCTACGAAGCCCTGTACCCCGTTCCCCCGCCCGAGCTGCGGCCAGGACAGCAGCCGGACTTGTAAGTGGCCAGTGTGGTGGGGCCCGCGGCACACGCCCCTGGCGGCCCGGGGCTCAGTTTGCAGCCGAGGCGGTGGGGGGGCAGCCATGGGGCCGGGCCCGTGTGGGTCAGGCGGACCCCGCTGCCGGCACTGCGCTGCCTGGCCTGGCCGCTCGCTGGGCCGGGGCAGCCTCACTGTGCCCGGCGGGAGCTGCCCCACCCGGTCCCCGTCAGTCCGGCCGCCTTCTTTGCCGTCAGCCACCGCCTGGAGTACTTCCAGCCGTTCAGTTTTAACACGCTGCTCGGAGAGGGATGGAGCCAGCCGGGGTCAGACCTGTGGCCTCCGGGGAAGCCCGAGTCTCCGCGTGTGTGACGGCCGAGGTCGGCCTTCTCTGGCCTCTGAGGTAAACCAGTGCCTGGTGCAGCGTCGCCCCTTTCCCGACGCGCGACCGGGTCCCTGACGGTGTTTTGGAGAGGACGCTGCAGCTGGGTCTCTGTGGCAACTGTGTGTGAACTAGTGAGCAGACCCTGTAAGATCCTAGAAGTGTGTAGGTCCCTCGGAGTCACGTGGCCCTGGACGACCCTGCGGGGTACCCCATCTGCCCTGCGGGGAGACCCCATGTGCCCTGCTTCCCCATCCCTGAGTCTGTCCCCGGCTCTGTCACCCACAGGCGTTACTTCTCTTCTCAGCCGCCTGTGACCAGAAGGTCTGATTTGCCCGTTTCTGAACTCCATGTCGTACAGGAAATCCTTACGTGCATTTTCTTTCTTGAAATGTGTAGGAAACGGTGACCTGTTTGAGTCGAACAGAAGCACATCTGTTGAGACATCGCGGAGGCACCTGTGTTCCTTGCCAGCTGTCACCCTGTGCCGTGACTGTTTCCACTCGGTAGAAGGAGCTGGAATGACATCACCCTGAACTGGGGCGCAGCTTCCGCTCTCACAAAGTATTGGCGTTGTCTTCAGGCGGTTAAAGGAGAGGTCGGCATGGCTTCATGTCGCTGTGGAAACACCCAGCGCTCTTGGTTCAGGGTTTTCTGCTCTGGTGGTGTACTGGCTCGCCTCCGCCGGGAGCCGCGGGGAAGAGCCGAGACTCTCCGCGCCCAGTCTCCTCCAGCGGCCGCAGCCCAAGGGGACGGAGGCGGCGGCAGAGCGAGGCTGAGCCGGGGTCCAGGGCAGCGCGGCTGCGGAGGAGAGCGGCGGCCTGGTCGGGGCCAGGGGGACCTCTGGGGCGGTTGAGGTGCTCTGTGTCTTCCCCTCAGAGATGACTGTACAGCTGTGCACTTGCCATCACTCCTCAAGGCCTGTTCTTTTAAGATTTGTGGTTTTACTGCGTAGAACACGTACTTTAATAAAATATGGTTATGAAGAAGCTGTACACTGAATGGGGTAACTTCAGGTTTATGCTGCCCCCCGAACAGTCACTAGTTGGAGGTGGCTTATCAGCTGGCGTTTTTCAATTACTACTGCGTTCTCCATCTGGGAAGAGGCACCGTGAGAATCTTCATAATGACATGGCATGTGGCAGCAGTAGGCCCTTACATTCAGAAATTCCGTTTACTTCTCTTTTGTTTTTCAAGAAGTTGCACTATTTTTCTTGAGGCAGCATGGGTGGGCAAGACCGCGCGTGGCTTGGGGCTGGGGCCGCACGGCTTTGGATGTATTTAAAATCAAGAACAGCAAGTAGCTAATTATAATTGATACAGTGACAGTCCTCCAGTTTGGGAAAAGAGGCTCTAAAGGTTTTGGGGACTGCTGCTGACATTAAAGGGGTTAAACTTTATGGGTAAAGGAGTGAGTGAAAGGTAAAGAAAGTAGACTTGACTGATGTGTGGGCACGAGGACATCGGGTGGTCTCTGAAGAGCCCCAGTTGGAGAGACACAGTGAAGACTCAGTCTCAGGAGCGAGACCACCCCTTCTGCAGCTGAGAACATCTGGAAGTGACGTCGAGACGCCTAGGCCCAGCAAAGACTGAGCAACTGTCCCTGGAACATGTAGGTGACTCCATGGCCAAAAGCTCCTCTCAAGAGACAGGTGGTGCTGGATTCACCAGGTAATAAGGGCCAAAGGGCACAGGACTGGGGCTAAGCAGGTGCAGGGGGCACCATGGACAGGTGTCCCAGTGTCCCAGGCCGCCTGCCCTGTTGCTTTCTCTCACCTTAAACCCTGGGCTTTCTGGGCAGATGCTGCAACTAAGCAACAGCAGAGGGAGTGACCCAAGCCTGACAGGCATCTCAATGTGCTGGTACTGGCTGGGGATGAGTTACAGACCCCCTTGGGGTCTCAACACTGGGGGGGAGGGACAGTCTCCCAGTGGGCTGATGGGTGGACAGCCCACAGCACTCAACTGTGTCGTGGAAACTGGCCTAAGCAAAGTGTTTCAGGTCTCCTAGCAAATGCTTTGGCTGGTGCTTGTGCAAGATTTGTAGGCAGGAGACAGAAACTGTGGGTATGAAGCCCAGGCCAGGGGGCACTCGGTGTGCTGTGTGGTGGTGGGGGGCTGCCTTGGACGCTCCCGCACCCCTGCCCACCCTCCCGGCCACCTGCTAGGTCCGCCTTGCTCTTCGGCGCCTTTCCCTCTGCCGCAAACATGTTTCCTGCTCCCCCAACACCCCAGCCACATGGAGCACCTGTGCTCAGCTGCAAGTTCAAGGGTATTCACACCCTTGGTCAGGTGGGGACAGGACCTGGTGAGCAAGCACTTCCCTCTCTCACCCTTGGGTGACACTCGTGAGGCACGTTCCCGGGTTCCCGAACTCCAGCTGCCTGCAGCGGTGACCCCCATGAAAGCATCCTGGTTTATCCTGTTTCATGTTTCCAACATCCCCCTCTCGTGCCTTAGAGTCACTTTCCAAAATTGACGGCTGGCACCGGCCTTGCCAGGCTCTACTCTGCCGTGCTGGGCTCGAGCACTGACCTCCGGTGGCCGCCCCCCAGGCTGTGCCTGGCGGATGTCCCCTCGCGACTCTGGGATAAATTGGTAGTAACTGAAATGGGATTTTCCATGTACTACATACATGGCTGAATTTTATGTCTGACATTTATTAGGCTAACGTGCAATTCAAAGGAGAAAAACTAGATGTCAAACGATATTTCCACTACCAGCTGTGTGATTAAACATACACTCATCATTGGCTGTTGAGAGTGCTTTGGTGTTCACTGTTCAGTTTTTACTTTGTACTCAAAATAGTCAGAGAATGCCATCTAGTAAACGCTCATTTTCTCCGGCAGCCTGTCACCTGCAGTAGCTGTCACGTGGCATTTCTTACCAAACAGAGCACTCTGAATCTGCATTTCTTTTTTTTTTAAAGATTTATTTATTTATTCATACAAGCATTGGGCACAGTCAGAAGCGCGGGAGGGTGAGAGAATTCACCAGAGCCAGAGCGGGGAGCAGAGCAGGCAGAAGGACCGAAGCACACTGCTGAGGGGAGCAGCGGGCGGCAGGAGAGGTCTGCGCGCCATGTGGGACCCTCCTCCGGTGGCCGGGGAGCAGCCGGGGATCGAATCGGCGCCGCAGAGGCCGCAGGCAGCTTCGCAACCCAGCGCTCAACCGCTGCGCCACCGGGGAGGCCCGTGTTTTAACTCTTAACTCCAATGGGACAGGCCAATTTCAATGGCTCCCTATTGGACCTTTGGGGGGTGATACTCCACGTGCCCTGGGCTGATAGCTGGGGACGTGATGGCATGCTAAGTGATCCCCATGTGCTCCAGAAATATAAACCATGCACACCCAAACAACTCTAGCCCGACTCAACGCAGGGCGATAGATGGCCTTAATATAAGTGGCAGAAATCGTCATTAAAATGTTCAACTCCTCATAGGACTTGAAATCCCATTGCCAGCCATCCAGCTGAGCACTGCCTGTTTGCTAAACTTAGATATTTGTAATAATTACTGCATACTTACAACATAAACTTGGATGTTGGATCTCACCATCAGGAGTTCCTGAAAGGGCACTTCACACCATCCATCAAGGTGTTTCTCTAGGACACTGTTTCTTACTGCTTTTTGCCACTAGATGGAAGAAGCAGGTTAACAAAATGTATTTTTGGAGCTTCATTCAACTCAGAAACAACCACAAGACTGTGCTCCAAATAATGACAGTCTTAGCATCCTCTCATTTATATATTTTTACTGCAGTTGTTCTTTTCTTAAGAACATTGGGTCTAAGAACTGCATTTTTTGGTAGAGATTGATTTTTTTCATAACTTTAAGGCACTGGAATTTTTGAAAGTAGCAAAGAACGTCAACAGTTGCCAGCTGAGGAGGAGCGGGGAGAACTGTGAAAGGAGGCTGGTAGCAGGTTTCCTGCCAGGTGACGCTCATGCAGTGTAGTCCAGGTAGCGGGCCCTGCCAGGCCCTGAGGGGCAGGGGCGGAAGGCTCATATGACAGCGGTTTGTACACTTCCGTATCCTCAAAGAGAGGCAAGTGAGAGTTGAGGCGTGTTCCCTGGACCCGTCGATGCAGATGTGGGCAAGGAGCAGAAATGCAGAGGCTGTCTCTGGCCTGCTGAGGGGTGGGAGGCTGGGCTTCGCCTTTGCGTCCACCTGAGACCGTCAGACCCACTTCCTGAGGAAACTGGAGTGAAAATGGGTCCTGGGGACAGGGAGGGACTCAGTGATGGAAGGAGGAGCTCCGGCAGAGTCAGGAAAGGGCGGTGCATTCCTGAAAGCCTGCATGGTGGGACTGTAATGGAAGTTAAAAGCAGCTGATGGGGTCGGGAAGTCGCCTCAGGCTGAAGCTCCAGGTGGACAGTCTGGAAAAGGGAAGCTTCTGCTTGGAGACAGGTCATTCGGTGTGACACCACCTACAAATGGAGCCCTGGATGGACTGTCTGACCCCGCGCCTCACTGTGTGGGTTCCTGAGCTCGCGTCTGCAACTGCAGAGAGGCGTGAGACAAGGGTCAGCTCCGCTGAGGAAGGTGCCTCCTGGGCCTCTCTGTTCCCTCCACCCTCAGGGAGTGAGAAGGGAGATGGGCATGAGCCTGGCCTCTGATGCCAAAGCCCAGGTTTAGCCTCAGGGCCGCAGGCCGCCTCCCTTTGTCCATCCCGGATGCCCATCACAGCCATCCAAGATGCTGTTCCAGCCGCCAAATGCTCAGAGCTTGAACCCTGATATTATGAGTGCCTGTAAAATTACTCAGCTTTAAACTCCAACCACAGAATTTGATTTTATGATGCCTGTGGAACCGTAGCTGCAGGTTAACTAAAGGTTGTGAAGTAATATTTCCTTTTAATGGTTCTGAATTCACTGCCTTGTAATTTCAGAGATCACCTTGTTCCACTGAGGGGCAAGTTTTATAGTGGAATAATTTTATACAGCTCAATGAGGCTCTTGTAACTTTTGTTCCCCAAAATCAGATTCTCTAGTGCTCTTAGAATATTATTTGTATCTAGTTCCTCACTGTTTTTGCTGCTGGAAATGTATGTAGGAGACTATGTAATTTTAAGCCTTATTTTTCTTTTTGTTCTGGTGCCTTGCTTACAATTAAGGTGTAATTAAACCTTAAAATTAAGTATTTTATGTATTAATGGGTATAAAAATGCTAAGCATTAAATCCTATTTAAATTTGACGTGTGTGATAGTAGTAGGATTATTAGATTACTGAGAATATATGATATGCCTTTATGTATTTTTAATTTGAGTATAATGAATAAATTCAGATTACAAGCAGCCTCACTTTTTCATTCTACATCAGCACTCTATCAGCAGCAACATAGATGCTTCTGGCCCTAAATTCAAAACAGTAATCTCAGTGATTTAAATAGACATTAAAATATTATTAGTTTAGATCTCACCGGTTAGTACTTGTATTTTTATTCTGCTGACATTTTATAAAACAGAAGCTGATCCCCACCTCCCCCAAAGAGAATGGCCTTAGTTTGATTTTTTTTAACTTTTCTGGCCATCCACAATGAAAATCTTTAAAAAGTGACAACCCGGTGGTATTATATATGAAAACAAGGCCGGCCACTGTGTTACGGGGGACAGCGTGGCGTGGAGCCTGTCGCTGCTGTCCCTCAGGCCTGTGTCTGCAGAGACCAGGTGGCGCGCGGAGGCATGCACTGGGGAAAAGCTGGGCAGAAAGTCTGAGGCCTGGAAGTGAGGAGGACCCCGAAGGCTGCGCCCCATCTCCAGCTCGAAGCCACCGTCTGGAAAGACCCGCTTGTGGGGTGGCCAGGGCACGCTGGGGCGAGAAGCACGTTTTTTTTTTTTTTTTTTTTCCAAAGATTTATTTATTTTTGCATACAAGAGCTGGGGTACAGGCCAGAGATGCAGAGGGTGAGAGGATTGACAGAGACAGAGTGGGGAGCAGAACAGGCAGACTGACGAAATCCACTGCTGGGGGAGCAGCGGGGAGACAGGAGAGGTCTGCTGCGCCCTGTGGGTAGCTCCCTGGCCGGCTGGGGATCGAACTCGTGCTGCAGAGGCTGCGGACAGCTTCCTAGTGCGGTGCTGAACCCCTTGCGCCCCCAGGGAGGCCCGAGAAGCACGTTTTGAACAAGACTCACCTTCCCGCCCACCGGTCCCAGCACCTCCCGGGGCTCCCCCACCCCGGGGCTCCCCCACCCCGAGGCGCTCCCACCCCAGCCTGGCCAGGCCGCTCGGCGGTTGGCGGCACAGGGGGGCCGCGGCCCACCGGTCACTGGCGCCTGTTCCGCTCCCCGGGCTCCCGGCCCGCTGCGCCCTGGGGTGCTCCGCGCCGCCCACGCCCTCCCGGCCGCTCCGGGGAGCCGGGGCTTCCGCCTTCACGACAGTGGCGCAAAGCGGGAGCGGCCGCCGGGTGCGGCGCCGCCTCGCCGAGGCCCGGAGGGACCCCACGGCCCGCCCGTCCCCGCGGCCCGAAGCCTTCCCCAGGCTTGGGAAGCTGAGAGTCCCCGGGTGAGGCCCCGGGTGAGGCCCCGGGTGAGGCCCCGGGCGAGGGTCCCAGGTGAGGCCCCGGGTGAGGCCCCGGGTGAGGCCCCCGAGTGAGGCCCCAGGCGAGGACACCGGGTGAGGCCCCGGGTGAGGCCCCGGGCGAGGGTCCCGGGTGAGGCCCCGGGTGAGGCCCCGGGTGAGGCCCCCGAGTGAGGGCCCCGGGTGAGGCCCCGGGCGAGGACACCGGGTGAGGCCCCGGGTGAGGCCCCCGGGCGAGGGTCCCGGGTGAGGCCCCAGGTGAGGCCCCGAGTGAGGGCCCCGGGTGAGGCCCCCGAGTGAGGGCTCCGGGTGAGGCCCCGAGTGAGGACACCGGGTGAGGCCCCGGGCGAGGACACCGGGTGAGGCCCCGGGTGAGGCCCCGGGTGAGGCCCCGGGTGAGGCCCCGGGCGAGGACCCGGGTGAGGCCCCGGGTGAGGCCCCGGGTGAGGGTCCCGGGTGAGGCCCCCCGGGTGAGGCCCCGGGTGAGGCCCCGGGTGAGGCCCCGGGTGAGGCCCCGGGCGAGGGTCCCGGGTGAGGCCCCGGGTGAGGTCCCGGGTGAGGCCCCCGGGTGAGGCCCCCGAGTGAGGGCCCCGGGTGAGGGCCCCCTGCGCCCCGCTGTCCCAGGGCCCCGCGCCGCTCCCCCGTTTCCACTCAAGCTCCCGCAGGCGGCTGCTCAGGTGGCGCGGAGGGCGCGATGGCGCCGGGTGCCGCCCCAGCCCTGCCCAGCGGGCGGCGGTGCCCCCTGGGGCGTCCGCGGCAGCCGCGCCCCGCAGGGCCTGTGTCCCCAGAGGCGCGGCCGCGCGGCCCACGCGGGGCGGGAGGCGGTGGGTGCGACTCAGATATGGGGGCCCAGGCCGCCCCTGGACACCCGCGGGAGGACGCGGCGGGCGCCCTGAGGGACGGGACCCTCGCGCTGCCCGTCGGGGTGACCCGCGCGCTGCGGGGCCGCGACGCTGAGAGGGCCCCGGGCGCCGAGGCCTCCTCGCGGCTCCGCCGCGTGGCTTGAGAGGGGCTGGCCTCGTGTCGGCGGTTGCCTCTTCTTTTCCTGCGCGGCAGACGGAGCCCGGCCCGGCCTCCGGTGCCGGCTCCCGAGCATGGCGGCTCCCCAGGACGCTCGGGCGGTGCCGGACATCGGGATGCCCCGCGCTCCAGGCCAGCAGCAGAATATGCGGCGCCTGCCCCGCACCTGCTCTGTGGGAACATGCGAAGCTGGGCGGGCCTGGGAGAGATACGCTTCCCTCTGAGAGGCAAAGGCCGCCCGCGACCGCCCGGGCGGGCAGCGCCTGGGGAGCGTGTGACTCTGGTCAGCCCCCCTGAGCCAGCTCCAGACATAGACAGACGCGGGACACGCGGGCAGACACGTGGACTCGCACAAAGACCCCCACACACTCCAGTGCTTATCGGTTTTGTCTTTGTAGTAGCAAGCCGTCTGCAGAGTAGCTTCCGAGTGAAGCCGATCTTGAGCTTTTTAAAAAAGAATTTATTTATTTATTTACGCATGCAAGAACTGGGGTGCAGGCCAGAGGTGCAGGCGTGTGACAGGACTCCCCAGAGACAGAGCGGGGAGCAGAACAGGCAGATCCACTGAAATCCACTGTTGAGGGGAGTAGCGGGGAGACAGGAGGGGTCTCCTGCGCCATGTGGGCAGCTCCCTGGCTGGGGATCGAACTTCTGCTGCGGTGGCTGTGGGCAGCTTCACAGTGCTGAGACTCAACCCCTTGTGCCACCAGGGAGGCCCTTGAGCTTTTTTTTTTTTAATAAAACGCCTGCCTGCTCTCCTGTGCCCGGCCTGCGGAGCCACACCAGGCCCCACTCCTGGCGGCCTCTGGGCAACTTCATAATGAAGATGAGCTGCTAAGATAACGTCTTCCAAATTAATCAGCTTCCTTCACACTTATTAATTGCGTGGAAATTCCCCTCTCCAGGCAGAGTCCTCTCAGCGAGCAAACCCTCAATGTGGCGCAGTTTTAATGGTGTAAACGCATAAAATATTTAAAGACAAACAACTGGGGCCCATGGTTGAAAATCTTGACTTTTGACAAGAAGTGAAATGTTTTGATTTATGAGCTTGACTTGTCCCTCCCGAAGCTGTGCAACTGAGCTGTGTCCCCCGGCAGGCCCCCCGCGCCCCTGGGCTCTTTGCACTGTAAGTGAAAGAGGGACTCCCGGGAGTGGCTCGGGGGTCTGGCTCAGAGGTGGGGGCCCTGCTTGTCCCCACCGGGCCCCTGGGTGATGTCAGCACGTATTTCTCGCTGCTCTGTCACCTGATCCACCCCCATCCGGTCGCCCTCCCTCCCACATGGCCCATGCCGCCCCCTCCCCAGGCAGAGATGGGTCTCCTTCCTGAGCGGGGTCTTTGCTGGGGGCCATTGCGGGGGTCATCACGGGAGTCATCACCGGGGTCATGACTGGGGCCATTGTGGGTGCTGTGCGGTGGTGATGCGTGGGAGGCTCTGCGGAGCAGGCCTGGTCGCCTCCTTCGGCCTCCTGGGAGGAGGGTGGGAGGCCCGGGAGCTGAGCCTGGCTTCTTTGTTTTTGAACATCTCACAGGATGGGATTTCTCCCGGCAGGTGCGGTCACAGCCTTCCTGCCCCACGGCGCCCGCAGCCCTTGCCCCTCCACGCAGAGTGGGGTGGCTGGCGCCCAGCAGAGCGGCCCTGGAGGCGCCCAGCAGAGCGGTCCTGGAGGCCGTCGCAGAGCATGTCCCAGCCCCGCTGAGGCTGAGTGGGGGCCGGCTGAGACACCGCGCAGGTGAGTGATGGGGCCTGCCTCCCTTGCTGTCGCCACACTGACTGGGAAGCTGGGGGGCCGGTGTGTGAGGCGCTGAGCTGCGGTGGATGCGGGTGGGCAGAGCGGTGGCGGGCAGAGGGCGGCGGCTCCTCGTCTAAACCAGGACAGGAACTGACCCTGCTTGTGCCGGACACCGGGGAGCAGCATCCTGTCCCTGTGAATGATGGATGCTGGGTGTGGGGGGTTTCAGTCCCAAACAGGTTAACCTCAAGGCCTTGAGACATAATTTTAGTTGTACGCTCTGAGTCTACCACGTGCCCTCCAGATTTCCACGCGTCATTGTTTGAAAGATGCTGCGGTTAAGTCTCGATGTTTGGAGAGGGCGATGGCGCGGGAAGTGACCGTGAAGGAGACTTTTTGCGGGTTGTTCCAATGTGGTCCCCTATCTTGTCTTCGGTCTTAAGTGACTTCGCTGTGAAAGGCGCCTCTTCCCCTCCCCCACCCCCACCCCGCCCGGCCTGCGGTGCTGCCTCTGTGCTGTCCAGCCCAGAAATATCTCCTTCTGTCTTGGCGGACAGCGCCGTCCAGGCTTTGGACTTCTTGCATCATTTTGATTGCGGTTATAGCACTGCGTGTCATGTAGGGGCAGGTTCACCCCTGCTGATGTGTGTGACCCCACCACCTGCCACCAGGCACCCACAGGCCCCCCTCTCAGGACTTAGGGCCTCCTTCCTTTGCTCCCCAGCCCCCGCTACCCTAAAAGCAGCTGCCCGAGCTGTCATGGGGGGAGTGTCACTCCAGGCCGGCGGGCTGCGGTCCCTGCAGAGTACCTACAAAGAACCCACCAGAAAATGGGCGCAGAGCTGAACCAGCACTTCCCCAGGATGCACGATGCCGACAGTGCCTGGGGATGCTCGCATGCCATCCACCAGGCAGCACAGGACAGTGCGTGGGGTGCTTGGATGCCGGTCACTGGGCAGCACTGCTGCCTGGTAGAAGGGGCATCGGGGCGTCGGTCCTGGGGAAGCTCTGGCTGGAAGCCGCTTCTGTATGTGGCTGAGGCTCACCCTGAGCACCGGCGCGTCATTCTGAGCTCTGCGGCCGGAGGAATAAGCCGGGTATCCCTTCTCATCCGGACACGCGTGGTCAAGATCTAGTCAAGGGGCTGCATCTCACGGCAGGGCCGGCTAGTCCATTGGCACCTCAGGTCAGGCAGGGGACAGGGGCACTGCGGGGGGGGAGGTGCGTGGAGAGCGTCCGTTCTGCGTTCTGGGTCTGGGGGGTCACGAGAGGAGACGGCAGCCAGAGACAGTGGTGGTGAGGGGAGGCTGGGGGACAGGCACAGGCCGGCCTGGGAGAGCTCTGGCCTGTGGAGCGAGAATGGAAGGAGCAAGGGCAGCTCTTGAGTTCCCGGCTTTTGAGTGCTCTGCATTCCGAGGCGCCGGCGCGGCCAGCAGCCTGCTTTCACTAACGCGGCCTTCATGGCTTTGTGCCTGTCCCAGGGACGACCGTCTGTTAACTGACGACGGACGGTCTTCTAAAGTAAGACCGGAGGGGCTGAGACAGAATTTTCCAGAGGAGACGGTGAGCCCCACCGCCGGGGGGGGGCGTCCCTCAGCTCTCTGTGGGCTGGGTGGGCGCCCCGAGCCCTCCGGGGCCTCGCCTGGCCGGGACGGGAGGGAATGCCAGTATCCCGTCGCAGGCCTCTGGAGACGGCGAAATGAGCCAGGGGCGCCCGGCGCTCCGCTAGTGTCTCACGCCCGGCGCGGCGCTGGCTGCTGCTGAGGACGTGTGTCCGCCAGAGCGAAGCTCCCTCATCCCGCTTGTGCGCCTCGAGTGACGCGATGGAAACGTGGCTTACAAAAGACTTTCAAGAAGCAGCTGCCAAACGCAAACATCATGGGGGTGCGGAGAGCTCCTGAGGGCCAAGTGTGAGATTTGTGAATTTGAAGTAAGATTATTAAGGGAGATGTGACATGTTTATTATATTTTAAGGTCTCCGAGGGAAGGTGTTTGAAATGGGGGAAAATACAGCTTAAAAAATGAGGATTTCTGCAGCGGGAAGGAGGCCTGGGTGACGGGAGGGGCAGTGGGAGGGCGCTTGGCCAGAGACGCCCGTGTCGTCGCCGTGCTGGGGAGAAGGTGGGCTGGGGCGCCCCCGGGACGCGCCGCGTGCAGAGGGAGGCCTGCCTGAGTCTCCCTTCACGCCTGACACCCCCGCGCGGGTGAGACGTTTTGAAGACGAGGCAGGAGATCACAGGGCAGCGAGACGCAGATGCTCCCTGCTTCCTGCCGGAAAGCCTCTCCGAAGCGTGCTCTGCCCCTTTCCCTATTTGCGTTCTGCCCGGGACGCTCTTTGCTGGCCGCTCCCTTTTCTTGCACGTTGCTCTGCTCTGCTCCGGGGCGCTGCGAGCCCCCGCCCGCCCAGCGTGCCCCGGCAGCAGCGCCCCGGCCCCGCGTCTGTGCAAGCGGCTCTGGGGCTCCGTCATCTGGGCCGTTCCCGCCCCCAGCACACGGGGCGCCCCAGCCCCACACGCCCCCCTCCTTCTGGGCACAGCCATTCTGCTGTCAGGCACTGAGGGCTGGCTTGATTTTGTTTTCTGGTTGCCGGCCTGCCCACTTATGCGCCAAGTTTTTGCTTTGTGGTGAAAGCAAAGTGAGAATTTAGTTGTTTTGTGCAGCGGTCCAGTACTGAAAATCTACTAATTGCCGATCTGTTATCTCTTAATAATGAAACTCTATTAATCTACACTCGTGGTTTTGATACAATTTTCGATGTGGATGATGTTCTGTGAGGGGCTGATAGCTACTTAAACTCGAGCACATTCCAAACTTCACATTTTTGCTCCACCCCACACCTTATATCTCCGTGGTCTCGTCAGGGTCTTGATTTTCGGCGTGTCCTGTAGCCTAATTCTTTCAGCTCTTGTTTCGTTTGATCCTTTTGTCTTTACTCTTTGTGCTTCCTTTATATAGATCCGCTATGTTTACTGTGTGTTTACTTTTTCCAGGGAGACTTTTTCTTGTGCGTTATAACGTTCTTTTCAGTACAGGCCCTTGGTTGGAATTCTTTTCCTTTCAGCGCTTTCCGCACATCATCTGCTCTCCTCCGGCCTCTGGGGTTCCCGCTGAGAAGCCTGCTCCCCGCCTGTGGTTCTCCCTGGTGTGTGACGCTTGTTTTTCTCTTTGTGCTCGAGTTCTCTTTCCCTTGGCTGTTTAAACTGGACCGTGTCTCGTGCGGCCCTCTCCGGGCTCCTCTCCCTGGGCCTCCCTGGGCCTCCTGTCCCTGGACGGCTGCTTCCCTCCGGAATGAGGAATTTTTTGGTCATTATTTCCTTGAACAACTTTTCTGACCCTTTCTCCAGATATGTCTGCTCTTTATTTTTGCTGGTGGTCTCTTGGCTTTGTGCCCTCCACTGTGGCTGTCTGATCCTCTCCCCTGCCTCAGCCCCGTTGTGTTCACATTGCTGTGGCCTCTCTACCTGCAGGCCTCAGTTCCTCCCAGAGCTTCAGTCTTGCTGTCCAGCTAAGTCCCCAGGATCTCTGCACCCGCTGTCCTACCAGCGAGTGGGACTTTTCTTTGTGACATTAACTCACCATGCCCTAGGTTCTGGCTCAGTGGCTCCATTATTTTCTAAGTCAGGCAGATGAGACGCCGTCGCTCTCACTCCTCATGTCCCATCAGCTACACTGGCTTGTAACGTTGCCGTCTTGCTTCGAAACAGCGTGAACTGCCCCTCGATGGAATTACTATATATTGAACTCAACTTAGCCAGTGGTGATTGGAAGGCCCTGGGCATTCCCTGCTGGTATCAGGTGAGAGAATGAGGATTAGAAGAGAGGCGGGGGCCTCCCCGGTGGCGCAGCGGTTGAGCGCTGGGCTGCAAAGACCCCACATGGCGCACAGACCCCTCCTGCCGCCCGCTGCTCCCCTCAGCAGTGTGCTTCGGTCCTTCTGCCTGCTCTGCTCCCCGCTCTGGCTCTGGTGAATTCTCTCACCCTCCCGCGCTTCTGACTGTGCCCAGTGCTTGTATAAATAAATAAATAAATCTTAAAAAAAAAAATAGAAAGAGAGGCTGGTGCAGAGGAGGTGGAGAAAGGAAAGGGCCAGGGATCTAGGCCCTGGGCCCCCACGGAGTCTCCCACCCCGGGGCCACTGCAGCCTGGGCCACGTGCCAGAGCAGTCCTCTCTGCTGGCTTGGGGTTCTGTGGGCTGCAGTGTCCGCAGACTCTTGGAGTCTCCTGACGGAGGCCGGTGCTCTTTAGCTGGGGCTGGGCCAGCAGAACAACATCTAGTTAAAAACTGCAGAAATGATTTCTATGATTTGCTTTCCCTGCTATAACATATTTGAAAAATGTGATAGAAAGAAGCGATTGGAGAGGAAACTGGGCCTTGTGAGGGCCCAGAACTCTGAGTGGTGAAGGGTGTTTCTCATCTCCTGGAGTCATACTGGGGGCTGCGTTTTGTCAGCTGCTTTCCTAAACCCGGCTTCTGGCTTACAAGGTCAAGTTCTGGTCTTTTTTTTTTTTGTGTTAAACCCCCTCCCTCCTGCAGTGGGCTGAGAACAGCATAGTAGGGCCATTTATGCAGCGTCTTTTTTTTTTTTTTTTTAAGTAAATAAAGCAAATAGATTTTTGCATCTTGCCTCACTGACAAGTTTGCAAATTGCCAATCTTTGCTCTTTTCTCTCCCTCCCAATTTTTCATGGTGGTAATTAAGGACTGTAAATTTCACTTTATCATTTGTGTTAAGAATAGTCGCATAAATCATAGTAATAGCACCGTTTATTTCAGTAATGCCAGCCTGCCTGCAAATCACTTGTAAATTGGTTCCATGGATGTACCTCTATCAAATTAATCAAAAACCCACCTGCATACATTCCCTGAGCCTATTTCAAAGGCTTCGTAGCAGTGGGAAGAAAGACCAGAGCTGACCTTTCCGCCTTTGTTTACTTGTTCCCTCGGAACGGCTGCTGCCTGTGCTTCCATTTGGAATCCTGATGAACGTCTAAGTGAGCATT